AACAGTATACCTCTGCGGTAACTATTGCCATCCGGTAGCATCTCGTGATATATGACGCCCTGACAGTCCCACCAAATCGACAGCATGGCTTATTACTGGTGTAGCTCGTCTTTGGGGTTGGTGCTTCTTCTTTGCGAACCCAATGTCAATTCCGACCGTGGTTAACATGGAAACACCAATTTACATCTCCGGTCACGATGTTTCGGATCCAGTCGGTTGTTCTTCTGCGGGCTGATTAAAGAAGCCGCAGTGCTGCACCCTGGTCATTCACAGTACATCTGTCGTTTGGTACAATAAGAGTTGACAAACTTGAGACTCTTCCGGTTTCATGTAAACACCTGTGCACCGTGTTTCGAAGAAGCCAAGGCTTGACGAAAGTTCCGGCACACTTGATCTTGGCTTGTCTTCTGAACTCCATTCAACATCATGGTCAACATTCAGGCGGGAGGTCCCCATTTGAGCTCACGAGGACTTAGTCCCTTGCTTGAAACGTTGGAACCACGTCCTCACAATATCGTACTGGAGGGTTACCTGCGTATCACAGGGCACAAGTTGCGTGACTTCGTCTGCTCTGTGAGCATGGACAAATGCGTAAAGTATATAGGCTCGCATTGCTTGGCGGTCATTGAGCAATACTTCTGCCATAATCGATGGACTCAAGGTTCAAATGAGATTTGATATTCTTCACATCTTGCATTAGTACTTATCATGTTTGAGCAAGTAAGATAAGATCACAGAAGATACAAAAAGAAAGCAAAAACAGTTTACTTCTGCAACAATCTAATAGAATTTGGGCGGTGGGACAGTTCCCACAGTTAAAGAAGCAAAGTCGTTATGGCAGCCTATGATCTTGACTGTGGCGCCTGCACATTCTGTTGGGGAGGGAAACCAGAGGTGGGTGAGAGCCACTAGGTTGAGTGAATTTCTTCCTGATCTGACGTTATGTCTTCGCCCTTGTGTGGCATGAACAACGCCGTCCCAGTCCCACACAGCATTGAGATTATGTGCCCCAGCCAGAAACTGCCTCAAGTTGCTTGCGTGTGGCCACTTACCGCTCACTTCAAATTAGGGATAAGTCGCAGTGTGTCGCCGATGGGTTAGCTGCGGGGTCCACTACTCAGATAATCGCCGGGGGCAGGCGGCCATGCAAATTTTGAGCAAGCGGGCACCGGAAAAATAGTTCGCCGATTTCTTGTGGTCCGCTTGCAGAAATTTGAAATAATTTTGGCCAGTTTTTAGACGAAAGCTCGGAGAACTATCGCGGTTTTTCTATGGATAAGTTGCGGCCCAGTGACCGCATTCTCGCGGACTTTCCGCGAGAACATGCAAGATTGTTGGAGGCTGCACGGTCCTTTGTGAAGGACCGCACTCCTTAGGGTATTCTCCGCAAGAAGGTACCCCAAACTCGAGTAATTAAACCATCGATGACACCTCTGCCACATAGACTCTCACCTTTGTCGGCGTATGCCCGAAACTGCGTAAAAAGAGTCCGAGCACTTGCTGAAAGTTTGGCCAGCGCTCGCTGAAAGAAATTTATTCGCCGAGCGCTTGCAGAAAATGCTGTATTGCTGCCCGCTGGCAGAATATGCGACCGTAAAGGAAGTACTGCCCGCTGAAGGTTTGGCCACGCCCCAAAATTCTGCTGACCGCTTGCAGAAAAGCGCGAGTTTGCGGACCGCCTGCCCCCGGCGATTATCTGAGTAAAGGTGATGTGTTCGAATGCATGGTTTGTGGCAGATGTCCGAGCGAGTGGAGTATTGGCGACATGACGTCCCTACTCAAAGACTGAGGACTTCGCTAAAAGGTCCTGCCACAATATGGGATGCAGCATAAGTGGGCGGTGCTTCCGACTGCTTGCTTTTTGCACTTATGATCACCATTCGTGTGCCCTTTTCCAAAAGCAGTTAGCTTGTTTTTTGTTGATTTTGATAACAATTTCATTAGCATCAAATATTTACGAACCAATGGCGCGTACAACTCTCTTGAATGTTAAAGGAAACCCCAAGAGCAAAAGTTTAAAAAATGTCCGAACTGTGATGGGAAGTTTTCCAACATGATTTCTCATTCTCCTCCAGTATATTTGTGGTGAAAGCTATGTCTATAGCACGTAAGTCAATGATGACCATGCGCTTTTCAAAATAGAGGTTCCACTCAAAGTATTGCTAGAAAATGTGACCGAATGCAAGCTAAGACCATGTACAGCCTGCCCCTCTAATGCTTGATATGATTTTAGTCACAGAATATGGGCAGAGAAATTTGGATTGAAATAGCTATTATGTATAGAAAATAAAGCCAATTGCGTCTTCAGCAAAGAATTCATGTTGCAATAGCACAATGGGGAACTTGTATCTTTGACTTCCCTCCACCGAAAGAAATACAGATGATCAGACAAAATGCTCCTATACATACATCTTCCAACCGGTTCTGAGATCGTGCAGTCGTGCAAGACAATAGAGTGCAAGAAGAGCATCTAATGCGGACAATAAAGAGTGTAATGGATGCAAAGAGAGGGCAAATAGATTACATTTTCATGATTGCTAATCGCACATGACCTAGTTTGGGTTCAAAATCAAACACCGTGGCGCACTTTGGTAAACGCGCGACTAGCCGTAACCATATCCAGGTATTCGATTAGAAACAGTTTGGATGCAAGAGAAAACAAAGAGAAACTGAAGCATCGATTCGCCTCTGTGTACATGCGATTGAACGATGCAGTGTTGATGATGCAGAATGTTTTATCCACTTGCACTAAAGTGCCTTTTGTGCTATGATTCAGGCCACAGTCATCTATTTGCTCTCTATTTTGCGTTGTTTATTCCGTCAATACCCTATGAAAGGGGCAACGTAGCTATCTTGGTGCTCCACATTACATCATCAGTCCCCAAAATGTTCCCATATGTATGGGGCAATCGAAAAACCGTGACGATGGCGCGACCGCGCGCGACATCCACTCATTGATGGCAACCGCATCTTGACATTCATCTCTAGTCGAATGGTTTTTCTCTTACGTATGGCAGTGTTTAGACACTGGAAGTGACTGAGCTGAGCGTTGAGGTGATGCTTTTTTCTAAGAGTGTTTTACTGCTGTAGGCTTAAGACCGCAGTCAAACGTCACTATTTCATAGATGACCTATACACGTCAGGTCGCTGCCTTTCGCTGTTTCAAAGGCAGTGGCTCAGCAATCTCAAATTCAAAATTTTTTTGCTTACCTGGGAATCCGACGCTGTGATTGCAAAAGTCAAATTAGATAGCGCGAAAACGGCGAAAACCAGCATTTTCCAAGGCTCCTCATTTTGAATTTGGACGAGTGGAACTGTCCCCGCTAGGGTTGGAGACGCAGGGGGACCCTTATGGTTGTACTGCGGCATGCCGTCTCCGAGAGTAAAGGACTATATGCTGCCAAATGTGTAAGGGTCCCGCGCGGACGTCACATGCGAAGGTGCGTAATGTCGCAAATGACCGCGGGGCCGCCCATTTTCGGCGACATATAGTCCTCTATCTATCCCGTCTCCAACGGTGGAAGGGAAATCGCGAGCTCGTCCGAAGGCGAGTAAGAATGGCTTGAGCATACATGTTTGGGAGTAGTTTTTTTTTGCAGGGGCAGCATAGTGTGTGCTCGGACTTGTTCTGTTTTCATAGTTGGGATGTAAACAACTTGCCACAAAAAATTTCGATACCTTCACTTTGTCGAGACATTGCCTTCAACATGATAACTTCACGAAGGTCAAGGTGAACGTGTTAAAACGATCGAAAAGCAGCGAAAAAGTTGTGCAGTAGCTGGTAAAGGCGATTCCTATGTTTATAGCAGGCATGGCCATGCCGAAAAACATATTAAACCTCCATTCTAAAGCATTAGTTTTTTTTTACTCTCCAGCTACCAGAAACTGCCACGCGCATACGTTGGCAAACATCGGCAAAGCTCCTCTCCCGCTATTTTGAGAGGAATGGATGATATCTATGGGAACATCTCCAGGGGAAACTATACACTCATACATGCACATATGTTTTCAATGCGGAGTGGAAGTAAACGGTGCGAAAAAAGCTGGGGAAAAGGCTAGAGGCAAATCTATCAATATCTTAAAATTCCAAACAATCATCTAAATAAGTCATCCAACACAAGGATAGAACGTTATCGCGAATGCGCGGATTCTCTTATTATTCTCATTAGTCATTAGCTTATCGTAGTCTCTCTCGTAACCATGAACTCTCTAAATAAAGTTCCGATGCTGTCTAATCCAATTTCAAGGCTGATAGATGTAGGGTTCAATATAGCTGCAATGATAAATGTGATGCCGACAGTTACCGACAACATATGCGCGTGAACAAACGTACAAATTGCCAAAGGGTGCACAACGTGAAAATGTGCGCACTGCGGCTTGCGCGGAAACTGCCGGGATTGCTGGCGTGGCATCTTGCTCACGCGAAAATGTCGGAAACGCAATGACAGTATGTTTATCGTCAAATTAACTCCGGGGATGTTTTTGGATGGCTCAAAAAGAAAACGAAGTTTCTATGCATGAGTTGCAGAATAGAGAAATACTCGAACTTCAAAGAACGCGCCAGTCTTGCAAAGACAGTGACACTAGAGGACGAATAGTCACTATAAGTGTGGTAGCCAAATTTTTGTGCTCAGAACCAGTTTGTGATGTAAAATCGATTCAAAGACTCAACAGTGCGATCGATATTGTCTGAAAGTTTCAGAAAGCGGAGAACAGGAACTATACCAGCTGAGGGCGACTGGATGACACGCAGAACTATCTGGTAAGGCGGAGCCATGCCGCGCAAATTTGTTTGCACTTTACACAATCGCTTGGTCTTCTCTATACTTCACTTGTCCTATTTATCTTTACACGAAGTAAATAGGACAAGAGAAGTTTGCAGGTAGGCCATTCGGCATTGATTTGAAGTGGAGTCTGCGAAGAAACTTCATTCATGTGAACAAAAACGACAAACAATAAAAACGGTCGAATCATCCCGAAAAAATAAATTGTTCAAAGGAGAGGTATATGCATGAACAGCGGACACATAAAGGCATCAACGCACCGGCAGCAGGAAATTCACATAGAATGACTACGAAACCAGACAAGCTGTCACTCGCTCTTCCTGCGCAGTCCAGCTGGAAACATTCAAAAGGATTATTCGCGCAAAACAATGGGAATTTCCAGCAGAAAAAAATCTCAGACACTGCGAGTGGATTGAGCGGTGGCTGAGCAAGTCGGAAAAACAGCACTAACTCTTCTTCAGCTTTCGCATTTCTTTCACCGCCGGTCGCGTCTTCCATTCGTGACGACAAAGTGGACAACGCTCAGTGTTTGTTGGATTGCCTAATTTATGTTTTTTGGTTCTATCGGTCGTGTACCAGCGATTTGCGCAACTTAATTGGAACTTTTCAATCGGAATTTCATCCGCTGTGACAACATACCTCCGGCATCCAACTAGTTGTCGGCAGTGAATGCATCCGACCGGATCGAGAGGTTTCTCATCAAGGCATATCGCGCACGATCCCCACTCGTCGCTTCTGAAGAAAAAGCTCACACGCATGCGAGTTTTTGAACCTTCCGATGGTATCTTAATCACATTCACACTAGCTACAAACAAAGAGTGAGCTGGGCCTCGGCAGGGAACTGAAAGAGGCTCCGGTCTCCCCTGCGGCGCTCCCCACTCGCTCTGCGGTGCCTTCGCGAATCAGTGCAACTACTCCAGTTAGCACACCGTAATTTAGAAAATTGAGAAACCAAATATAGCCGCCCCTAAACCGCGCTTAGACTAGCTCTAGGCGCTAAAAACCCTTGAAATTATTAGGTTGTTACATAGGTCTTGTTACACTTTGAATTCTAACGACGATAAGTCCTGAACTTCATAATTTTAATAAGGCTCTACGGTGCCATTTCGATAGAGCAAAGCAAGCTCTACAAAATAGTTTGCAAAAGTTCGCACCAGCTCCTACCCACCGTAAGTTTGCATCCGGAATATGAGACCACTGAAGGCTCAAAAAATTAGGAAAAGTTCATATTTACGTTTATTTTATACTAGCTGGCTTACCCGGCTCCGCCGTATGTTCCGAATAGAAAATTCCATTTCTTAACCGATCCTTACCAAACTTGGCACACATACACTTCGGGCCCCGGCGGGTGTCACGGTCCACTTTTCGTTATCGATCGATGTCGATTTTATCAATTTTTTGCAAAATTTGAGCTAGGGGGCTGGAATTTGGCAGAGGGGTGTTCGAGCATGCTGATTTCCCCCACGGGGGTGATCAGCATGCTCGATTACCTCGCTGTGCCAAATCCCAGCCCCCTAGCTCAAATTTTGCAAAAAATCGATAAAATCGATATCGATCGATGACGAAAAGTAGCCTATGACACCCGCCGGGGCCCGAAGTGTATGTGTGTTAAGTTTGGTCCCGATTGGTTCAGAAATGAAATTTTCTATTCGGAACATACGTACATACAGACATACAGACATACATACAGACATACATACAGACATACATACAAACAGACATTCAGCTTTATATATAAGATTATTTATTTAATTTTCGTTTTTTTCTATTTTCAGAAATCACGCAAACTGACCACATCGGATACTCATATGTACCGTTGCTGTATTTCTTCTCAACTAGAAATTGAGAAAACGAAGATTTTCTTCATACAAAAACGAACTATGCGCTTTCCACTTATGTTAGCTGTATACTACAAGCCCTTGGAAGTTAACCGTAAATTTTTAGCTTTCTAGAAGCCCTAGTTTTCCAAAATTAGCGAATTTAGCTTTTTTCACTCGGTGTTCAATGCTGAATTAGGTGATTTTCGAAAACTAGGGCTTTTGGAAAGCTGAAAATTGATGGTTATACTGCTAAGGGATTGTAGTATACAGCTACATCAGAAACAGCATAGCTTTGATTTGTAAAACGAAAAAATTTTTTGTTTTCTCAATTTCTAGATGAGGAAGAAACACACCGACGGTACATTTGAGTGTCTGTTACAGTGTGCAATTTTTTTGAGCAAGTTGGAGGTTTGTAGGATCTTTTTGAACAAAGATATGAATTTTTCGTGATTCTTTGAGCCTTCAGTACGACTCAGATTTTGGATGCAAACTTACAGTGGGTCGAAGTTGGTGCGAAGTAAAGCAATAGCGATGGACACAGGTCATCACATAACTAAGTGACAGAGGGTGACTGAATAAGGAAATGAGAACAGGTAGGCACACAAGATAAACAAAAGCTGGTTAATGAGATAGATACGAAAGCACACTATGACAGGAGAAGCACTCGTTTTGCACCGAGAAAAAGCTTTGAAACATCGAATTAAGTAGATGAAATAATAGGTATCAATTAGAAAGGAGAGCGAAAGTACTTCGTCACTGTCGAAAGAACAAAACAACAAGGGAAATTAGAGTAGAAAAGAGGACACAGAAGGAGAATCATGTATCATTGTACAAGGAAAGGATGCCAGCATAGGCAATTGGAGACAATATCTATCGCTCAGAGACGCGTTTAGTTTCTGAACCCAGATTCCAAATCTGCTTTCCTTTTTTGCGGAACAAATTTTGGGAGAAAGCTGTGGACGTTTGAATGTCCAAATTTGCCAAGCATCAAGTTGCTTAAAATCAGCGAAAACCTTTGAAAAGCATCTATGCGGATTTCCACTGGCTTAATTCCTTTCCTGCAGACAATAGATACAAAATTGATTACCCACTTTTAGATGTTTTTGCTTTTCGCTAATTTTAGGCCGCTTAAACTTTGACAAATTTGAATATCAAACGCTCATGGCTTCTTTCGATAAGTTGTTCCGCAAAATAGGAAAGCAGATTTGGAATCAGCGTTTAAAGACGCGTTCTAGTGATGTACATCTCGTCTATCGCCAATTTATGTTGGTCTCCTTCCTTTATTAGAATAGTGATTAAGTAAAGTCAGAGGTTGGAAAACTGAGATCTTTTTTGAAATGCAGAGACATCTTATATATAAAGCTGAATGTCTGTTTGTATGTCTGTATGTCTGTATGTATGTCTGTCTGTCTGTCTGTACGTATGTTCCGAATAGAAAATTCCATTTCTGAACCGATCGGGACCAAACTTAGCACACATACACTTCGGGCCCCGGCGGGTGTCATAGGCTACTTTTCGTCATCGATCGATATCGATTTTATCGATTTTTATCGATTTTTTTGCTGAGTTCACCTACGGGGCTGGGAGTTGGCACAGGGGGGTAATCGAGCATGCTGATCACCCCCACGGGGTGATCACCATGCTCGATTACACCCCTCTGCCAAATTCCAGCCCCCTAGCCCAAATTTTGCAAAAAATCGATAAAATCGACATCGATCGATAACGAAAAGTGGACTGTGACACCCGCCGGGGCCCGAAGTGTATGTGTGCCAAGTTTGGCCCGGATCGATTGCGAAATGGAATTTTCTATTCGGAACATACGGCGGAGCCGGGTAAGCCAGCTAGTTCCCTATAAAACGGATACAATAAATTAAGGGTGACACAAAGGATGAAACCAGCAGACGAAAACCTATATACATCCTATCCACCTATAATAACGCGCTGAGGCCGTCTGTTTTGTGTGTGTGTGTGTGTCTGTGTGAAATTCTGTCTGTCACGAAATTTATAGAGGAAGCTGCAACTAAGCTATCGGGCTGCAATTTTGTATAACATACCGTGCCAGCGTGTAGGCCCACCATGCGCAAGGACGAGCCGGTTCGATAAGCGGGTCCCTCAAAATTTGAGCGTCAAACGGGTCCACGCGCCTTTTGGCACGCAAAACTGGGTCGCTAATTCGACTTTTTGCAAAGTTATGATTTGCCTGACAAGTAACTCTGCGCGCCATGAATTCTAGCCCAAAAAGTGCTCAAAAAGTTTGCTTTTTGCGAAAACAGCGCCAAAAAGTGATGAACGGGTAGATAGTCGATTTGGCGAGGTTTTATTTGAAAAAAAAAGGAAAAGATTTTTGCACTGAAATGTAGCCCAAGGTGACCATTATCCTTACGACGATTACCAAACTAAAATAAATTCAGTAATCCGTTCAAATTCGCATTTGTTTCCTTGCAACAAAGTTTTTTTTCTCAAAATTACCGATCTTACATGCGATGCTCAGCATCGCGTGGTGGGTTTCAAAGCCATTCTCATGCGAACATGAAAAAGGCATACGGATAGGGAGCCTCCGCGAAGCGGAGGTGACGCACTGGTATATATAAAATTCAAAAATTGTAAGTTTTAAGGGTATGTGCGTTATAGAAACGCGCGCTGCTCAACCGATTTAGCTGAAACTTTGCACACATATGTATTCGACCCCTGCGCAGATGACAGGCTACTTTTTGCGGCAAATCGTTGGGTCCTTCTATCGATTTATTGATTTGTTTACGTTTCTCCATAGAATTGAAGGCTTATCATGTTCAATCAAGCATTTTCCCATCCTCATGCAAAGAAGGGCGGTGAAGCTCATTTCCACCTCAGGATCACGAGGATGCGGTTTCGAAGCGGATGTGCCATGGTAAGTCATTCATAGCATATAAGAGGGGGGGGGGGCTCGCAGTGCAGGTGAACGATGGTCCAGGCTGGACCGGAAAAGCCAACTACTTCTTGTATACAGAGCTATTACGTTGTGTTTGACTAACCTAAAGGGTAAGCAGTGGTTGAAAACGGGCTTCATCACCTGTTGGCTGTTATGTGCTCAGACAATCCGCAAAATACCTCCGAGGAAGACTGAACTTCTAAAACTTTAGGGGGGGGGTTCCTATTGGAGCTACCAGATAGGCCGCGGCAGATAGGGCGCAGTCCACCCACACGGCCTAATAGGAGCGTCCACCCCGGAAGTTTTAGAAGTTCAGTTCTCCGGAAGTGTTTTGCGGATTGTCTGAGTGTACACAGAAATTTGTCAATTCATAACCTACCTGTGCCTTGAACTTTTTGAGCTTCTTGAAAACTTCTTTTTTGCTCTTGATGTGTGTTCAAATAATCTTCTGATCTCTAGAGCAAGAGCGTAGGTCATTTTGTACATAGTAGTCGTGAAAAATTCACTGTAGAATATATAGGAATCCCAAGCGCTCTTGACAGTATTTTCTCGTACTGGCAAATGTACGGTTCTTATTTCAAATTCACTTGCTGCTGCTTCGTTCGTAATCTCATCATTTAGTTCAGATTCCAATGATTGTGTCCCATCGCATGAAACCGCTAAAATTATATCCAGAAGTGCAGAAGTGCGTTTAGTTGCTTACCATTACTTTCTGAGAGCAGCAAAATCACCGATCTAGGCATTGAAGTATAGTACAAGTTTCGGACTTAAGCAACCGATGTTTATTTGGAAGTTGAAGCAGAGTACACCTAGTTTTGATAAGGAAAGAATGAAAATGATTGTCTATCTTTCTGATTATCTTTAAATGCGGTGAACACGTTTTGTCTTGGTTCACTAACGTAAGTTGACATCCAGGGCTCGGCACGAGCTGGCACCAGGAAATTTTCGAAACGAAGTCCCTCTTGACCCTAAACCCTAAACCTGAAAAAACCCAAAAAACGAAACGCGACTAAAAAAAACGTCGCAATTTCTCGACAAAAACGATATCCTCTTTGCTTTTTGTCCCAAAAACGATATCCAGCTTGCCCCGTCCCAGCCGGTATAGGCCATCCGCGCTGCGCACGGAGAGCAACGCTGTCGCGTACATTGAAGGCAGTTCACGACTGAGGGAGGGCGCAGAGAAAACAGGCGGCGAGAGTGCACGAGGAAAGAGGAGTGACGCGCAGTACATACCTTGCGCACTCTCCGCGCCCGGCGCGGATGGCCTGTACCAGGCCCTGGTTGACATCCTTACGGTTTTGCTCTCAATAAACCCTCTGTCATTCATTCCGTGACTAACAACAAGAGATCGGAACCGCTTTGCAAACATAGTCCAAACAAGATTGAACTTGTGCTTCTTGTTCTCAAGTAGCAAATAATCTTAGGTTAGATAGGTGACGTATAACCAACCGATCAAGTTTGTGACAATGTGCAAAACCGGTTTCGTTTCTGTTACAAGGGGAAGGATATTTGATCGAAGTGGCGTTTCCAAAAAAAAATGTTGTTGTGTCTGACAATGAGAGAGCATAGAACGCTGATTCCGAATCTTCTTTCAATATTTACAAAGCGCTTCTTGCAAGAAGAGTTGTGGGAAATTTTTGGGTAAATATCCAAAAGCTTGGCTAAGGGACCCGTCATATTCGCCAAAAGAAGCCCAAAGAGCACCCGAAAAAAAAAACAAAGCCTAAGAACGCCAGAAAGAGCCGAAACGTTGCCTTTTGCGGGCAAATTTTGGCTTTAAAGGCAGTTTCCGGGCAAGAAGTCGATTTTGAGATTTTATGCTCACTCGGGCCTATTCGCTATGATAAATCTTAATTCACACCGGAGAGCTGAAAAGGGCGAAAAAGGGCTCTAAGGCCCGTATGCACTAACATTTTTGCGGCGAGGGGAGCGGCATCCCCAATGATGAAGGGACCGCGTGCGGACGCCGCTGCGGCTTTCTCATCATTGGGGACGCCGCTCCCCTCGCCGCAGGGATGTTAGTGCATGCGGCCCTAAGAAAGGAGGAAAATCACTAGGTGGGCGGAGTCTTCCCCAGTGTGAATTCATGCTCCCAGCTTCTGGAGCGATCCTGTCGATTCCTTAACCGTCACATCGCCACCGACCAAATGCGAATGCGTGAGTCGAAATCGGAACCGAGAAGATCGCTTCGGAAGCTGGGAGCGCGAATTTACAGTGGGGAAAGATTCCGCTCACCTAGTGATTTCTTTCCTGCACTAGAGTCCTTGTTCGTCGTTTTCGCGACCCCCCGCCCCCCTAGATGTACCCATCCGTACGACCCCCCACCCATCCCCACCCCGCCTACCCCAATTCCCCCCCCCCCCCCTCCCCACTTGTCCACTTCCTTTTGCGGTAACCTGCATAAACGAAAGTAAATCTCAAAAGATGCCTACAAATGGATCTCAGTCAAAATTATAGTTCAGAGAAAGATAACTATTTACAAATTGGGAGATAATGCAAGTAATGCCTCACTACTCAAAAACAAATAATTCTACGTAGAGATTGGGTAAGTAGTAAAATTTCACAAATTGGGAAATTATGAATCGAAAGGACATCATCTGACAAAGTAGAACATCGATTTTGATTCAAATGGTATTTAACACGTTGACGACCGTGTGCATCCGCGCGTATGCACGCCCTGACCACCTAGTAGCACTTTCATGCATCAATTTATCATGTGTAAACGAAAAGTTCTCAGGTAACTTCTATGCATTGATAACACTGGTGGCCTTGTTGTCATATAGAACACACGGCATTGCGGTAGCTGTTAAACAGTCCAAACCGCAGCCGTAGATCATCAGTCCATTTTGAGGTGGTCAAAAATGGCTCGGTCGTCAACGTGTTAAGCTGTACCCTACCTATAAAAATGAAATAAAATAACAACCAAGAAAAATTTAGCATTATGGAACGGTTCACTTTAGTCATTATAATTATTGACTTCTAAAGTACTCATTATATAATGACTATTTTAGAAGTCAATAATAACTCCTTTTCGAAGGTTAATAAATTTTCTGCTGTTTATGAGTGTTCGGCATAATCCTTTCATGGTCCAATGGTACCGAAAGATATAAACTATGGTTTGCAAATTAGAACGTTTCAGACTTTAATGACAGTCCCGTGTTCTATCCTCGTATGCGACGATTTTTTGCAGGGACTAAAAACGATGTCTTTGAAGCGTAAACATTGTTTTCGACTAAAATGCTTACTTTCTCTTTATTGCGCAAATTTTTCGGCGAAAAAAACCGTTTTAGCGCCTTCCAGAAGGATGTCAAAAACGTGCATGAGCACGGTACTTTGAAAATTTGTGACTAAGGTCAGGGAAAGAGGCTGTAATGAACAGGCTGTGTAGTATTGTGCCCAGGCTATCCATGGAAAAGTTTAAGCATTGAGGAGGCGACTCTCGCAATTAGATGCGATTCTAAAAAGTGAAAACTGGGATTTTTAAGCTTGAAACTTTGTAACTCACCGGAGAAGTTATGAAACAGCCTAAAATTTTTATGATAGAAGGTAGGAGGATGGGATTACTCGTATTACAGCAAAATTCCAGCGAGCAGGCCTCCATAGCGGCGAAAACAATTAGATGCGGCCCAGATACGACCCCCCCCCCCTTTTCCATTTTTTGTTGCCATATGTAAAAATTTTAAAAAATCCACAGGCTATGAAATATAACCAGATTTTGCACAACTGTAGCAGAGCATCTCCAAAGACAGTTCAATTGTAAGGGCCCTTGAAAGACATTAAAAAAGTTGTAAAATATCGATGGTCATCGCTGGTGGAGATGGGCGCTTTTGTCGAGAGCGTGAGACTTCACTGGTGCACTTGCGGCCGCAAGTTCAATCCCGGTCTGCGACACCTTTTTTGCAGGGAGGTAAATGCTGTTTTTTGAAGAGTAGAAAATGTTTGCGACTGAAAAGCTTATTTCCTACATTCCACACTTTTTTGATTCGGACCACCCTCTCTTACGACCCTTCCCCCATCGCCAGCGCCCCCTTTAAGGCAGTGTCCGGGCAAAAACTCGATTGTGAGATTTTGTGCTTACCCGGGCCTATTCACTACGCTGAATCCGAAATTCCACACTGGAATTCGCGAAAACGGTGAAAAAGGGCTCTAACGCAGGAAGAGAAATCAAAAGTGGGCGGGGTCTTCCCCAGAGTGAATTCACGGTCCCAGCTCCCGGAGCGATCTTTTCGCTTCCGACTTCAGATCATGCATTCGCACTTGGTCCGTTGAGATGTCAGGGCGGTTAGTGGAATTGGAAAGATCGCTCCGAAACCTGGGACCGTGAATTCACCTTGGGAAAGACCCCGCCCACTTTTGATTTCACTCCTGCGTTAGAGCCCTTTTTCGCCGTTTTCGCGCTTTCCAATGTGGATATTCGGGTTCAGCATAGGGAATAGGCTCGGGTAAGCACAAAATCTCAAAATCGACTTTTTGCCCGGACACTGCCTTTTACGACCCGACCCCCCCCCCCCCCCCGTTGCGACGGTCGCATCACTCGCTTGACCTCGTACGCAACCCAAAAATTCGAAATCTCGGATTTTGCTAAGACTTTGCATACAGGGATTATGTGACATGCTGAGCTATAACGTGGAGGTTTAACAAGTTAATCCTGATAATCAGGGTAAGTCCGCAACCCAGCTCTGATCGAAAACTTGGAGCCATTCATACATGTGAAAACTTGATTGTGCTATCATCGAGTTTTACTGTCTCTGTCTAATCCAGAACCATTTGCTGCATGAGACCAAGAAACAAATTCAGGCCTGTTCAGGCAATGTGCGCAAAAGCAATTTTCAGTCTCTTGATCTCAGAGTGACACCATCACCAACCGCGACACGGCCTTCCGCTTCTGGATTCCGGGGGGAACACGCGGAAGGCGACAAATGCCCTGGAACGGGCGCGACTAGTGGCCACGCCCTGTCCGAGTTCTCCGCCAATCAGCCATTCAAATATTTGTATTGGAGCGCGACTGCACGCTTTCTACATGTTTCGTTTCTTGTGCGATCACGTTCTTGTCTCTGTTCGTATCTATCATTTATTAGTTGTATATCTTTCACGTTCTGTGTAAACATCTTTGCTCACAGGAGTAATGTTTGATGCAGGAGTCCTCATAGAAGACGTACATACACATGAGCGACTTAAAGGGACTTGTCCACTGATTCATTAGAGGTATGATTTTTTCTTGTGTCCTGTGCTTTTCTACTTTTGCATTTTACAATTTGCTTATTTAGTCAATATTACTTTATGAATGTTCTCGCCTTACTTATAGTTAGCATTTTTTGTCATCATCAAATTGTTTGTGCGACTTATTCATTTCATTTTAGTTCAGATATACGCAGAAAGTCCTTGCTTTCAACTTCGTGAGCCATAGCTATGGACTTATGAAAGGTAAGCGCTCTCACTCACTCCTTTTCTGCTTTAACATCGCAAATCGTTTTCTGTCATTGAAGGGTGAATGTCCATAAGTGCATTCGAACAGAGACGAGCTCAAGAGCCATTGATGTGAGCATTCTGTAATTGTGCTACTTACGCTCGAGTTATCAATGCTAGATGTTGCTTTTTCTCACTTTTGTGCATTTATATGATTTTTTAATATCGTTATCTAAGGGTCGTAGATTCTTTTCTCTTCTCAAAGAGATGGTATGTTAACGTGACTTCACTCACTTGTAAGCAGTATTTCTAAATACATAATGGTCCCTTGTAGACACTATTGTCGATAATGACTATGTGGAACAAATAGAATTACAGAAAAACTTTGGAAACTCAGTACAGGAATTTTTTGTTTTGTTGTAAAGTTGTATTCTACATCAAAATTCGGCTTTCCTTGTGATTCATTTTTTTTCAAGGTGGACCTACAGGTAAAATGTACCATATCATTTATCATTGTATCATTTCCTTTTTGTCTCCTATACTCTGGTGCAATTTCTGTTGTGAATAAAGTGTTCTTTTTTGCACTGTCAAGCAAAACAGCAGAAAAACTATGAAAACTTGAAGCATTGACAAAGACCATAGGTCGCGAAGCTTTATCGAGTTTGTGATTCGCCTAGATACAAACTAATGTTAATTTCGCCAGAAAATGAGGTTTTTCTTACTTTGAGCCTTGAAAGGAACTGCTTTGCAACATTCATTGTGTTCAATTCAATTCTATCCGAATGATAGCCACATAAGCGCATACTACACTGATGCAACTCGGTTATTCTCACTTAATCTGGAAGTTAATCGAAATATGGTTTGTGAGTAGCATGTGACCGAAATCGAATTTCGCTGCGAAATCTCAAACTGCAATCAGTTAGCTATCATTAAACAATCTACAGCTCTACACTGAAATACGTAACCTTTCCTTCGTACACTGAGTGATCACTCCTACCAATTTGCACACGACAAAACAGAGTAGTCAATGAGGATATCGCCACCACTCACGCGCCAGCCTATGCGCCACAAGAGCGTCAATCTGTCTAATTGACTCGAGGCCAGCACTAAACAGCAGGCAAGTTGGAGGCGTGGCCACCGTTCCCTCGCCTCTACTGGGTTTTGTCGCCTACCGCACCACACCCGGATTCCGGGCGCCCCGGCGATGAAGTGCGCTCCATTCAAACTTATGGCGCGGAAAACAACTGCAGCATTTAATTTTTGCAAATGAAACATGAACGTTGTCCATTTCTCATCTGTTTTTGTGCTGTGCTTCTGCATTGTTTGCCTCAACTGGTTCACATGTTGTTTGCCTCAACTGGTTCACATCCAATTTTCAGAATGAATGGTGACTTGGAAGTTCTTGAGAGGGATATAGCATGTGGTGAGTTCTTCAAATCTCTCTCCCAAAGTCCCTTTATTTTTCTATTATTTAGGGTTGGAAGTAATCGCAAAAGGGCTGCATGAGCGTTACCAAGAGTTTCAACAAGTTCTTCCGATGGCCGAAGAGGACATAGTCATGAAAATGCAAGATCTTGGAAATAAAGTGGAAGAAAAGTTGAAGCAAGCCGACAGCTTTATCCGTGAAAGCAGTGGGATGGATAGCTCTGGTGAAGTAAGATATCATGCTTCTTTGGAGCTTTTTCCTCAATTATCTTTACTTGGAAAGTTCAAATACGGTAGTACTTTCTCGTTTTTGCTGAGCGTAACTCATTGTTCTTTAGTTAAATTCTTCAGACAAGTTACAAAATGCATACATTGGCTGGTTTCGTTTTATTCAAGATTCATTGATTACTTGAAACTGGTTGTTGTCAATTTGCTTTCGACATGCAGCCCCTATTCACATATTCATTTCAGAAGTCCCGCTTAACCATCAGCACACAGGACCGAATACTTAGAAAAAAACTTTCTGAGTTATCTGAGTGCCGTGAGCTTCTTGACAAAATTCAAGAAATCGAAGGACTACTAGTCGCGTCGCGTTCCGATGCAATCGATGTGGTGACAGAGGCGAAAAATCTACTAGAATGTGAAGCTCAACTCAATGACATTACTAAGGTTTGTTCCATGAATTACTCCTAGTGTGTAGCTAATGTACCCATTTTAAACATTTAGCATGATGGTTGGCCTGTAATTACTGATCGCGTTCGTGATATTTTACGCGAAGAAGTCAACTATATGATGAGTTCGCTCAAATATAAGTTGGCTCATGGATTCGATGAATTTGTTTCGTACCCATCTACTGAGGTGAAGGGAACCGTTCACATGCATGTTCGTAAGGAGAGCGCTACTGATATTGGCCAGGTGAGCAAAAGTGCCTGTTCTCGTTCATTTTTTTTTCAATCCCATTAGTCCAAGTTTTGATTTTGGAAAGTTCGGAATGCTTTAGGCCTCGGGCAGAGTTTACGTTCTATTTGATCGTCGTGATTCAATCGCTACAGGACAAGTGTTACGAGTTCATTGCATGCCGATCTTCTTGTATTTTGGTTGTGATAGTTAGTCATCACGATTAGTCGTGTTGGAAAACTATTACAATCGAAATGTAAGAAGATCGGCATGTAGTGATATTGTTGCAGTTTTCTTGTCGCGATCAGTCGCGACGACCAAATCGCGTGAACTCTGTCCGAGGCCATGCGAATAAAAACACGCTGCACATAAGCACCGCGCAGGTTTTGACCTGGGAGTTTGAAGTTACTGGATGTTAGTCGTGATTATTCTATTTATTCGCTGAACAACATCGTTACTCTGTTGATTGTTAAATAGTATTAGATGATATATCTGCTTCCTTATAAACAAACCTTCTTCTTCAAAGTCATAACGCATTGTTGACTTTTTGTTGTTAATGAAACAGTAGTGAACTAATAGTTATTCCAAACATTCGTGTTTCAGCTGCTTACCGCGTTGAGCCTTCTTGGTGAACTCGATGGACGTTTGAAAAAATGGGCATCATACATAGTCAAGAATTTTGTACAACCTATTGTGGATAGTGTGGATGGGACGGATCCATTTGAAAGATACGCGGTTACGGTTGGTAGATTGAAAAGTAGAAACATCTTCATTTCCGTATACGATTCAGAATAGAACCGCAGAATTTACGGCGAGCAGCAAAATCAAGCCTACCATAAAAGAGGTCTCCATTGAGGGTGTAGTCAGGTAATCTTCATTTCAATGGTGCTCATCGTTAAGTTGATGAGTTGATGCGAATGCGAATGTGAATGCGCATATCTTGCAAGAGTGTGATGTTCACTGTTTTACGCTTTAGTGCACTGCTACGTCTGTTCACGAATCTAGCTTCTGCAATAGAAGGTATCCAGGTCAATGGTAGGCCGCTCCCACTATGTCTCGGTCACTTTTTCCAGGATGACCTCATGGCCATGTTTCTGAAGGTATTTACGACGTTTGTATTATAGCTTTCCTCTGTATGTACAGTTCCTCTTAGCAGTCCGTGGCCGCCTCCGTTCCAGTTCCTGATCCGGATGGGACGAAGCTCAAGGATGCTATGGCAGTCGCTGAAAAATTCCGAAATGACATGATAGTATGTTTCCATCTGCAGAAGCCAAGTTGTTTTGAGTGAGCATTTGATTTGCAGGCTCTCGGTTTCTTCAATGACGCGACTCCTACGTTCAAAAACTTTTCTGAGCAACATTTTACAGTGTTTATCGATCGCAGATGCCTTGAAATCATACGAAGGGCCAAAGAATTAATTTGCATGAAATATCTGGAACTGGCCGAGGTCTGGACAGATTTCAGTGATAACAAGGCAAATTGTTAGAATTTCAGGTTGGAAGTGGCGAAGAAGTCAACGAAGAGACGATACTCCAGTACAAAGAGGCTTTTGGAAAAGCGCTTCCGAAATCATCGTCATCTTCCGATAGTGTGTATCCGGTGTTGCTCCAGCTTCCACGATGCAAAGTCAGGCGAGTCCCTTTCCACACCGCGCGTATCAGTTTTTTCTTGCAATTTTATTTGTTGTTTTTATTTTTTTTCGTTTCTATGGCATTATATGATCGTATAATATCTTCATTTATTACTCCTACTTTTAGCCAATCTACAGTTGATCTTATGGAGTTGGTTTTTGTCACCTTACAGGATGCAGTAAACACGGACAATGAAGTTAGTCGCTCCTCAGACAATTTTCGTTGCGAATCTATCATTCAGAAACTCTCTGGTCGCCTGGCATTAACAGCTCGAAATGTTCTGCAGTTATTTGAGCTCACTGCTCCAAGACACCACGGAACTGCGATCTCGTCAATGCCGCAGATGGCTGGTAAGCTCAAGCTGGAAACCCGTTATCGCTTTATAACTTGTTTTAGCTATATTCTATAACAACTGCTATTACATCTGCCACAGACTCATGATGATGCCATTTGGCATACTGAAGAATGTGGACAAAAGCTCTCCAAAGGTATTTTTTCACTTATTTGATGATTTTTGCAGTATCGCAGAATGAAGCTCTCTAGAATATGAGAAACCTCGTGATTATGTAAGGAACTATGTTTTAGTTCGCGAGTTTCCGTCCTATACTCTCGGATTCTTTGTGGAAACTGAGGGAAATAGCTGCAGATATGATGGAGCAGGTTAGCTTTTATCTTCTGATTAGCTTTTCTTTCTGCATTGTATATACTGAATGCTTGGTTTTTAGATGATGCGCCAGTGCAGGCGTGATATCAGCGTTTTGATGAACAAAGACGACTGTGAGTTTGTATTCAAATGCTCATTTTAAAAGTTTTCCTTGTTCTTCTAGTATTCATAAAACTTGATGATCTCGAACGGTGCGATGAAACAAAAGACGTACTGAACGCTACGCTTATGCATGTACAGAATGTGTCCCATCTTCTTAAAGAGGTAAATTGGCTTTATTTGTAGTGCTAGAATCAATTATGAACCTATTCCAGGTGCTTGCTGAGATGGTCTACTCGCAGACAATGGCTAACATCGTCTCATTTTTGCTGGATAGCATTTGTGATGTGATATTGAGGCGAGAAGATATCCGGTCCGTGGATGCGGAAATTTCAGCCGAAATGATCGAAACGTTGTTGAAACAGCTTAGTTCTATTTTTGAGGTAATTATCAATTAATATTTTGTTATAGTCGTCCTCACCCCACTAGTCGGTCGGTGGTCAAATTTGAATTCGAAGCGGAGCAGATCGGCCGCGGCAGGGCGCGGCAGACCGCCCCTCAGCCAACCGCTTGCACATGAGCTTTTCTATTTTCTTCGTGTTTCTTTGCTGTCTCCCGTATTGCGGCAATGTTCTTTATCAGATTTTCAAATTTCCTAACGCCAACTATTATTTTGTGCAGTTTTGCTCGTTTGTTTTACGTTTTTTCCATGTAAACCGGGAAGAAGAATGCGATTGGAGATTTTTGGATGAGAAATCTCTGTTTTCCGGTAAGTGACATATACACAAATGTGGTTTGATGAAGTGTGTCAAGATTTGCGTTGGAATATGTGCTCTAGACTTTTCCTCTTGCGATAAGGCTAAAATTCTCTCAAAAAGGGTTTGTTTCAAAGAGTTATCGGTACGAAATCTGAAAACCTGATTAAGAACATTGCCGCAATACGGGAGATAGCAAAGAAACACGAAGAAAATAAGAGAAAAGCTCATGTGCAAGCGGTTGGCTGAGGGGCGGTCTGCCGCGCTCTGCCGCGGCCGATCTGCTCCAGTTCGATTTCAAATTCGACCACCGACCGACTAATGGGGTGAGGGCGACTATATTTCTTGCAAATCTCTTCATAATATTGTGTTGTTCGTTGCTGTCGTTCCCACTTGTGAGACGAGGCGGATGTTCAATTGTTTGAACTACCCAAATGGCGGCCGGCTCTTTTTTAAAGGTCCACAGCTAGCTAAGAAAATCAAACCAGTAGTGCTTATTGTTTGATCTACGATCAAAGACAGGCGCTTCCTTTAGTTGGGTGTATCGTCTTGACACGTACTGAAAATGCAGCTTGTAAATCGCGAAAATCACGATAGACTTTTGGAACCCTGGAATTTACATATGGGAACAGTGCCCGGAAAATCAGAGATTTAGGGTCATTATAGGATCTATCAAAATTGTGTGCGATATCTTAGTATCGGTGAGAACTTGATAGTGTGAGGACAATTCGCTCTAGAGATGTTCGGAACAGTTTTGCAGCCAATTTTGGGTTTGCAGGGTTTTGCTCCAGTTATAATGATTGCTCTTTGCAAATGCAGTGCCTTATAATCGCAATTCCCTACTTTTAAACTTCAGTGATACAAATTAAGAATATCTCAAACAAAGAACGACTTTATAACGGTTTCAATCTGGCATTCATTTCCTAAGGAATGGAAGAATCGCTAAATATTTTTAGAAGCTAGTTAGCATTCCGTAAAATTTGAAGTGCATCTAATTTTTCAAGGTCAATGGCCGTTCCTCTATCCATGAAGTTTGTTCCACATCTTTCTTCCGGACCAAGGAAATAATATTCTGCTTGAAAGGAAGCTTGCAGGTTGGAAAGATTTCTTGTTTCCCTCATGTTCATATTATTCATTTGGACTTGTGCTTGCAGAGTATCGATGATCGCTGGTGCAGCGCCAAAGGACCCTTGGCCCAATGGCTTCAGGCCAGTGAAGTCCGAGGGCTCATCAAAGCTCTTTTCATGAATACAGAACAGAGAAAGCAGTTGTTAGACTCGATCTTTTGAGCACGAACTTCAGTGTTATGAAAGTGCTGCCCTGTGTACTGAACCTTATTCCTGTGACCGAACCCGGTTGATTTGACCGTCATTAATAAGCCTTATCTTGCCGGTATTCACTGCTGGCTAAACTTAATTTTACGAGTAAGCTACGGTTGTTAAGCCTGTCTTATAGCTGGTAGAATTTCGTATTTATCCAAATGTAAATTGCTCTGATTATAAAGATGTTGAAATTTTTTGGTCTTTTTTGAAAGAGAGAGAAAACATTTGTGCTATTTGTGTGCCACAACTTGGTTTAGGGGAGATTATTGCCAAATTTATCATGATTTGACTGTGCTGAGGTTTTTTTTCATCAATCTGCATGAGGAATTTTACAGTTTTGAGTATCATTCTTTCTCAATATCTCTTGTAGTGACACGGTGAGCGCGGCGGTCACTTCTGACTGATAAGAAGTTTCAAACTACGCATCTCTGGTCATTCGTTCTTCAGGCTGGTCATACTTTGTTTGAATTCCCTGATCGAAGTCCGTTTCTGGCTTTTCCCTTCACCTCTCAGGCTCATGTGCAAATTTTTCATTTCTTTCTTTTAGATAAGCGGATTTCTGCCTGAAAACTAAACCCAAATCCCGCGATTTACCATTTTTCTAAAACAATATTTTTGTATCGGTTAATAGAGTCTCATTTTCTGATTTTTTACCTACCTTTCGGGTTAATGGCGAACCGAGCACTTACATTTATATTTCCCGTGCAGTAGCAAAGCAAACATCACAATGTTGTTTTCAAACCTGTGCTCATTAATCGATCCGATACTATCTTATCAAGGGTAAATGTGGTACTGAGGTCTTCCTCACGCCATGAGCATTCAGATTGTTTGAGTGACCTTTGCGAAACATAATTAAAGGGACAGTATCTTGGAGGTTTTTGAGCGATTCTCTGCTTGATAAGTGGAGACTACCCCGATCATTTTTTTGTTCACAGGCGTTTTTTACTGCGTTCTACAAGGCACTGCATGTTTCAAAGTCGGATTTGCTTCCTTTTCTACTAGCAGACAGTTGTATCGTTGTAGATTTTCCTCTTTCAAACTTGTCAGTCATTCCATCATTCGCATACATCATGTCACAGTCCATTTTCTCTTATTTTCTGGCAGGATTTTAGCAGAGGATATCCATTTCGCTAGCTGCTAATGCTATATGATGTTAAAATTTGAAATTCCACGATTATTTTTGCATAAATTTCTTCTTTTTTAGGTTTATCATATCTATTAGGTCATTCCGAAAGTAATTTCGCTTTTTTCAAACGGACGCCACATTCGCTGGAACAAGGATTCAAAAGAGATCCTGGTAGCATTCGATGCAGCATTTCATTCTCTTTCTAACAATTATGAAATTGTTGCAAAACATCGATGAGCTTTCAGAAAATAACCAAAATCTGCGACCCATGCTTTTTGAGATGGTCAAGTTTCACGATTTTTTAAAACTTTTATATCAATCCTCAGAAGGAGCTCAAGTAACGATTCGATAGAGCAAACCTTATAGAATACAGTACTACTTTTTTCTCCTTTCCGTAGCTTGTCATACATTTTTAACGGAATTTTAAGTGATGCTACCGATTTCCATACTTGGGCAGCTAAATCTTCGTAGAACATCAAAAGAAGAGCAGCTCGCGCACTATTTGATGCAGCATTTTCTCCTCTTTCTAACAGGTGTTTTTTTTTTCGATTCGTTTAGTTTCCGGGGAGAAATCATCATAACTAACTTTTTTAGCGAGCCCCAGGCTGTACCCAAAAAACTCGAAATTTGATATTTCGAACTCGTAAACCTTCACTTGCTTTGTAAAATTAATGCTAACTCATAGTACCATCTTGGTAGTCTCTTCCGAAAAATTATGATGTTTGATGCGATTGTGGCCGAGGTGGGCCTGCCAAAATCCGATGATTCTGTTGAAAAATCTTCTAAAAAATTACGGCGAGATACGAAAAAAAGAAAAAAGTAGTACTGTATTCTTCATGGTTTACTCTATTGAATCGTTACTCGAACTCCTAACGAGGATGGATATGAAAGCTTTAGAAAATTGTGAAACTTGACCATCTCAAAAAAGCATGGGTCGCAGATTTTGGTTATTTTCTGAAAGCTCATCGACTGTTTTGCAACAATTTCATAATTGCTAGAAAGAGAATGAAATGCTGCATCGAATGCTACCAAGATCTCTCTTGAATCCTTGTTCCAGCGAATGTGGCGTCCGTTTGAAAAAAGCGAAATTACTTTCGGAATGACCTAATATACTGATCACTTCAGACAATTTTAGCATTATGCACGATCCATTCGCCTAAATCTACCTTCGTACAAGAAGGGTCACTTGTGATTAGGGTTATCACTTGAGCTATGACATCATAGATTACACAATCTGTTTTGGAATGGATGGACCAACTTGCACTCCTTGAAAAAAGAGCTTCCACATTTTTATCGATTACCAGCTTTTCTTTCTTGTTAATTTGATAGGATTTTCAGCTCGTGTAGATCATTTTCGATGTACTAGTTCTTAACGAATTACCCAGAAATCAAACTTTTCCCATAGGAATTTAGTTATTTATCAAAATATGATTTTGAAGTTGAGACTTGGAGGATAGAAGAATTGGTGCAGATTTCCACATTTGGAAATGCTGTTGATTGAGTAGCTAACAGAATGTGGACGCATTTAACGGATTTTCCAAGAATTTTCTGAAGAGTGCTGTGAAAGCAATAGGATTACAAGAAAAATTTTCTATTTGTTATACATAAGGTTGAAAAGCAGTTCAGCACAGTGAATGGGAAAAGCATGCGTTCCAACGCAGAAATCTTATGAATCGTCAAACTTACACTCTTCTAATTTTGGATTTCGTAGCCATGAGGCAATCCTTCTCTTTATCTTCTTTTCAAGAGAAGCAGTGTTCAACTTGCTTTCTTTCAAATCGATTTAAAAAATGTCATATTCTTTGTAAAAATGCCGTGTTCATCATTGATTTCTATCGCAGTGATTCGATCGATCTCTTGAATGCAATACAAAAATGAGGAACGTATCCCGCTGCTGTCTAGGCAGTTTTCGAAAGCGAGGTTAGTTTCTCTTGTTTTTTATTCTTACAATTAGCTTTAGACTGCAATCCTCCAACTCTTCAATGCCATGCATTTTTTTATTTAATATTCAAACTATTTTATCAATGAGACTATGCATGTTGTATCGCAGACGATTTTGATCGAATACCGGCTTAACAGATTGAAAATCATGAGTGTTTGTTTCGAGCGATAATTTCGACTGAGTTGAAAGGGTTTGGGTTTGTTGAATATGCTCACATCTATTTGCACTAAGCATTAGAAAAAAGCTAAAAATGTCATCATCTCACTAGCTTTCACTACATCGTTGCACAAAGCACAGGTCTATGGAGTCATAAAAAAAACTGTGACTTCTGTCTAATCATCATTTGGACTTAGTACCCGATATAAAATCAATTATATTTCGCATTTTTTATAAATAATGCAGTTGTTTCAGAGAAAAATTGTAGTTTATTTGGGTAAAGATTCAACTCAATCAGTATTTAAGTAATTGTTGTAATCAACTCGGAGAGGATTTTTAAAGGTTTAAAGGTGGTTCGGGAAGAAGTTGTTGCGACTTCCACGTTTTCTATCAAATAGCAATATCATTTTTCCAAAATAAAAACAAAAAATAGCAAGCTTTTCCTTGATGTGCTATTCATACCTGTATCGCAAAAATTATATATTCCATATTTCTGTTGCAAAGGTCCTCAAATACTTAAGGCTCAACTAAACTTTACTATGGAATGAATAATCATAGTACACGAATTAATACTGTAAAGAGGATTTTCGAAGAGAAAGACCAAGATTATTTCTCTCAACTCCCATGTAATGGTTGACAAATTGATGCATTCTGTCTACTGTAGGCTACCCTCCAGAATAAAGAGATTCAATTAAAAGCAAGGAAGAAGAGAAGAATTGTGTAAAAGCATAAATTACAGCAAATATTCCGCCACTACAGCTCTAAGTGGCAGAAATGTGATTTCAAATAGCACAAACTTTTTGTATCATTTTTATTCGTTACTGACTGCTATCACTGTTATCGACTCCACCTTCTGACAATTATCTTTGAAGAAAATGCACGTTAATATAATAGAAGCACTGTTAGTGTAAGGTTTTGTCTTTTAATCGCATAGTAATCTTATTCTGTGAAATCAAATATTATGCCTTCGGTATCCGGTAGTTTGAGAAAGAAGAAGAGGCGAGTTTTCATTTCACTTTTTTTTGGAGAATTCTTTTGGAGTTTCTAGCTCATTTGTAATATCAAATGCCTTTTCTGAGATAAATTTGAATTATCTATATAAAATTTGTCAGTGCAGCAGTATATGATTCTTTCTTCCATTCTAATCAATTAATTCCACCTCCTTGACTTGTTTATAAGGGCAGTATCCAAATCTAACAAAGGAAGGATACTTGATCGCAGTGGCATTTGGGTAAGCGGTGTATACCGCGTATACCGTCCCGAGACGGTGATCTGTAAACCGCTTTCCATATCTGCTATGACGTCATTCTGGAGGAGTTTTAAAGGATTTTTGGTGCAGTGGGTAGTGGTTTGGACTGCGGAGCTGGACGTCGTGGGATCGATTCCTCTGGGATGCCACCCGTTTTGCATTTTTGTAAATCTTAGCAGGCAAGTTGCAAAACCTGTCGACATCAAAAAAGTTGATTTTCACAACATGAAGCAATATATTTACATTTATTGGCACTGAACCACCGTCTAACCTAAAAACACTCGCTTTGAGCCGCCTTTTTCATTATATTCATTCATTGAATTCATTCACTCATTCATTCATTCATTTCATGAAAGACGCCATTTTTGACAGGTTAGCTGCTCCTCTCTATGTTAAGCACAAATTCGGAATTTTTGACTGTAAAATTGCGTAAAGTATTTATTTTATTTTTTGTCGACAGGCCTTGCAACTTGTCTACTAAAATTTACAAAAATGCAAAACGGGTGGCATCCCAAAGGAATCGATCCCACGACGTCCAGCTCCGCAGTTCAAGCCACTATCCACTGCACCAAAAATCCTTTATAACTCCTCCAGAACGACGTCATAGCAGATATGGAATCCGGTTTAGAGATCACCGTCTGGGGACGATATATGTGGTATACACCGCTTACCCAATCGACTGCGATCAAGTATCCTTCCCTTGTAAGCGCTTGGGGTTTTTTTTTGTTTGAAATAACTGTTTACGGGGCTTCAGCTGATCTATTATCTAATCCTGGCCGAGAAATTTCAGCTCCGAAGCCCAGATCGTACATACCGTATTCAAAGATGCTTACGGTTTTGGTTAAATCCAACATTGTGATCTAAATCTAATGATTTTCTCTTAGGGAATGGCTGAGGCGCTTTTCCCCCACAACGTATAAATTGAGAAGCTGCACAAATTTGCTAGACACTGCCTTGGAGTCGAAATAGAAATTACTTTTGTTCTTCTTGAATTCTCAGAACAAATCGAAAATTTTTTTTACCTGTCAAGTAAAAGTCTCAGAGACAGTCAAAGTTTTTTCTTAAATATTATAAGAAATAAATTCGTGCAGACATTCAGAATCCAGAAATCCAGAAACAGATGTCAAGAAAATCTCACTTCGATAGAAACTTTGATATCTATGCATTCTTCGAATTTGCATAAAGAAACACATTATCAACGAGATAATGACCCAAAGCTTAATTCCAAGGAATATTTTGGAAAAGATTACGAAGAGTTATGACGGTTGAAGATAAAATAACATATATGGAAGCATCGGAGGTGTCTCAAAAACAACATGTGTATGATTCGATACAAAGGTTACAAGATAAAAATAATATTTTCAGCTCCATATCCGATGTCACCAAGGATGACACCAAACCTGCGCCAACCAAGAAAGGCATAGTAAGTTTAGCACCTCAGAATTTTCGTTTAAAAAATACTATAGTTTTTTTTAAGCTTCACTTAGCCTCACCTCTGGATTATTTGCTGTTAGTGTTAGGCTCTCTAGCATCAATTATTCATGGAGCAGGATTTTCTGTCCTTGGTATCGTACTGGGAGGAATGACAACGGTTTTCCTCAGAGCACAAAATTCTGATTTTGTGCTTGGTGAGAACATGAGCGATCCGAATGGATTGCCACAACTCACAAAGTACGTGAAAATTTCAACTTCACTTATATTGGTAAACTCTACCATTTTTAGGGAAGAATTCAACAAAGAAGTGAAAATGTATTGTATTTACTATCTTGTATTAGGTGTGGCAATGTTTGTAACATCGTACATTCAGGTAAATTCTTAAATCTTTGCATCAGTATCTTATCTAAATTATTTTTTTATAGATAGCTTGTTTCGAAAGTTATGCGGAAAAAATTGCTTACAAATTGCGTCAAATTTACCTGAAGGCCATTCTTAGACAAGAGATCTCATGGTTCGACGAACAACAGACTGGAAACCTCACAGCTAGACTGACTGAGTTCGTTCTGAAGTTATATCAAGCTGATGGTCCTTATAGTGCTGGTGCGGTGCCAACAACATTTGCGCGTGAACAAATGGCCACAGAAAAAAGTATGCGCTCTATGACCATCTTACAAGCTCAAATTGCAGGCGTAGCGGTCTGTTCACGAGCAAATGTTGTCATCATCGTAACGGCACTAAATGAACATTTAAGGCTAGCATATAACCATAATTCAGTCGAAATCATCTTTTCAGTGATCTCGAACGTGTCCGAGAAGGATTAGGTGACAAACTGTCGTTATTCATCCAAATGGTTTCTGCATTCTTCGCTGGATTTGGCGTCGGATTCGCTTATAGGTAAGTCTTTCAAGGGTTATTTATTCATAAGTACCAGATCTTATAGAAAATTTGTTACAGCTGGTCTATGACATTAGTGATGATAAGTGTCGCCCCCTTCATAGTAGCGTCAGCAAGTTGGATGGGAAAAACTGTCGCGACAAGGTGGGTAGTATTGGAAATTTTCCAAGATTTTCATCTAACTCACTTTTTTCGAATTTTCGCATTTCATATTATTTCATGCAATGAAACAGTAAATTCTAGAACACAAGTCGAACAGGAGATTTACGCAGTGTCCGGTGCGATTGCGGAAGAAACTTTCTCATCCATACGTACTGTACATGCTCTTTGTGGGCATAAAAGAGAATTGAACAGGTAGTGTATAGGCGATTGATTGCACGCAGAGACTGTACGCCGTAGCGGCTCAGTGAGAAAGTTCGTGTTTGAAAGAGACGGCAGACGGCAAGAGAGATGGGAGTGCGCTTGGTTAGAGAGACGCTGACAATGTCCGCAGCAAGGCCCGATCTCTGCGTGCGATAACCTGCGATCCATAGTATTTTCTACCGTTCTTTAACATTTACCAAGCGATTCTTCAGGTTCCAAAAATCTCTGGAAAAAGGGCGAAATAGTGGTTTGGTAAAATACTTCTACATGGGCGTAGGAGTTGGATTTGGTCAACTTTGCACTTATGTTTCATATGCTTTGGCATTTTGGTAAGCACAATACAGAGAGGGCAAAATATTGTAATGGTCCTTCCAGGTACGGCTACATTCTCATCATGAAAGATCCGGATATTGATCGAGGAAGAATTCTTACCGTAAGCTTGCACAACAGCATAATTAAAAAATAAATAAATCGATTATTTTGAAGGTGTTTTTTGCCGTAATGTCTGGCTCGGCTGCACTTGGTAATTGTCTTCCCCATCTCAACAATATCTCCATTGGCCGAGGTGCTGCAAGACAAGTACTAAAAGTCATCAATAATGTAGGTGAAAGATAGCACAATGCAAAGTAATCTGTGAAAAAATGGGCAATAAATTTTTTAGCAGCCAAAAATCGATCCATACTCCAAAGATGGTGTTGTGCTGAACAATTTGAAGGGTGCTATACGCTTGAGGAATGTACACTTCTCTTATCCGTCAAGAAAAACGATACCAGTATGTTTAGACAATTTTTTTGTGAAAAAATCGTTTTATATGCTTGAGAAGATCAAGTCATTACAGAATATAAAAAATGTGATTTAAATAATTATTGTTCTTTTCCCTGAACTTACTTCGTCTCCAGATTGTGCCGTAGCGAATTGCCGCAGAGATATGACAAAAGTTAACTTGTTCGTATAATACCGCAACGCGTATGTGCTATCGCGTCTCCGCCCACGCCCGAATTTGCGAACGCGTTCAAAATCTTTACACAAATATTCAATTGATAGCAGTTAACCAATAATACCTGTGATACCTATGATTTAGGTGCTAAAAGGCATCTCAATAGATGTTGCTGCCGGGCAAAAAATCGCATTGGTTGGTGGCAGCGGTTGCGGAAAGTCTACGGTAGTCAACTTGTTACTCAGATTCTACGATCCACTCAAAGGAAAGGTTGTGATAAAAAAATCTTTATTGGCCCAATTCCAATTTTTCTTTTTTTTTCAGGTGACTATAGACGACGTCGATGTATGCGATCTCAACGTTCAAGCCCTGCGCGATCAAGTTGGCGTTGTAAGCCAGGTAAGGCTTCAAAATGCATGATGCTGGGTATTACCAATGCTGGGTATTACCATTACATGCCCATTCAGGAACCGATACTGTTCGATGGCACCTTGTTTGAAAATATAAAAATGGGCAAAGAAGACGCTACTGAAGCAGAAGTTAGGGAGGCGTGCCGATTGGTAAGTACACAATCCCACGCTGTTATTGGTTGACCACGCTCCTCTCCGCTGCTATTGGTCCGCAGGATATTGATTGATACTATTCAGGCAAACGCTGCAGATTTTATCAAACAGTTACCGGACGGTTATGCGACACGTGTCGGCGAAAGGGGTGTCCAATTGAGCGGTGGCCAAAAGCAACGAATAGGTAGCTGATATCCAAAAATTTTTTGTAACCGTTAGCCAATTTTGTTAGCGATCGCCCGTGCGATAATCAAAAATCCCAAGATCCTTTTACTTGATGAGGCCACCAGTGCGTTAGATTCTGAAGCGGAAACCATTGTCCAAGAGGCTTTGGAAAAGGTTTGATCTACACCGTTTACCTTCAAAAAATGGTCCTTTACGATACTATTCAAGGTCCAATCAGGCCGAACAACAATCATAGTGGCACATCGACTATCTACGATCAGAAATGTGGACCAAATCTTTGTTTTCAAGGTGAATTGGCGAAAAAATTGTGGTAAATTTATTTGTCTTATTTTCCAGAACGGTGTGATAGTCGAACAAGGCACACATGCCGAATTAATGGAAAAACACGGTGCTTTTTATGAAATGACACAAGCGCAAGTATTGCGACAACAAAAAGAGATGGAACCCATGGGTACGATTTTAACTGAAGGTTTTACCTGGAAGTTGAATCACCGGTTGCAGATTTGGACAGCGAAGAAACAGACCAATTTTCCGCTGACGGAATCAGAAGGCTTGACTCGGTGGTGTCCAGAAAATCATCAACTAGAAGCGGTGTGTCAAGCATACACAGCATGCAGCAAGACGCGGAGGTTAATAGGTCCACTTTGCTGTTTGCTATCTTACTCTGACATGCAGTGTGCTAGCGTAACTCTGCACTGCAATAGAGAAACGAATGATACCGGTGTTCTGCTTATATAAGTTAGCCTCCTCCAGATTCTATGCTATTCAGATTACTATACATTCTATCAACAGACCGTAAAAGTGAAGCAACTGCGTTGACCCGATCCTCTAGTGTCGCCCCGCCCCCTTTTCCCACTCCGCCCATCATAAGCTGCTCCCTGACGGCTCTAACATGACAAGCACTGTTGGGCGCATACTACTAATTGTTCTGTTGCATATGAGAGGTTTTGCTGTTGCATGCAATTTAAGCGCTGAGGAGAAAAGGTGGAGGAGGGGGGGGGGAATTCCAGAGTCTTTACGTATATGCTGTCTGCAATTGACATCAAAATCAGGGCCATAAATCGTAAGCCGAAAACCTGGGTAAACACTGCTGTCGAGCGGTTCCAGGTAACTCGAAAAAATAAATTGAAAAATTCAAATTAAAACTGAAAGATTATCATTATTATTTTACCTCAAGCACACACATTGCTTTACAACTCGCCATGGTTACGATAGCATTCTGTAGAGATGCAAAAGAAGTGCCTTTCTCATTGATTTAATGTTTTTGTATTTCCATTCTTCTTTACAGGAGGTTAATGTAGAACCAACTCCAATGTCGAAGCTGTTCTACTTCAATCGCGATAAATGGGGTTTCTTCGGTTTGGGTCTACTTGCAACCATTATCGGAGGTACAATCACTCCGGTATTTGCATTGGTTTATGCTCAAATCATTGGGGTATGAAAATAGTATATCTACAACGGTGTAATTATTGATTGATTTTCAGACGTACTCATTACCAGTGGATGAAATGAAGCGAGAAGTGTACTTTTGGTGTGGAATGTTTTTAGTGATTGGTGCTGTACAAGCGCTTTCATTTTTCGCATCGGTACGTTCTATTCCCCCACCCTACCTCGATACCCTATGCGAATCGATAATGGATTTTAGGCCATGTGTTTGGGTCGATGTGGTGAGAATCTGACGATGAAACTACGTTTGGAAGCATTTCGTAATCTTTTACGACAAGACATCGGATTCTATGACGATTTGCGACATGGAACCGGAAAGCTCTGCACGCGATTTGCTACTGATGCACCAAATGTCCGATATGTGAGTTTTGAGGAAGAGTAAAAGGCGACATCACGTACAAAACGCAAGCAACTGGATGCCCCGCCCTCGCGCGGTCCATGTCATCACATCGTGTCAAGACCTGCTTGGTCGCTAGGTCAACCTTTTTTTTCTACCAGGAGTCCTCATTTTGGCAGCAGAATTTGAATTGTTGCTTTCTCCCAAAATGCACAAGTTTTATGCGCTTATGGGCGGGGCAAAGAACCACAAGGTCTTGATTGGTCAGTTTGCTTTTTTACAGGTTTTCACGCGTCTGCCTTCTGTGCTTTCGTCAGCAGTCACCATAATCGGAGCTTTGGTGATCGGTTTTGTGTTCGGATGGAAATTAGCTTTTGTTTTGGTCATTCTAATTCCTCTTATTATTGGAAGTGGTTACTTCGAAATGAAAATGCATGTGAGTTTTGCACGAAAATCTAACTGGCTTATAATTGTGCACGTTTTTTTTAGTTTGGTAAGAAAATGCGAGACTCAAAGCTTTTGGAAGAAGCCGGGAAAGTTGCCTCGCAAGCTGTTGAACATATTAGGACTGTGCAAGCTCTGAACAGACAGGAGCAATTTCACTTCACATATTGCGAATATCTTCGTGAGCCACATAAGTAAGGGAAACAAGTTGTTGTCTTCACGTGGGATTTATGTTTGTGAGATTTTGACCCCTATGTAATATCGGGGCTCCTAATTGAATAATCGCCCAATTCCCGCTGCAGAAGGTGGGTCGCGAAGCGAGAAAGTGCTCTAGAATGTACAAGCGGCCCAGGCGGCACCGCCCATCATCATGGGTGGTCTAAAGAAAAAACCGATTCTAGAGCAAACAATATTGTCGAAAATTTGATAATCACAATGAAGGTAAGAAGTTCAAATGAAGGGCGATTTATGACAATTTTAGGTACATTGATGCCCGGTTTTTGACTTCTTTATTAAGACCACCCACAATGATGGGCGGAGCAACCTAGGCCGCGACTACCTTCAAGAGCGTATTTCTCGCGTCTGATCTCATTTTTTGCAATGGGACTTGGGTGTTTTCTTAGTTAGGGACCCCGCTGTTAAACAATGTCAAAATCTTTAATTTCGATATTAGATGGACAGTGCCTTTGCTGTCTATTGTATGAATACTGTTGTAAAAAAAAATTGATTTCGACTGCTAAACAATTAATTGCAGAGTGGTAAAATTATTTTTTAGGGAAAATCTCTGGCAAACCCACACATACGGTTTCGTCTTTGCCTTCTCACAGTCTTTGATCTTCTTCATGTATGCTGTAGCATTCTGGGTCGGTTCAATTTTTGTCAACAATAAGTCAATGATGCCGATTGACGTCTACAGGTAAACAAAGATTTTTCTTCAAGGTTTTGAAATAGGCAGCACCTTATAGTATTTTGCAGAGTTTTCTTCGCATTTATGTTCTGTGGACAAATGGTTGGAAATATTTCCTCTTTCATTCCTGATGTTGTGAAAGCAAGGCTAGCCGCATCTTTGCTATTTTATCTCATCGAGCATCCTACGGAAATCGACTCACTATCAGAAGACGGGTCTAGAAAGGTTTGTTGGTGCATTATCTTCTTTCGACGTATAATTCCAGGGTGAATATTCCAGAAACTCACAGGAAATATTACATTCCGCAATGTCTACTTCAACTATCCAACGAGGAAGCATGTTCGAATCCTGCGTGGACTAAGCTTGGAGGTACATATCAAATAAACCGTTCTTGTTGCGTCAGAAGAGAAATGACCAATGGGAGAGTGGGCGTGGCCGAGCTATGATTGGCCGAATATGAATATCATCATTTTTACACGAAACTTTTAGTTTTTCAAGGGTAAAATGCACACTATTATGTCCCTTATTTTATTTTAGGTAAAACCCGGAACAACTGTAGCCTTAGTTGGCCGTTCTGGCTGTGGAAAAAGCACAGTGATGGCCTTGTTGGAACGATTTTACAATCCAAAAAGAGGCACCATAGTAGGTGTTGCTTTAATATTTTTTAGCTATTGTATTTCAGTTTGAAAATTGAGGCAAATTGCAATAACCATGAAAAAAAAAACCTTTGCAGTCAATTGATGGCGAGAACATCAAAAATTTGAACATTCGTTGTCTTCGTGAGCAAGTGTGCATTGTGAGTCAAGAACCTACATTATTCGACTGCACACTTCGTGAGAACATCTGTTATGGATTAGAAGAAGAGCCTTCTTATGAAAAGATTGTTGAAGCCGCTAAGATGGCTAATATTCACAATTTTGTTTTGACACTTCCGCAGGTAAGCGAAATCATTCCTGGATTCCGAACTAGGATTTTGTGCATTTCAGGGTTATGACACTCGGGTAGGCGAGAAAGGTACCCAGCTGTCAGGCGGACAAAAACAACGAATAGCCATAGCACGGGCTTTGATACGAAATCCACCGGTGCTACTTCTTGATGAGGCTACAAGTGCTTTGGACACGGAAAGCGAGAAGGTATAGTCAATTCACCGAACGCAGAGACTGGGCGCCGCTGCGCAAGTTGTCGATGCCTCGCTGATTGAGCGCTCCTCATCTCTCTTGCCGTCTGCTGTCTCTTTCATGCGCAATCTATCTTAGTTCGACGCAACTGCGTCTAGTCTGTGCGTGCAATAACTCGCCTACTATACTGTATTATTTTACCCTTCCATATGATTTTTTTTATTTTTAGGTTGTCCAAGAAGCGCTAGAAGTGGCTAGCAAAGGCAGGACGTGCATAGTCATAGCTCATAGATTATCCACAATTCAAAATAGTGATGTTATAATTATGGTACAAGAGGGTAAATCTGGCGATAGGGGTAGGTATCAAGAATCCGATAAACTCCGAGCTAACGATTAACCTGATTCAGGCACACATGAACAATTGCTGAGACGTTGTGATCTGTACAAAAGGCTTTGTGAAACACAAAGGCTTGTTGAATCGCAATGAGATCGGCGAACGCCTGAAGCAAAATTATTGTTGTGTTGTTTCGAATTTCTGTTCATTTTGTATATACGAGATTATGCCATGATCTTTTGGACATCACCTCTTGTCCTTGTTTAGCTCGCTTTACAATTGTTCAAATTTATAAAGAAAATGCGGCTTTTTTGTACCTACAAGTACAGAAATTTTTTTGAAAGTTTGATTCAATAAAATGCAAAACAGTCCAAAAGCAGTCCAGTATAGCTCTTCTACGAAGGTGGGAGAAGGGAAGGGGAGAGGGAGCTCAATTTTGAAGAAATTAACGCCAAAGCTGCAACTTATATTATTTATTCTTTGTCGAGATCAACTCCAAACCCTCGACCAGGACCGTAGTCGAGACTCTGATTGGTCCGCAAAAGAAACCTTACAACCAATCAGAGTCCTCGCGTGCGTTACTGGGCGAGAGTTTGAATATGACACATCCGTGACCCCGAATGATTTATTTGAGCTATGGATTGAGCAATGGGTTAGCTGTATTTGCCAGAACCGCCTGCCTTTGTGTATCTTATCTATTATAAAAGCAGTAAAGTGTTCAATCAGTCACTTGCATATGGTGCAAGACGTAAAGGCACAGACATCGTGGGTAAAAAGTTATGACTTGTGTTCTTATCAGTTGGAGTCAGCGCAAAGTTCGACAATCTCTCAAGGAATGACTCTTGTCCTGTTGGCAATGTTACCAACGATAAGTTTAGTCATGCTTCGCCTCTCTATATATCAACTGAATGATAAGTCATAGCAGGAAAAGTGATTATGGTTCAGTTTTCACTAAGATGTTACCTCCTCCACCGCAAGGCAATAAATCGGTCATTGCGCTATTATTTACATCAATTGCCACATTAACTGGAGCAGTTTACTATTTTTATTTGACGGAAGTGGTGAGCCCTGGACCTTGAGAGTGCACGATCATATCTGAATCTTCCAGCTTGGTGAGAATAACGAGCGACACGATAAGACAAAGAAAAAGTGACAGCAGCACCGTTTCTCAAACTTTGAACTTTTGCTCCAAAAATATTGATTAATTACTGACAAATAAAGCTCTATGCTTACTTATTGCAATAAATTTACATCACGCTTTATTGTTGTTTCTGTTCCACCTTCATGGAGAAGAAGACGTGTATAGTCTGTGTCAATCACAAACTCCTTTTTGCGTAAAAGCTACGCAACCGCCTTGCGGGCGGCCTTCAATCGATAAGGTCACTATGAATGGCCAAGCCGTAAGCTCGCGAACATGGTGCGAAGCTGTGGCATGGCGGTTGCGAATATGGAAAACGAACTACGCTATTTGACCCGGGCTGTATGCCTGAAAGTTGACTGAATTCAGAGAGAAGTATGTACTTCTTAATTGATACAGACGTTATATGACCTTTGTACCTGGAATCAAGAGAGTTCGTCTACACCTCGAAGAAAGCTAATAAAATGGAGAAGGGCAGGTGAGGGAGGGAGTTTCAGAATTCCAAACATATGGGCGATTCATCGCACGCAGAGACGGGCCGCCACTGCGGACGCCGCCGGCGTCTTTCACATCACACAATATCATTTCTCTAACCGTGCGATGTCTCTTCTAAACACACACTGTTTTACAGGGACGCAGCGTTGTTCAGTCTCCGGGTGCTAAGGGTTGGCTCTACTCTCCTAGATTGTGCACAACTTCTGAGTCAGCTGCACTGCAGATGCGCTGAACCGCTAGATCGACCCAGACGGCAGTCCCTCCTCTACGGCGAAAAAAGCAAATCGAAAACTGCTTTAGTTTACATACCAGTGCATCACCTCTGCTTCGCAGAGGCTCGCACTGGCCCTACTTTCTGTATGCCTTACTCATTCCCGCATAATAGCGACATTGAAACTCACCGCGTTATGCAGGCTATCACGAATGATTTGTAGACAGCTACTCATTCCTAAAGCTTTTTTGCGTGTGATCGGTATTCTCACGAGGACGAAACTTTTCTCGGAAGAATAAATGCAAATTTGAGTAGGTTTGTGGACTTTTTATGGCTTGGTAGTCGCCATAACGGTAATAATCATCGTGGGCTACATCACTGTGCAAAAATCTTTTCAAGTGATCGGGTAAAATTTTGGGAAATTGAACATTTACGCAACTAATTCTGTTTGGCGCCATCTTCGTAAAGTAACCAACTTTAGTCGAATTTTTTGGGCTAAAGTCCATGGCTTGTACATTAGCTTGTCAAACATATCCACGACTTTGCAAAAAGTTTATATACGGACCCAATTTTGCCGGCCAGAAGTTAAGTGGACCCGCTTCAGGCGCAATTTCTAGGGGATCCACTTATCGGATCCGCTTGTGCTTTTGCACAATGGACTTTCCTGCTGCTAGGATGTGATATGCAAAATTTGGGCTCAAGGGGTTGGCTGAAACTCTTCCTCCGAATTTCGTGACAGACAGATTTACAGACAGACACACACACAAAAAAACAGACGGCCTTAGCGCGTTATTATAGTAGGATAGGCCAAAACCGAATTTAGCTCAACCCGTCAGAAAGTGAAGATGAAGAAAATAAAGGATTATTGTGTTGTTCGATACGAATCACAACAACAAACAACGAATTCATTCGGGGTTTCCAAAATGTCAGTGTTGAGTACTCAAGTCAAGGGACCGGTTGGCTATGCTTGCCTGTGCTATTGCGGCCGCATCTGGAATCGCTCTCTACTACTACTGCCGGGATGACGAGGTTCGCTGCCAGCCGAGTAATCCTCGCCCTCATGACAAGATTCTTTTGTCAGGAGAAGATGGCTGACATTGTCTATGGCCCTGGTTACATGGTGCCGAGTGGTACTGCTGTTTCGAGAGGTAAGCAGACAAAAGATGCTCGCTAAAAATTTCTTGGAGACGTGACCAAGTAAAGCAGGTTATGGTCCCTCACTTGAGAGGTGTTTGACAGGTTGTCTTGGCCTACATGAATAGTTCAAATGATTAATTCACGTCCAGAACATTCAACTCCTTATTCTTGCCCAGACCGTACCTATGCTCGGCGCTGACTGGTCAGCTCGGAAAGATGCGATCTGGGCGAGACACTAGACTTGAATCTTTCAGACATAAGAGTTGTATAGGCTGCTGCGTGATAATGGCTTTTAAGGCCTCCGATCTTAAAATACATTAAATCCTAGGAATGAACCTTGGATATATGCTTAGAATGTCAGTACAGGAAAATTTGGCCCTCATATATCACTTTCCTATGGCAATTAAATACTTTCTAGATCACTATTCCGACACTATTGATATGGACCAACATCTACATCACATGCATCGCCGTAAGTTTTCTCTTGTTATACCTTAGCTGTCGCTTACAGCAAACAAATTGTTGTATTTACAGCAAGGAGGATATGGAGGAGTGAAAATCCGGAACGAGTATCTAGAATTACAAGGACATCTACAGAGATGAAGAGCAGAAAAATGAGCACTGAAACACCTTTACGGGAAGAGTCATACGATAGAGAACGACAAGGACTGAGATACACTAGCGGATTAGATCAACCCATATATTGCACCTGCGGGATGAATAAAAATAATTACAATCAATATGGCTACAATCAGCGGAACACTAGCGGATTAGATCAACCCGCATATTGCACCTGCGGGATGAATAAAAATGATTATAATCAATATGGCTATAATCAGCGGAATGTACGCTCTAATGTAAGTAAAACTTGCGCCGGAGTTGATTTTAAATTTTGAAAATTCTTTCAGACCAGAACTGCTCGCGAGATTTCAAGCACTAGAACTGGACGACGAATGTCGAGTACCAAAACTGGAATGCTACCTTCGGACGCTGATGGAAGACGTAGAGTCACTAGAGAATCGTACACCCGAAACGTGCAAAGAACGACTGCATCTACGGACCCAGCCGCCCTAGACAATCCGCAATCAGCAAGCGTACGACTGATCCCAGTTCAAATTGACAATCCAGATGTGCACAACGTAACCGGCAGTGTGGATCGAAAATTTCTCGACGGAAGGCATGTGAAAGTCGTAAAGAAGAATGAGGAGATAATGAAAGAGAGCGTGAACTAATATATATCAATCTCTAACACAAAACTAACTGCTTAGTACCCACTATACTAACTGCTTAGTACTCACCTGCTTTGTCTACTGGTCTAAACGTGATCTATAAAAACTGGTCTAAATGTGATCTATAAAACTCATATGCAATGGATATATCACTTGCAAATTGTGAATAAAATTTCATGAGTGATTTTTTTTCTTATCCTCGCATGTGCCCCGCTTATGCAGGGTTTATATTGCTTGTCAGATGTCTCCACTCCTATCCGAGGCAAGGTCTTTGTCTAAAAACCAAGTTCTCGCAGGTCGGCCTTGATTCTGTCCATCCACCTCACCTTTTGTCTACTTCTGGGTCTTTTGTCTGCCTCCACAGCAAGGGTTAACTTTGTGATGTGACTTTCACCTCTTCTGCGCACATACCCTTGCCATCGTAACCTTTTTTTTTTGCATTTTTTGGGCTATTGCAGCTAATTTCATTTGCGCTCGAATTTCACTGCTGATGTGATTCTTCATCGTGTCTCTTAAGGTCCATCATAGCGTCCTCGTTTCCAACACACTGGGTTTGCTTTGCGCTCCTCGTTCCGCGTACACTACTGCACTACTGCATTACAGTGCTGCTGGGCGGATATCGGTCCTGTACAGTGAGACTTGAGTTGCGCTGGCAGTCTTCTGTCACACAGAACTCCTGCTAAGGCTCTCCAATTCATCCATTCTGTGTTCATCCTGCCTACGACCTCCTCTTCTAAGCCTCCTTCCGCTGAGATGTGACTGCTTGGGTACTTCAGACGAAACTTCTACTTACTGACGTTGTCTTGTTTAGCTTTTCATCATCGATGCTTATGGTACCAGGAGTTTGTTTTCCCACTTCCATATATTCTATTCCCAATGCTGAGCTTCAGGCCATACATCTCTATCCTGTTTTTCCAGTTTTGTACCTCGTCTTGTAGCTCTTTGGTACTTGCTATCAAGACCACATCATCTGTAGAGAAATGTCCAAGGTTCACGTCTGTGTGGTTCATCTCGGCGTTCATCACAGTAATGAAGAGCAAGGGAGAGAGAACTGAACCTTGGCGTACTCTAATCTTGATTTGGAATTCTTTCGTTTGCTCTGCAGCTGTTTGTATGTGGCTTGAAGTGTTGTGATAGATCAGCTTTATCCACTGAACGTACTCCTCTGGCACCTTGTGTTTTCGTAAGGCCCACCATATGAATTCATGCGACATCTTATCGAAGGCTTTCTCCAGGTCCAAGAAGGCTGCATGCAATTCCTTCTGCTTCTCTCTATATTTCTCCGTCATTATCCGAGCAAAGTTGGCGCCAGTTGTACCTACTCCTTTCACGAATCCGCTCTGATTCGGTGACAACTCAATGATATCTAGAAGCCGCGTTTCGATTACTCGTTCAAAGCTTTTAGAATATGACTCATCACTCGGATGGTCGGTAGGATGCGCAATCTACTATGTCTCCCTTGCTCTTCCATATCGGAATCGTTTTGCTGGTTTACCAGTCGCGAGGCATACATTTGCTTCTTATGATTTGATTGACAAGACTTGTCAACCATGAGTTCCGACTTTTCATATATTCTCCAGAACTCGCTTACAATCAGTCATATGGAACAGCGCTTTGCCATTCTTTGTTTTTCTTAAGGCTAGCCGTACTTCCTCATCCGTGACTGCTGGCGCTGGTCCTCTTTGGGACTGGCCTCATGAAGTGTGGTGCGGTCTGAGGTGGCCAAATCTTCGAAGTAGGTTCTCCATCTTTCGCCGATGCTCTCTGGTTATCTTAGCGTTCTACTAAGTTTGTCTTTGATATGGAGAGTTCCTTATTTTTGTTTTCGCTCTTATTCTCGCTATCCGGTATATCTCACGCTCTCCCTCGTAAGACTCTAGACGATCGTAGAGCTCCAAGAGGTGAACATCCGGAGCCAGAAAATCGCTCCAAAAATACAAGCGGTCAAGGTGGCCCTGCTCACCAAAGTAGGTGATCTGGAGAGAAGAGGTCCATAAACGAACTTGTATGCAGAGGCCCTAGAGAATCACTTCATCATGATTACCAAATTCGACATTTCTTCTACCCCAAAGTCCACTTTCAAGCACATTATCTTCAAACTATCCACGTTTATGGACGGAGCCGTCTTAGCCACTTCTGGTTGCTTCGAAATTTGTCTTTTGCATCGAGACTTGAGCGATTACTCATTTGGAGACCCTGCTATTATAACCATCAAAATCTTAGCACCATCAAATTGGGTGGACGGTGCCTTCAACAAGTCATTGGGATGCCATAGGCTGCTTCCAGAGATGCCCGTGCCAGCATCGTTCCAGCGCAATCCCGGTACGTCGACCGATCATACGGTGGGCGTCCTTATGAGGGCACAGGCACAGCAGCGGTACGCGGCGACCTTGAACGCTGCCAGAAAGATATACGCGTATCAGCTAATTGAGACAGGGGGTCAACATCTTGTTATGCCTTTAGTTGAAAAACATAACACTTCCACCATTCTTCATTCTCTCACCATTCGAACTGAGCTCCAAACCATAGGAAAAGATCCTTAGCTCCATCATAATGTTTGAAGTTTATGCAATTAGGTCTGCTGGATTCAAGAGTTTCATTTACTTTTTACTGACACTAGGGGAAGGCCGCCCTAAATATGGTCAGTGTAGGAGTCACACAATACATATTTCACTCAAAGTGTTTCTTTCAGTACTTCCAATCTGACACCAAATCGGACCAGGTGCACGTTTGGCTTGATCATCTTGTTCATTAAGTGTAGTATTTCAGGACGGAAAGCCAAAAAGAAAAGTATCGGTCTATAGCAAGGATACTTACAACAGAGTTGAAACAGTGACTCTAACAAACGATAAACCAAATGCTGATCAGAAAGTTTTCCAAAATAATGAAAAGCTGAGCCCTATAGTAAATCCACAAACGCATGATGTACACACAGTCGTCGGCAACAAAGTGATAGATGGGAAATATGTGCACACTGAAAAACAAGAGGAACAAGCGGCCAAGGAATTATACAAGGAGAAAGTAGAACCAATAAAGCAGTGATCAAGTTGAACGTCTGTGAAGAGTAGATTATTGATTGGTGATGTGATACTGGACCGAATAAAGAGATTTTCATGAATTTGGCAGCATGTGATATTGTTAGGGAAAAGCATGATAACGCAAGCTGAAGTCATGCAGAGAATTAGTCGAGATGGTTCGCGTCCTTTATAGTATGCTACAGTACCGCGAGCGCGAGCCAGGTCCACATAGAGTCCGTGTCAACGATGTGCTTCCCTTTTCGATCAGCTCAAGCGCAACGCTAGAGCCCGTGCTGCGTACGCGGTAGCGCCGTTTGAGCGCTCGGGGAACGCTGCGCAATGCCTATGCGCTGCGGATGCGTGGTGCTACTGAAAAGGAACACGTAGTTGACACTAATTATAGGTGTAATTGACCCGAATTTTCGTACTCAATTCTAGAGAAAAACCTCACATAGGATAAGAATAATGCCGTAAATCGTGTAGAACTCAAAATTCAAGGAAGGGACTAAATTTAGTGTTTCAAAGCCCCATGATTGACTTCAACGCAAAAGTTTTCCTACAATGCGTACAAAACCTTCTCGTTAGGCCCCGGGCAGACTTCACGCGATTTGATCGTCGCGACTGAATCGCGACGAGACAACTGTTACAACATCATTCCATGACGATCAACTTGCATTCGGTTGTGATACTTTTCCAGCCCGAAATTTTTGAATGTGAAATGAAAATGAATGGAAATCTTGGCGATTAGATCGCGACGATTAAGTCGCGTGAAGTCTGACCGGGGCCTAACGCTTCACCAATTCTACTGGAAAGTTATAATTCCTTTTTTCCACTTTTCGTAGCACCTTTCCAACCTTCGATAAAGCAATCTAAAATGCTTCGCGCTGCATTCCGCGTTATATCTGATGAACCATAGAACTGAACAGCTCGCCAAGCTGTAGGCGTTCCATCGCATGCAGAGATAGGACGTCACTGCGTACGCTGTCAGCGTCTCCCTGATCAAACGCTCTTTCATTTCTCTTGCCCTCTGCTGTCTCTTTCATGCTCTAACCTCATAGTTAGACGCAATAGCGTCCAGTTTCTGCGTACGAGGCGTTCCTATGCTTCTAATTAGAGTGAGAAGTGAAAAAAAGTGAAAGAAACTGAAAAACTCTAAAGTGAAGTCTGCAATTGCGAGCAGAGAATGATAAAGGATAGCTCAACAAAATGTCTCTGCCTCAATGCATCCTCCTCATTCACTCTAACTTGCTCCACTGAAGTGGTTGATGCTGCTTACTATGCTGATTGCAGTAACATGTGCTTACACCAGTGTAAGCGTAAAACAAATCTGTAAAACTTTTTTGACGGTGCATTTCTTACAGCTTCTCGTTGCATGCAAGAAAGATAAAAAGCCAAAAATAAAGAAACGAATAGTTGGAAAGTCAATAGAGTTTACATCTCCTGGTTAGGAACATGTCGTCTCAGTAAGCGTTAAGAGAAGATTGTACTTCAGATTCCTTGATGCTCTCCCGTCGAAAGGAAAGCGAATCTGAGCAATATTCTGCTTCACAGCCCAGCGATTCGAAGCCTCCATGAAAAAATCGAGAATAACAGCAGTTTAGCCGTTCTCAGACTTATTCATAAGGAAAACAAATCAATACTCTAGCAATCCAATAAATTTTGATCAGTTAGAAGCTTGGATTTCGTAAACCGTGAGCGTAAACAGTCTCCTGGTTTTGAGATACACAGTCTTTTTCGACCCGGAGTAGGCGAAACATTTCACATGGAGCAGCGCGTCTGCATCGCTGAGCTTCGCGAACACACAGCGCTGGCATTTTGCCGTGCAAAAGTGGAGAAAATGTGGAGAAGAAGACATGAGTTCTTAGCACGACATACAGTGACCACCAAAAAGTTGCGGACAATTCGCCTTCCTTCTTTCATCGCTCATTTTGGTGGAAAACAATTATGAAAAAATGGTTGGATTTCATGGTGTGACAGAGCTCTTCAAGAGCTAAAACCCACACATTGCGCTTTCTGGTAAACATGTATTCTAAGAATTGTATAAATCTTTTTCTAAAAAAGGTCCGAAATGGCCGCGTCACAATGTCGCGGACAATAATTCTTCTGAAAGGGTTGTAGCTCGGCGAGCAGTCATTCTATGAGCTTGCTGGTAAGCTCATTCGAAAGAGCGTGACTTCATGGACAAGATGTAGTTGGGTATGAGAAACAGCGGAGATTTGGCGGACGGGGTGAAAAAGCGCAGCGTTAGAGGTAATAGAGGTGGAGGCTTTTATCAGCACCAGAACAGTCGTAAAGCTTCGAAATATCCATTACAAGAACATTGACAGTTTTAAACTTCCAGGATGGAACTTGTGGCGAAAGAAGCTCTGTACAACTTTAGCTGGAAATCCTCAGCCTACCACTGAGGCTGCGCTTTTTCACCTCGTCCGCCAAATCTCCGCTGTTTCTCATACCCAACTCTTTTCATACCATCTTGTACATGAAGTCACGCTCTTTCGAATGAGCCTACCAGCAAGCTCATAGAATGATGACTACAATCCTGCAAAGCGGTGCAAGTCAGTGGTGAAGTGCAGGTGGGTCATGTGCAAGCACTGTCAAAAGCCATTTTCAGCCAAGAAACTCATCAGCACACCTCTGATGCATAGAATATGGCAAAGAGCATCCATTTTATCCAATTAGCTTTGTTTGAATGTCCTGAATGGGTTTGCATGTGAAGAATTTTGGCTTGGCAGGGAGTTAGAAGTTATTTTTTGAAAAGAAGCAAAATAAAACTCAAGGTTTGGTTTTTTTGGATGTAACCACTACCCGATTGTCCTCGATGAGTTCTACAAGACAGTATGCTTTACCTCTCCGGAAAAGTTTTGTTATTACTCCAAAAAAGACCTAAAAGAAATTTTCGCGTTCGAAGAAGTATTGTCCGCGACTTTGTGACGCAGCCAATTTTAAAAATCTTTTTCTATAAAAAGATTTTTAAAATTCTTAGAATATACTTTTTCAGAAAGGGCAATGTGTGGGTTGTAGCTCTTAAAGACCTCTATCACAACATGAAATCCAACCATTTTTTTCATATTTGTTTTCCACCTGAAAATGAGCGATGAAAGTCGGAAGGCGACTTGTCCGCAACTTTTTGGCGGTCACTGTACAGTCGAGTAGATTTAGCGGTAAATATAGTGTGCTTGCACAGAAGGTGAAATGCGGTGAAATTTTCACGTGAACAAGTAGCCACGTCAGTACCGCGGGTATCTTGAGCGCGCAATTGGCCGACGTCACAGTCGAAACTATTTCTTCACGCGCCAATTTCACCGCATTTCACCTTTTGTGCAAGCACACTATATTTACCGCTAAATCTACTCGACTGTACATATCCTTGATTCAATTGGCTAGCAGCTGGAAGGAGGGGCTTCGGGGTGCGGGAACTTACCTACCCGAAAGACTTGCCGCAGCGTTCCTTAGGTATCATGTGCAGTCAGATACGCAATAAGCATAGTGTACAGAGCCTAGTCTATGTGTATTCTAAGCTCCGCCCCCATCCATCGACTCTTCGCCATGCATCCATCAATCATGAAATCGAGAATTCAATAGAATCACAAAATTGATGTTCACCAACTATCTGCTCGATTTTGATTGAAAATACGGATTTAGGGGTTTTCTGAGACACTCTTTTCAAATATTCTATTGGTTTTGCGCTGCCTTTCTTTACAGGAGCCGAAATTTTGCTTTGGTGAATTGACTTTTAGCTTAAGAAACCTCGACAAAAAACAAAGCACCCTTAATACGTATATAAAACTGCTTTTTCACCATTCCTCTCGGAACGTTAGAAGAATGATTTGTCTTATCCTTCTGATTAAAACCGTCTTTTTTCTTTCCATCAGCTCCATTTTGAACCTCGCAACCCTCTCTTAGCACATTCTGGCGCTGAGCCAGCCTCGAAGTCCTCAGGTATTGCCAGGTTTTCTGGCACGTCTTGGTTCTATGCCAAAAAGGTGCAATGTGTGGGCGGGGCTTAGCTTAGCACTGTATCCTAAGGAGCATCTGGAATCAGCGAGCTCGCTATGCCTAATTATACCCCGCAGACACACACCCATGAGGTGCGAGAATATCTCGGGTAGGTAAGTTCCGTTCCCCGGGGCTTCGTGATCTAATCAAGGCTAGGTCTTGATCAGAGAGCATGCGCGCGAGAGGGACGCAGACTGACAATGAGTCGCGTGCGCGAGCGGCTTTAACTAGGTCACAAAGCCTCGCCTTCCCGAAGCCAAGCCAATTGATCAAAAGCTTTAGTGTAGCTGCGAAACGGCGCGAACCGCTGCGAGGCGGACGGTCTTCAATCTAATCTACCCTAAAGTCTTACAGATAAGTCCGCCTTTTTGACATGAAAAATCGATGAAAAATTGCCCTCGCGCCGCCAAAAGCCTTGCAGATAAGTCCGCCATCAGATAAGTCCGCCTACAGATAAGGGAAGAGGAGAAGAGGAGTATCATTCTCGAGTCACGAAATGGCAAATTTTGTCTTATAATTCACATTACCGAAAAAACGTTTCTGCTAAAAATATGATAGGAAAACCCTTCTGTTTCTCATCTGAGAAAAGAAGCGGGCTTATCTGATGGCGGACTTATCAGTAGGCGAACTTATCTGATGGCGGACTTATCTGCACTTTAGGGTACATCCAAATTGCGTTGAAGTTTATCGCACAAGTAGTAAATTTCAACTCAGTTTAGGCGAAAATTGAACTGGCGGGAGTCGCTTCGCAACGATTCGCGCCGCTTTGCAGTCTGCGTCTCTTCGTCCCAATCTATCTCGCTGAGTCAGTGGCGGTGCGGACGCGCTGCTCCACTTGAAGGGTTCCGCCTACCCCGGGTTGAAAAAGACTGTAGTTTGCGCTGTCGACAACACTTGCGCGTAAAATAGTTGGAGTGCAGAATCTGGGACGGCGAGTTGTCGGAATTGGGTGTGGGTGCACTAAACTTATCCTGGGGTCTAAATCATACTTCACGAGATTCGGCCAAATCGCGACGTTCACACGACCTGGCAGCTTGCCATATCTCTCCATAATAATCGTACGCGGTCCTGCATACATAGGCGCGTAGCTTCTGTGATTTGTTGCAAACCGATCAAGTCCCTCTTATAAACCGCTTTGATGATCTACTATGGACAGGCGTTCCGTTACCAAATCGCGCAGCGACTGGAATCGCGCGAGGTATACCTTAAGCCCTGGCCATACCGTCAAAAAAATCACCGCGATGCGATTTGTGCAATCGGACAACTGCAATACCCCCTGTTTCATGCCGCCAAATTATGCATATCGGTCGTGCTAGCTGTCCGGCGCGACGGATCGCTGACCGTGTTTTCCTAGGCCATACCTATTCCTGCGATATCGCCGCGATTTGACCGAAATCTTGCGATATCGCGTCGCAAGTTTGAAACCTGCGACGGGGCGATATCGCTGGAATTGGAATTCTTCCCTGAAGGTTTTTGAAATAGTTCTTTTCCTTTTCGACTTGCTTTTTCTGCAGTGATGTTAAAAAGTGATGCAGATTTCCTTTTGCACTTCGCAATTGCACTTCTGTCGTGTTGTGATGCGCGTCTTTTCTAATTCGTACCATCAGTCAAAATGAACATTTTTAATTGTTCGAAACTCGTAATTGAATAACATGCGTAGTATTTAGGTATCTAAATTTCGCGAAAAATCAGCAAAACCGCAAGTACAACTTGAGAAAATTGCTTTTGCATCTTGTATCTAACACGAAAAGTTGAATGAAGATGTAAATGCGCGAACTAATATGAAATGTTGATGCTGGACGTACTGGTGTCGAAAAAAGACAAAAAATCTGCAGATGTAAAGAAATCACGCTAAATACTGCTTTTGGATGGCAAAAGAAAATGTAGAACGAGTGCTGAGGTGTGTATTTTCACCTTATCGCTGAACAGGTAGGTATGTCCAGAACGCGCGATGAGCGATTTGATAGTCGCGATTTCGTCGCTACAACCACAAAATTCTTCGGCGATGAAATCGCGACGATGAAATCGCTGTACGTATGGCCAGGGCTTTAGGCCAAAGGCTTAGGGCATAGTGTCCACGATACCGTCGCGCTGCGATTCCTGAATTACGACAACTGTTACGCACTCATTGCATGTCTGGGTGTCTCCTACGTTGCTTGTGATACTCGTCCGGCGCGACGGATCGCGGACCCTTTTTAGCTAGGGCATAGCTCTGCAGCGATAATCGCCGCGATTTCGACAAAACTCAGCGATGTCGCGTCGCGCGTGCTGCACGGGCGACTAAGCGATATCGCTGAGTTGCGGGGGACATCTTGAAAATTTTTTATAGACAGGCGCTGATGATTCAGTTGTTTTTGTTTGAAAAAGAAATGGAACTTGTCCGAACTAGATGTACAAAGATACCAGTGGCGGTCGCAGGATTTCGGACCGGGGGGGGGGGGCGCGGAAAAATTTTTTTTTCAAATGAAGGTGCGTGGCGTCAGCCACGCCCCCGAAAAAAATTTTTTTATAAGGCTAATTTGAATTTTTAAAAAATTCTAAAAATTATTTTAATTATTTACAAAAATGAACAAGTCGTTTGCACACTTTTATAACCCATATAGGTAAGTTTCAAAAATTTCACGACCCATTCTCGGGGAGGGCGCCCCTCCACTCCGACCGCCACTGAAAGATACTTCTAACTTCGACGTCTTTTCCTAACCTTGAATTGTCGGATGACTTGTTTTTCGAAAGTATAAGCATTTTTGACGAGATGGTTTTTTGGATTGTTTTCTGGGTGATTTTTGTGTTGGAGCTTTGCTTCTCGCAGAGTTAATACATTATCCCTCTGCTTGTTTGCATATTCTTACGTTTCGCTATCCGTATAACAACACCAAACATTTATGCATGTGTTTTCGGTATCTTCGCAGTTATGCTGTGCTCGACTTTTTGAAAAGGTGTTCAATGTGTTCAATTAATGCTAAAGCAATACAGCACTAAAGTCCACGTACTAACTTGTTTTACCTAAAAATTTGGTGAAGATTGTCTTAATAGTAGCTGTTGGCTCGCAGAGGCAGACATTCCCAGGTTAGATTCACTGTGCTAAGAACTGGTAAGCTCGTGAAAATTGGATTTGTTGAAAGGTGGCAAAATGTGGGAATTCTTTGTACTCGATTTCATCACGATTGGCATAAGGGATCTATTAGGTTGTTAAGTTCTGTCCCATTTTTCTTACGATTTTTTCTCAAAAATTTGCGCGATGTTCTGTAAATTGTTTATATGCATTTGAAAGCTCTAGGCCTTCTCTACCAAAACTTTCATCTTCGTTTCCTACAACAGATGACTTGAAAAAGTTTTACAGCGTCAAATTTGGAAATTCAAACAGGGAAAAAGTCTATTTTCGACAACTACGTTACGTCGCTTCCTAATCAGTCAGAATGCCTGCGAATAAGCTCGAAAAATTTGCTACACCTAAGCAAAGAATGCTCTAGCTTCTATTGCGCTTCAGGAGTGCTGAACTTTTCAAAAATCATTTCTGTAGACTTTAGAAAAGCCTTCTTTCTAACGCCTTTTTAACGTTAGTGTTGTGCATCATCTGAAGGCATCCTGAGGGAGGACGGAAGGCGGATCATCCAGAAAAGACAGAAGGGATGGTTTGTGGCTTCAAAATTATCGAATTCGTTGGTTAAATACTCAAAATTTTCGAATTTGCAGCTACACAGCTTGGGTACGCGAGACGGCGAACATCGCCGTGACAAAGTCTTGAATTGCCGACTTTTGAAAATAAAGTCATTAAATAGCCAGTGAAAGGAAGGAAACATGCGCAAGCAGTGAAAGAATAAGTGTAAAAGTCTAATAGATTGTTCTGGTTGTTGTCAAGCTTGTTTATTTACCCATAAAAATCGGAAAAAATTTGGAGGAAAAAAGATGTCGAAAATTGATTTTTTGCCTCTTTGGATTTGGATTTTTGTTCCAACGATAAAAATCTTTTTCAATTTCCTGCTATGTTGGGGGATGATGCGTATGAGCTTATAGGGCAGACTTAGAGCTTTCAAGAGCATATACACTTTGTCTCAAATATAGTCAATGTTGGCAAGAAAAAACAAAACCAAAAAATCGGACAGAACTTATTACACGACCTAATATGTTGAGAATGAAGTGAGTGGAATAACGCATATCGCACGAGAATACTCTGCTCAGTTTGCGTGCACCTGCCCTGTGTTTGCAAAGATACGAAATCGCTCACACTATGCCCATGCACGCGCGACGGACGATTTCGTCGTCGCAATCTCGTCGCTCAAACCACCGCTTTCTCCGGCGATGAAATCGCGGCGACGAAATCGTGGACACTATGCCCGTTGCCTAAGGCATACCTCTCACGATTTCGCGAAATCGCCACATCCTCGCGACTTGGCGTAAATTGTAACAAACACAGCAAGTCTGGCCCAAGCAAAGTGCGTTTACGACCAGCTATGGAGAGTCCTTGCAGTGCCAAATCGCGCGGCTACTAAAATCGCGTGAGGTATGCCTTAGGCCTCGGGCATACCTCACGCGATTTCAGTCGCCACGCGATTTGGCAATACTCCAAATGTTCATAACTCATCCTAGGGGTTTCTGAATGTACGGAAGAGGGGGCATTTTATCAACCACGAAAGTTATACATGCTGTGCATTTGAGGTCTTCCAGTATTGAATTTGAAGACATATGGCAAATTGCCAGATCGCGTGGCGACTGAAATCGCGTGAGGTATGTCCCTTGCCTTGGGCTTTAGGCCTAAAACGTACTAAGATAGAACAATCTTCGCTCAAACTAAAACTAACGGGTATCGCGCGCTATTTCCTCTTTCTTGTGATGTTATTTCTTTTTCTTTGTGATGTTGCTTTGTATTGAACGAAGAGGCACAGTTATATGGATCTTTTGGCGAACTCTTTATTATCATTCAAATCATGGACATCGAAGCCTAATCATAGCAGTTCACACAAAGAAACGAAACAAAACACAGAACATTGCTCTGTACGGCTCTCAGTAAAAACTACAGTTACTCAGCAAGCACGCTTCAGTAATGTCCGCTACGACGTCGTGACTGCAAACGAAGCGATTGATTCTGTCAACTCACTACCCGGGATGACTTACCCTTCTTTTCCTGCAGTATGCATAAAATGCGAAGCCGACCACAACGGCTGCACCGATGGCTAGCAGCAGCCTGGTCCTCTCACTACAGCGTTCTCCACAGGTGCTGATCCCACTGATCCCACTGTCTCCACCGCCTCCACCACCTCCATTGCCTCCACCGGAAGAAACTGAAGGCTTGCCGCCTTTCATGATGTACGAAGATAGAACTAACCATGCCGCTCAAGGCTGCTTTTATAGTCGACATCAGTTCTTATCCCAACAAGTAAACAGTTTCTAACACAAGATTATTTTGGTTGTTTGATGAAGAGAAAGTATCTAACGATAAGGTTCTCGATTCTAACCACTCAGACACTGGGACCGGCTGAGCCGCGGCCTCAAAAGGCCTTTCCGGCCCGTCCGCGGCCTTAATTTGGGGGCGTGGCCGAAGACCGGCCCAGCCGCGGACCTTAATTCATGTCGATATGATTGCACCGGCTGATCCGCGGACTGAATATGGCTTACCGGCCCAGCCGCGGACCGAATATGGCTTACCGGCCCAGCCGCGGACCTTAATTCATGTCGATATGATTGCACCGGCTGAGCCGCGGACCAAAATCTCTATTACAAAACACCGGCTGAGCAGCGGCCCATTTTCGGCTCGGCCGGTCCCAGTATCTGAGCGTAAAGAACACTTGCGTGATGTACGACGCATGGTCAGGCTGCCCTCAGTGTCCATAGCCTCCGTTGTCTTTCCAGTCTCCAAGGCAGGAACAAGACCAATATGTTGTACAACACCTGGATAGCACTTTGTGTTGTCCAATTTTAAAGCCGGACATGGTTTCCGAAGCGGCCATGTCTGTGTTTCAATTTTTGTTTTTCACAGCGTATATTTTACGTGCCAGTGAATAAAAAAAACAGTCGTTTTGTATCCGAGCTAGAATGAACTAGATGGCCCGACAATCAGCTCCGGCTGAGCCGAGGCCGTTTTTCGGCTGAGCCGCGGACCATTCACCGGCTGGTCCGCGGACGCTGCGAAATTCCAGCCGGAAATGGGCCGCGACTCGGCCGGTCCCAGTGTCTGAGCAGAGCAAGAACGCTGCAAACGAATGCTGATTCAGAAGGACAATTAATCAGAGTTTATGAGCTTCACCCACACTGCGACTGCAAAGTGTGCAAAATTGTTGTGATTTGATCATGTGCTCTTTATGATCGATCATGGAAAATTGGAATAAATCGCGCGGCAACGGAATCGCGTGAAACCCTGGGCTTCAAACGATTTGAAATACGATTTGGCATAGTTCCATTATTTATAATTAATCGGAAGCGCATTTTATGTAAACAATTTAGGGCTTTCCAGCAGTCTAAAGTTGTACACGCTCGCGGCATTGCTAGCTGACAGATATTTGGTATTTGTCGTCGCCTAAGAGCATTTGGCGTTCAACTACGCTCTTACAAGACGAAAGTAACAAGTGATTGCAGTTCGATGATGACGCATATAGTCTTAAAACATATGCAGTGGAAAAATGGGTAGGTTTGGCGGTGCCTTAGAATGGGTAGGTTGGTGAATTTTCAGTCGACGACGAAACCAGGAAGTTGTTAGACATAACGCGAAAGAATTACCTCTGATAAACTTTCATTGTGCACAGAAATTCTAAAGTCTGATTAATCTTAATCACTCGCACTACACTCAAAATACTGTACAAACACAACAATGACAATGATATTCAACACTACAGCCAAAATAGAAAAAAGACGTAGGAAGTGACTCAGGAATTAACCTTTTTGGAGTTCAGAAAGTCGACAAATGGCCAAAGCACCAGCTCAATGAACTCGCAAAGAGACATTTTACGTGCTATGGCTTCTTTAATCAATCTCCTCAAGTTATCCTCACCAATGATCACGCTAGTAGTAGTGACAGATGCATGCCATTGTTCCTCTTCTTGAAGTCCTCAAGTTTGCTATATAAAACAACCAAGAAAAAATTCTCCGCTAATTAACCAAAAATCAGCCATTCACGGAAAAACTCACCAACATAGAAAACCAATCGGACCACGATTGACGCACCTTTGTGTCGAGTTATGAAGAAGAAGCCCCGCCCGTCGTATTTGGCAGAGCAATGCGTTATGAACACATCTTCAAACTGTAAAATTACTATTATGTCTCAATGAGTACAACTGCAGCATACCTCCTTGATTCCTGGAAACGGCTTTTCGGCAAGAGCGATCGCATTTCTTATCCACCACCTCAACGTGGAAATCTCGCTCGCTGAATTTGAATGAATTTCTAAAAAGAAGCTTAAAAGCATGCACAATGAACTTCTATTTCTTGTACCTAACTACTCTAGAATCTAGCTAACAATTCAAAAAAGCGATCTTTTGAGATTTTGCCATCATGTAAAAAACTGCAGCAGCACCTGTGTCGCATTCGTCTGTAGCGACTTTGGCGAAAACTTGGTGGCAATAAACTCGATAGGCATTGAGCAGCTTCCGCCGATCGGTTGCTTCAGCCAAGTTGGCAGCAATAGTATCGCGCACAATGGGGTAGATGTCGTCAAACAGCTAGAAAAACTCATGTCATTAAACACTACAGCATTTTGGATTTGTTGAGCTCAGCTGTAACAAAAGAAAATTAAATTGGAAGCTCAGATCAATGAGTAATTACTAGTAAAATGACGCTTTATATTCAGCATAAGATCACAACAAATCTTCCAAGAATCCTCCAAAAAGGGTAACCCAACAAAATCTTTCTAAAAGACACAAAAGTTTGCAGAACTTATCACCTGGATGTGCTCTCTAACGGGGTTGCTGTTATGGTCACGATTCTTGAACCAATCGTGGAAGCACATTGGATCACCGCATCTGGAACAACAGATCGATAAATCCAGATGCAAATATTAGTGAATGTGGCAAATAAGAGAAACTTATACCTACTTCGGTTCATACAGTACTCCTCGTAGTTTGACAAGATGTCGCGATTTCGCAAGCGTCTTCTCCATGATGGTTTTATCGGGATGGACCATGACTTTCTCTAAACGAGGACAAGCTAAGGGAACGGCCATAGGTTGTCGGTGTTGTCGATGTTGTCGGTGTTGTCGGTGTTGTCGATGTTGTCGATGTTGTCGGTGTTGTCGGTGTTGTCGGTGTTGTCGGTGTTGTCAGTGTTGTCGGTGTTGTCGGTGTTGTCGGTGTTGTCGGAGTTGTCGGGGTTGCCGAGGTTGCCGGTCATTGTAGGACCTCATGATAGCCTCCACGTTTCGCGCGCTCCCTAAACTGTCTCTGACCCCGACAACACCGACAACACCGATAACATCGAAGACACCGACAACATCGATAACATCGATAACACCGACAACACCGACAACACCGACAACACCGACAACACCGACAACATCGACAACATCGGCAACCTATGGCCGTTCCCTAACAGCAACGTCACTTCAGCGGTTTCAAAAATCCACTTACAGGTAGGTGCCACAGTAAGCGAATATTTTGTTCAGCTTCGTTCAGCTGCAGAAGGCGCGCAGAATTAATGTCTGCTGCATAATCTCTACTGCTGCGAAGGCCTGCTGCGGGTCCTGCGCAGAATCAACGTTAACTCTGTGCGCCTTTTGCAGCTGAACGAAGCTGAACAAAATATTATTCGCTTACTCTGGCACCTACCACAGGCTTTACAGGCGTCGTCAGATTCGGAATAATTTGGTGCGATTGCACAACTTTTTAACTTTAGCATATTAGCGGTAGGGCATGCCTGCTTCCGGATGGGCTCAATAGTGTCTACACATCAGGACTCACATCGCGTACGATAACCGCTTACCGCGCTCATATTTTGTCCCCACAAACTCTCCTGTGCTAAAGTGGCACGGCGAAAAACTATGGGAGGGGGGAGGGAAAGGGGCGAGGAGTGGCGGCAGGTATCTACATTATACTCGCTCCCATAAAGGTCTACTGCCAAAGCGGCAAGAGCATACTCTTGGAGGTGAATCGCGTAGCGGCATTGCTTCCAGAGATTTCTCGCAGACTCTGTCACGAACCATTCCCAAAATCGTACTGGGGATCCATTATGGTGTTTTCGGCAAGAAAGGATTGTTAAGGTGGGAATGGATCATGATTCACAGCCTGCGCGAAATTTTCGCAAAGCAATACCGCAACGTTATGTCAAGCAGTAGAGCAGAGCCCAGCACAGATCTGGGGTCGAACTGGAATTCGTTCTTGGGGCAGAAAGCAAAGAGGATACGTTTTTTCAGGATCCCGAACGAAGCCTTGCAAAATTCGGCCAACAAGTCATGTATCTCCTATACCGAAAAAGAAGCCTGATACATCCGTATCCAATTACGGTCCTGTTAGCATAACGTCGATTTTTTCGAGACTATTTGAAAAACCAAATAAAGAGCAGATAGTGAATCAGCTACAAAAACAAAGCGTAACTCCCCGTGCCCACCATGGTTTCCAGGAGGGCAATCCACTGTTTGTGCGCTGTACTTGCTAAATGATTGGACTCGTTCGTTGGACTCTGGGCAAAGCACCCATGTTATTACCTGGATTTCACAAAAGCTTTCGACAAGGTTCCGCACTGAAAACTTGCAGTCAATTTAAAACAAGTAGGTACAGTGCATTTGAAAAATCGTGACGATGACGCGACCGCGCGCGACTGCACTTTCGCGCCATCGTCACGCATTTTCTTGGCTTTCATTTCTAGTCAAATGGTTTTTTGCTTGCGTATGGTAATCTTTAGACACTGGCTGAGCACAATGCTTCCTTCGGATTCAGAAAATATTCACTCCAAAGGAAGTTACGGCGAATGGAATTTGAAAACTCGTGATTTCTCCAGAATTCACCAACCCTTCTATCTCTTTTGGAAAGAAGTGTGCGGCTACTTTCTAGCGCACTATAATCTACAGGAGCAGCACTATCGAAAACTACTTACTGTTGTCTTTTACATTGGATAAGCCCTGCGCTACAACCTTGCGAAAGGACCTCCGCAGAAGAATTTGAGAAAACTGGAAACGAGATATAGAGGACATGTTGTATATCAAAAGATTCGCCTTGACGAGCTGAACACAATGCTGCTTTCGAATTCAGAATAAACTCATTCCGAAGGAAGTTGTGACGCTGCGTAATTTGCGATATTCCGGGAATTTCGCGAAATTTCCGATGTCGCGGATTTCCGGAATGTCGCGGACTTTCGCGGAATAGCCGGAATTCCGCAACATTCACGGGAATTTTGCACATTCTGTGAGTGGTATCGTACAAGATCAGCAAGAGGGATAACTTTTTCAGTGAACTACCTTGCACATTCTGCTTTGCCCGGCGATATATCAGCGATAAGAATAGATAAAAATGCCCAGTCCGTTGGAAACATTCCCAACGTTTAGGGGCCTGCAGGATCGCGAGAGTCGGACGTGCGCACGGCCATTGCGCCGCGCACGTCAGATGTGCGCCCGACGACTCAGGAAGGTGTCAGACTTATCCTGTTGAAGAGGTTCATTCGGTTCACCACCTTTGCTGTTGGACAGTGTAGTGATTTGACCTATGAACCGAACGAACCGGCTGAAGCGGATAAGTCTGGCACCTGCCTTGGTGACATCGGACGTGCGCGGCGCAATGGGCGTACGCACGCCCGACTCTCGCGATCCTGCAGGCCCCTATACATCTTCAACACAGGTATAGAGCTTCAGCTTCGAGGTTTGGCCAGAAGCCACCCATAAGCGAGAGTGAGATTTTAGCGAGAATTGCAATGATGCACCGATGTGCAACCGATCGGTTGCTGCACCGAGGGATCCAATAATTGCACCGAGCAATGTAACCGGAAACCTGTTGACTTACTATGAGCGATAGAACGACAAAAACTCCCGCCTACCGCAGCTTTTCTACTTACTTTTCTCGCGACATACCAAAAGTGATCCAAAATCATGATATTAGCAGAGATAACCGATAAAAAGTCTATACCACTGATAAGGGTAGATAAATGCGCAATACTTTTCAACAGTTTTCGATACTCGAAACTTGATACCAAAACCTATTATTTGCAGTTTACATCCGGAACATCTTTAAAAAAGCGCTATCATAGAAATAACAAAGTAGTATCATATGTCAAAGTAGTATCATATGTCTACCGGTCACCACGAATTGCGGAGCTTTGACCGGAGGCACGGTCACGACACCACCGACTGAGCGATTCAAAAAGGCAATGCTTCTTGACATGCACAGGTTGAGTTCTCAAACATTGAAGAAATTTTTATCACAACTGATATGCATTTGTTTTCTTTCCATTTAATGGTGTACATCATTTCTTTTAGTATCGTTACATTATGTGGACGTCTGATGTCAATCTCTGCACTATGTCGGCTTGTGGAACTTTAGCCTTCGCAGTCAGTACTCTGTAAATTAACACTGGATGATTGTACCACCATTTATAGTGCACCTCTCTGATATGTGCGCAGAAGAAGAAACGTGCAGCTGGAGGAATGTTAACGCCGGTACGAGGACAGCGCGTATTCGAGGAGTCGAAGCTTGAACGCTCTTCTCTAAGAGGTCGGCTACGTTGTATATATCCTTCTTTCTTCAAACGGTAGAAAATAGTAGGTTGAAAGTCCACATAGAAAAAAATTTATGGTCAGAGAAAAATACTGAAAAAGTTTACAATATTGCTTTGTGGTTCAAAATATTTTTTGAGTACATAATTCAGAAAAAATTTATTCCTACTTATAGAAAGCAGAAGTCATAAGTTTCTTTCCAGCCAACAGCATAGTAAAGACAAAAATGCCTGGAACCGTTTCTGATCGTAAACAGATCAGTGGCACAAAGACAAAAAAGAGCAAGTTGGATAAGAAAGGCGAGAAGAAAAAGGGTGAGAGCGAATTGAAGAAGGAAGCGGGTGAAGCAAAGAAGGAGAAGCAAGAACAGCAGAATAAACAAGAACCAGAGCCAGTTGAGAAGAAAACATCCAAGGATGTCGACAAGAACCTTTATAAAACTGCAGAAGCTCAGTCAGAAGTGAAAGTGGTTTCAAAGGAACGCGCAGATCTCCGGAAAGCTCAGAAAACTCAAGAGGGAAAATCTGAGGTAATTTGCTTTAAGAGTTGTTTGTGTTATAGTCAAATTTTTTACAGAATGACAACAATTCTGAAAAAGTGGATACGCGCTTACAAACCGATATAGAACCCATCAATAAAAGCATTGTAGATACGGTTAAAGTCGACGAGCGGTTGAATTCTTTTGGAATGTGAGGTTGGTTTAGAAAGCTGAGTTGGATTATTCGATATTTGTTTGTTTTCAGAACATATCAGACCGTAAAGATTCTGAAACATTCGAAAAGCTTCGTATTAATTCTCGTGCAAAGAAACCTCTCTTTATACAGTAAAACAAATAAAGATTTTATAGATGCTGTTTGGAGTGTGGTTTCTCTGAGTGAGCAGATGCTTATTAAGCCTAAGGCATACCTCGCGCGATCTCGTCAAATCGCTACATCCACGCAACTTGGCGGTTTGCCAGATGTTTACAAATCGACCCTGCATAGGCCGCAGCTTCCGTATGTAGCAAGAGCAAGAGTTCAACGTCTGGCGCATGCAAATTGCGCCTAGGACCAGTTATGAGGAGCCGCTGCAGTGCCAGATCGCGCAGCGACCGAAATCGCGTGAGGTATGTCCTAGGCCTTACTCACGCGTTCTTAGTCGCGACGCGATTTCACAAAACTCTGTCATTAAATCATAGAAATCGCAATTTAGATGTGCAGAAAATAGGACATTTTATCAATACACGAAAGACATACATATGCATCTTTTGTCTGTCAGTGTTGAGTTTGAACACATTTGGCAAATTGTCAGATCGCTGCGACTGAAATCGCGTGAAGTATGCCGCCCGGAGTCTCAACGTTAGTAAGTACTGTTCCGAAATCCGGACCAGTATGCATGACGAAAACTTGCTTCTACTGAGAATGCTGCAAGATATGATGCACATTTCAACGAAGGAAGCGTTTAATTAGCTTTACTGGTCCAAAAAGCTCGGTATGTCATCGAAGGGTTTCCTCAACACTTCGCGATGAAATTGGGGTCGAACTTCTATCTGATGGCAACTCACAATTACCTCAGTTCACTCCGAAACAAAGTATCAACATCCAGTTTCCAACATCACTATGATCGGTTCACTTTGTGCACAGACACTGAAGCGTAAAAGGTAGAGGACAAAGTCAAGAATCGCAATTCTGCGAATTGAACGTTGTTAAGCACTTACCTAGGTTCTGTAGCTAGACTGCCCTTTCAACAACATCAATTTATGCTATTATACTTCGAAGACCACAAATTTCTTGTGGAAATTTGAAGAGGATGCGGTAATTTGAGTGCTTTTTAAGTTTTTTAGAAATCCTATTGCCCAGGCGTCGCTTTGAACACCAACGCGCAGAGCGGCTGGAGACTTTGACCGTTGGCGCTATAGACTTGTCACAAGTGACAATGAGCGCCACCTCTTCCACACGTATTTTTATGTGCGTTTAGAGAATGTTTCCCTCGAAACATACTTGACATTGTTGCGACATGGGAGTAGGAAGAAAATATCTTGGAAAATATTGTATGCCTACAGTCATTGGCGGCGACCGCTCTACGCTGGTGTTCAAGGCACTGTGCGGGCAAATAGGATTTTACAAGGCCTATAGGTCCATGTATAAGCGGCTTGCTCGCAGCTCAGTATTGAGTGGGAAAGCGGAAGTGTGAAGGAGGGTAACGAGTGCAGCGAACGGAAACAAAAAAACTAATCTTATGCTTTATTAGGCCTAAGGCATACCTCATGCGATTCGGCAAAATCGCGACGTTCACTCGACCTGGCAGCTTGCCAGATTTCTCCGTATTAATTGTACGCGGTCCTCCATACACAGGTGCGTAGCTTCTGTGATTTGTTGCAAACCGATCAAATCCCGTCTTAACAAACCGCTTTGATGATTTACTACGGGCAGTCGCCCCGTTACCAGATCGCGCAGCGACTGGAATCGCGCGAGGTATGCCTTAGGCCTTACTGAATACAGATGTCTTCTCAATCGTGATTACTTCAACTCCATAAATTACATTCAGACGGAATAGCTATAAAGCGGATATGATATACGGCGTTATTTGGATGTTGTGTTTGAATATTCTAGCATAAACATTTATTGCAAAAAACGCAATCAAAATCTTCAACTTTTGATAGTATTAGCAACAAATGCAAGAAAGATTAGAAGCAAAGGTCAAAGAATGCATTGCAACGCCGAAGTTAAGTCTTTTCAAAACAATCAAACATCTTGGCCCTGGCAGTTCGTGCATTCGCAAGTTTTCTGTCCTCCTTTATTTTGACAGTTCCCGGTCTCACAGTTCTAAAATATCAGAGTACAAGTCTTTCTTGAAAATTTCCAATTATGTTCCGCTGTAATCTTGTCCGCCAGCATCAGGACTGAGGTCTTGGCTTGCTATTTTAGATGGTTGGTTATTTGAATAGGTCACTGCAGCACACATAACGGAGGTAAGAGAACAATCCTGAAGTTTCATAGCGAATGCGAAGCTAAAACATAGCACGCAAGCCAGTTGTAAGCAATCTCTTTTCCGTCTATTTTATTTTCCTTTCATTTTCTTTTCTTTCCTTCTCTTTTCATAGTTCCATGCTAAAGTCTACTCCTCATCTAGCTAACTCTTCTCTACAAAACGACAGATGAAAAGGTCCTACCTGCGATTTGCAAGAAGCGATACAAGCTTCTGTCGATGCTTTCAAGAGTATGGGGTTATCTTCCATTCTAGCGCAGGTGCTGAGATCCATATCGCCAAGGGCTAATCCAAGAATGACGAATAGCGTAAAGATGATTGAAAGGTATTTCATTATTTCGGGGGAAAATACCAGTTAGGAGCGATTGGAACACAGATCGTGTATACGCTGCCTTTTATAATGTGAATTGCTGCGGAGGCCGGATAAAAGCGAGAAATGACGAAGGAAAATTATGGCCACCTTTGTTTGTTCATTGATGACTTGTTTCAGAAGCGCACCGATATTGCTATGCACAATTGCCTTATGAAAAGTGTGATTCATGCATATCAACTTTCCTTCGGTCTATTGCTGGATACTCTGTTAGCAGATTTTCACTATCGGCGAAAGCAGGCACGGCGTACTCAAGGTAAATGCAAGTTTCCAACAAGAGGTTGTTTAAAAAAAAGAGCTTTGTTTGCACAGAATGATCATTATTACAGAGACTATGCTGAGCAGAACAGGCTCACTGTGAGCCAACAATGCTTCTTGAAAAGGTTTGAATTTTCTTCAAAATTATATTACTGTACTAAGGCATAATATTAGGTTGTCCCGAAAGTTTTGTCCGTTTTTTCAACCTATCATAAAAACGCGTGGAACGAAGATAGGAAAACGCTCTAAGCACTATTCGACGCATCTTTTCCTTCTCTTTCTAAATGTCATGCTTCCATGCCGATTAATCTTTTGTTCACTGAGATAAACGCCGAAATTTCGAACCATGTTACTATGTCCACGTTTGGCAAATTTTCACAATCTTTATTTTTGACTTTCGGAAAAGTTTTGGCAACAGTTAGATAGAGCAAACAAAGGGCAATATAATGCAATTTTGCGGCATCTATAGCCAGCATTGAAATTTTTTTAGAATTATTTCTCTGATGCTATCAAATACCACTTTTGGTGATGCCAAAAGCCAGAGATCATGAAACGGCGCACAACTAAGGTGTTATTCGATGCAGCTTTTGCTCCTCTTTCCAGTGAGTGTATTTTCTCTCCAATTTGCGGGGTCATTGACGATAAAATTTTCATAATTCTTGAATTTGACCCCACCCCAGCGTGTACATGTAAAATGTAAAATCTTATATTTCGAAGCGGTAAACGCTCATTTGCTTTGTAAAAATAGTGAATAATCGTAATTGGTTTTTGAAAGCTTCAAAATCCGATGATTTGTTAGTGTTCGAGGCGTTTCTGTATTTTAGAACTTCGCAAAAGTGAAGACTTTTGAAAAAATTATCTTTAAACATATTGATTAGCCAGCTAGATATGCCAAATAATTGCATTGCATTGCCCTTTGCTTACTCTATCTGAGAGCTATCAAAGTTCTTCCAAAAGCTGAAAATGAAGATTGTGAAAAATTGTCAAACTTGGACATAGTAAAAACTATGGGTTCGTAATTTCGGCGTTCATCTCAGTGAGCAAAAGAGTAATCTGCACAAGATTATGACAGTTAGAAAGAGGAGAAAAAGATGCGTCGGACAGTCCTTAGAGCGTTTCCCTATCTTTATTACACTTATTTTTATGACAGGTTGAAAGAACGGACAAAACTTTCGGGACAACCTAATATATCTCGCCCGGCCGCTGCCTCATTTGGTTTACAGACTGGGAGGGCAAATGGAACCCATCAAGAATAAAATTGCTGCTTTACTCTTCACGGCTTCTAAACTTCTTCTCCACGCTTCACCTTCTGCTATCTCAAACCGACTATGCCAGCTAGTACAATAATATGTAAATATAATGTTTTATAATTCTATAAATGCTGCTATATGTTGTATAGTAATTGATTATTTGAGCGTGTGCGGCTTTACAAACTAATATCTTGTATGAACGATCTTCTAGCACCATATGTACCACATACACGCCATCGCGCACGTGCGAGGCCATAACGTTTGACAGAACCATAAAATGTACCGCCTGCGCCCCAGAGAGGTTCCCATGTGAACCAGCGTGCTACGTGGTGCGACGCTGCCTTTCGCTCTTTTTGACACGTTTCTCCTGAGATTTCAACGGAAGTGCCGAGGTTAAAGGCACCGTCCACCCAAAGTGAGGGTTCACGAGATTCGATGGCATACTAATGTGGGCCCCCACACTAGGCCAAACCCCCAAGTTTCCCCGCAAAAGATTGCAACCGGAGCGAGAAATCCGCTCTGGAAGGTGCGTGATACGTGATCCAGAGCTGGTCACTCCGCCCATTTTGCAGCTTTGGGGACTGCGGCGGTGACATACGCCGGGCGATAACCGCGCCGCAGCCCTGCAAACTGCACTTCCACCCGTCCCGCTTTCTCCAAAATAGAGGTTTTTGGGATTCTCGACTTCATATTCGAAATCAGGGCCTTCAGAAGGCCCGGAAGCGACAAAAACATGGAAGTCGAGAATTTGGGTGGACGGTGCCTTTAACAGGTTCAAAAGTGCGAAAGGCAGCGAGATGACGTGGTACCTATAAGAACCTCTCTGGGGCGCAGACGATAGTCGGAAAACTCGGAAACTAATGCGAGGCGGTTCTTTTCGCTTGTTGATTTCCAGCTCTGCGGCAAAATACTCATGCTGCCACAATTCGAGTCATAGGTTCCCGCCTCATTGTCCCAGCCTTCGCGGGAACTATTTCACTCGTCCATATTCAAATTGTAAGGCTTTGAGAAACGTATATTCTCGCCTTTTTCACACTTCCTAACGTAGATTTTCGATTTCGTGGACAACCAGGCTAGCCAATTTGCTAGAAATCGAGTACCCACTCATCCAGTGGGAATGAACTGATTTCGCCATCGAGCTTTTCTCAGAACGCTTCTTCATCACTTTTACATCCTACTTGTGGCACATAGGAGTGATCACTCGTAGTACTGCCCCAGTAACTATCTTCATCATCAAACGGTCGCTTATACGCACAACATCAACATTGAGTCGTCCCCGGAGTCTCCAAGCAGCTGTACCAACTTTGTTTCTATTGCAGGTGGAACCGTTGAAGGAGTTTATACTCAGATAATCGCCGGGGGCAGGCGGTCCGCAAACTCGCGCTTTTCTGCAGGCGGTCAGCAGAATTTTGGGGCGTGGCCAAACCTTCAGCGGGCGGTACTTCCGCGTTCTGCCAGCGGGCAGCAATACAGAATTTTCTGCGAGCGCTCGTCAAATAACATCTTCCAGCGAGCGCTGGCCAAACTTTCAGCAAGCGCTCGGACTCTTTTTAGGTATTTTCGGGCGTACGTCGAGCGCAGGTAAGACTCTGTGTGGCAGAGTTGTCACCGTTGGTTTAATTACTCAAGTTTGAGGTACTTTCTCTCAGCGGAAAGTACCTGGGGGTTGCGCGGTCCTCCACAAAGGAACGTGCGGCCCTCGAAATTTTTGCATATTCTCGCGGAAAGTCCGCGAGAATGCGGCCACTGCGCCGCAGCTAATCCATAAAGAAACCGCGATTGTTCTCCAAGCATTCGTCTTTAATTTTGCCAACATTCTTCCAAATTTCTGCCAGCGGGCCGCAAAAAATCAACGAACTATTTTTCCGGTGCGCGCTTGCTCAAAATTCGCATGGCCGCCTGCCCCCGGCGGTTATCTGAGTACGGACACTCTCACACAAATGCGAAGTCATGGAGTTGGACCAAAAGCGAGAAATCTTATTGGGGAGTTTAAAAACTTCATTAGAGGAAGTGCCTTGCACCTACGGATTTCAGACTGCGCCAAATGCACATGCCGCTACAGTCGGGATGATAGGTCCTACAGCGACTTTGCATCTCAGCGTTGGTGGGAGACTGCTGCATTCGTCCGAAGAAAATCGAAGGGCTCTGGAAGAGAAAAGCACGAAAAGGTCCTTGCCTTTTTGCGCCTTCTAGATGGATTTTCGAAATCAGCGTAAGTCGAGGCAAGCGAAAAATGTCATCCAAAGCCGCCCGCGCACCACGTCCGCGTACACTTCGCTCTGTGAGCTAGGTGCAGTCAAACGGTGTGTTTGCAATCATAGGAACAACTTCAATGACAAAACATATATTTATTTATGGATAGCAGTGTGGATGTAAGATCAAACACAGAGACAATAATTGTATCGCACAATTGTGTCACTTGACCTCTTCTCTTGTTCTTCTTCGTATCGGTGGTGCAGGTGTGGGTAGGGCCATGGAACGGTTCGAGAAAGTGCTGACATGACTTGCACCACTCATTGGCACCATTGTGCGTGTTGAAGCCATCGCAGAAGCATCTGTGGTTTCTCCAGCAAATGACACACGTTTGCCTCGGGTTTTCGAGGTTGGCGCACTTCTAGAGCTGGCAGCTTTGCGTTTCGCATGTGGAAGCTTTTTTCTTCTTGAGGTTGGCTGAAAATTACTTTGAATAAGAGGAATAGCCGTACAGATGCTATGCGCACCGAAATTCTGTAATCCTGCATCATTCGCCGTTTCCTTGCACTTCTACCGTACTTGGATGGTCTTTTGCTGGTTAGAGATTCTGTTTTTTTATGGCGTCTTTCTGCAACTATCTAATGAGAAAGCAAGCATCGTTCTTTTTTGTGAAAGTTCTGACTTCCCACTTACTTTTACGACTAAGCCCACGTCGAATTGGTCGATTAAGCAATCGCTCGTATGGAGCTTTTTCCTGTAAGAACGATTGAGCGAATAGCTTCGATTTTGGAGAAACCCCACCTTTTTACTCTTGTAATGAAAATAAATGAATATTCCAGTCAATATACTGACACTAGCTACTGCGATCATAAGCACTGTTCTCCGTTGTGGTCTAAAGACTGGAAATCGTTCAAGCATTTCTAAAAATGAACCCGCCTCTCCTTCCAATCAGCTTAAATACTAGAGCAAGATGAGCTTTTTTCATTTTTCGAGAGGAATGAATTGGCAACAATGTGGAAGTATTTCGGATACACTTTTAAGCAAAGCAAATTTCGATTCTCTGTTTAGGCAGATTTGTCTGCAAATAATTTTCCAAGAAGATAACTGCGCAGTTGTAGCGATTTGGTTATTCATCTGCCATTAAACCCAATAGTCGCCATCTCTATGAAAACACATGAAATTCGTAAACATGCTGTAAAATTCTCAACCGTTTATTACAACCTCGTGAAAAAAACGGGTTCACGCGATCGCGTCATCTCGGCCGGGGTCGCCGTTAACGGCAGGGTCTTTGCTGATTCTCGATCAAGAAATCGTTAATACTCTTAATAATCGAAACTGAATGCTGTGATTCTGTCATTTTTTAGTCTTAGAAGAATTCTTCATACTTGTAAGCCACAGATTTTTCTTGTTTCCTTTCTCTCTCTATTTTTTCAAAAACAGCTCGGCTGTTCGCTGGAAACTCGCAAGAAAAATTGCTTTGCTCTTCATTACTCATCAGTAAGCCCTCTTCAATTTTATATTATTATATTTCGCCCTTTTTGACTAAATGCTGTGCAGTTTGTTCATTGTTTTGTAATTTTTTAGGGTAAAGGACGTTATTTCGAAGATTCCATTTTCTTTCGAGTTCAATCTAAACTCAAGCAAAAATTTGGTAAAGAGCTTTTATAAAAATTTCTACTAAAAGGAAAAACCTGATCATCTATCATTTGGCGCAAAGCGATCGAGAAGAGTATTACAATATACTCACGAGGACGGGAAAGAAGAGAATTCATCGCAAACACTATTTCTTATCGTAAATTTTGCGTTTTTTTCTTACTACTCACCAATTCCACAAATCTCATGTAATCCACATATTCTCTACATTCCTTCTTATCTGTTACTCTTTTTTACCTCCCATGAATTAAAGTAGCCTGTGCAAGTATTAGGTTGTCAAGAAAATAATGTCGTTTTTTATTTGCTTGCGTTAACAAAGCAACCAGGCTCAACCCAACAAAGGTTAATGGGTACTGTTCGATAGAGCAAAGCAAGCTCTACAAGATGGCGTTCATGATCTTGCGCCAAGCTCGATCCACGGAATGTTCGCACTCAAAGGAGATATCCAAATGCTCAAAAAATCGAAAAAAAAATCAGTTTTTCGTCCAAATAATTTCTACGGACCTCCCACTCGCACACGTCCATACTTTCGATATATGATATCCATATGTGCAGTTGCTGTATTTTTCCTTGACTACAAACTGAGAAAACAAAAATTTTCGTGCTTTTCTAAAAGCAATGCTGAGCCGTTCTTGCATATGTGATTCTATACTACTAGCCTAGGTAAGTATAACTATAGATTTTCAGCCTATTTCGAGCAGTAGTTTTCGAGAAATATTGCTTTTAGCACTGAAACTGAAAAGAAGAAAGCTGATTTCGATATTTCTCGAAAACTACTGCTCGGAATGGGCTGAAAATCCGCAGTTATACTTACCTAGGCTTGTAGCATAGAATCACATATACAGGAACGGCTCAGCATTGCTTTTAGAAAAACACGAAAATTTTTCTTCTCTCAGTTTATAGTCAAGGAAAAAATACAGCAACTGCACATATGGATATCATATATCGAAAGTATGGACGTGTGCGAGTGGGAGGTCCGTAGAAATTATTTGGACGAAGATCTGATTTTTTTCGATTTTTTGGGCATTTGGATATCTCCAGATTTTGAGTGCGAACATTCCGTGTATCGAGCTTGGCGCAAGATCATGAACGCCATCTTGTAGAGCTTGTTTTGCTCTATCGAACAGTACCCATTACCCTTTGTTGGGTTGAGTCTGGTTGCTTTGTTAACGCAAGCAAATAAAAAACGACATTATTTTCTTGACAACCTAATACATTTTTACCTTTTTTGTCTCTCGCTTAATTTTCATCATTTGTTTTTCTCCCCAATTTAACTATTCCTAGATTGCATGAAGAATCAATGGCTACTCTTACTATTCCTCGGAATGGCCTCAGCCGTTCCGACGCCAAAAATGTGCGCAAAATTCGCAAAATTTGTTGAAGAATGGAATCCTCTGCCGGAAACGTTGCTTACATGGTCGAAACGTAATTGCGATAAGATCCAACCGAGACCACATGACATGACTTGCGAAGATGTGCAAAGAGTAGGTAGCTTTTATAGAGGGGGTCCAGTTCTGTTTTTGCTTGAAGTTGCAGAAGTTGCTTCTTGCTGGAAAAATCTGGTTTGCTAGGATACATAGGTTGTAATTTTGTTTACGTCTACATCACACTTTTACACTAAAACCAATAGCAACTGTCACCTGCAGGATGAAAAGTTGCTGTAAGTTTCAATTAATGTCTAAACACTCAGTAGACAACGAGAATTATTGATCTGGTGACAGAAGAGGGGGGGGGGGCACCCCTTCAATGAATTTGGTAGATCAAAATAGAAAAATCACAGCAGCATTGCGTTTTGATTATTCTTTGTATTTATGTGATGTATAAATTCAGTTCATCGCCGACTGTAACTATGGCGGTGGTGGACCAGCAGCAAAAAAATCTGGACATCGAGGACCAGTTCTCGCCACCGCTAACAGCGAGGTGATGAAAGATTATAACCAGGTAAATTAATCTGGCCTCTTATAGGTCCAGCAACACAGCTCCGTTTTATTTTTTGAGGCCTGATTTAACTCGGTCTCGTGGATTTTTTCTTCTCCTTCTTAAGCAGAAAAATTCATCTAATGGTTGTATAAATTCAGGGATTTGCAAAACAACGCATAGTAGATTTTTCATGATTATTCTAGAGAACTTATGGAAATTACCCGAGAGTACTAGATAAGTATATACACTACAACGCAGAGACTGTGAGAGATTTTGGACAATTTGGAAACTGGTATGCTATCCAGATTTGTTTACTCTATATCCAGAACAATGGCAAGTATCTAGGTACTACCCAAACTACTACCCTCCTTCTTATCTCGGTTGGTTCGACGGGCGACAAACTGGTATAGCGCAGCTTGAGAATGATTATAGGTTTGCTAAAGGTGGACATTATCCATACAATAGGTAAGCCTTCAACTATCGCGTTTTTATGTTTTTTGGGTTCTTTTTTCGCTGGGTAATCATTTTTTTACATTCCGATTGATACTCGTTATTTGCAGAGCCGACAACATCGTAAACATAGGTCTCCAACAGACTTCTCTGCCCACTTGCTTACATGATTTGTTCTATTGTGTCCGTGCACAAAATCCATCTCCGTATCAACCATACTATAATCGGCGAGAATCTCAACGAAGTCAAAATACTCGTGTGGATGAAAATGGGGAGACTGTTGAAATTAATGAGCAATAGGACAGTTGGAGAAAAAATCGCTTATCCTGTCTCAATATCAATTTAAGTTACTAAGCTTGCCAGTTACTTTAGTGCAACTGCGGTGACGACAACGTTTGCGCGAAAAACAATGCTATGTTGTTGAATGTAACTTACCGCCCGGTAAAAAATGACCATCGTTTACGCACAAATGTTGTCGGGCAAGTAAGAGCATTATACAAATTAACAAATCTGTATAATTAAAATTTGCACATTTTCACTTCTATTTCTAGCCATTTATTGTTCTCGTAAATGTACAATTTTGATTGGCTTTCAAGACTACATTGTAAGAATTAGAGCAGTATGAAAGTACCTCAATCTGATGAGGTTGTAATTGCTCAAATATTGTATAACGATCAATACATATGAATGCTATTTGTGGAAAACTTGCTGATAATAATAATATAAAGATAAAAAATTGTGAATTGCTTCGTCTCAATATGGGTCGAAAAAGTTGTACTAGTAAAACATTCACGGTTAAGAAGTTATGAAGCTAATTAAGGCCATAAGTTCATCAAGGCTTGAATAAGTTTATGAAGGTACTAGCCTACGAATGTGGAATGGATCACAAACTTTCCGAAAAGGCCTATTTGACTTATAGAATTCTGAACGACCCTAAATAATTCAAAAATCCTCTGAATATTAATGAGTTATGTTATCGAAAATCGGAGCATTGCTGCCGCTGCGTTTCTATTTGATTCTAAGGCGGAATAGTTGGAAAAAGTTAGATAGTCATACAAAAAGAATTTTGTGGAGCGTGCGTTGCCTCAAATTAAAGGAATGTTACCTGTAACCCCCTCTCGTAGAAAAATTTTCGTGACTACCGCTGATCAACGTTCTTTATACGTTTCTGAATTTTTCGAGCATTCGAGTAAAATCTAACAGCTTTGCAAAGCTACTGCTTGAAACTACAGTAAGTCAATACAAGAAGTTATCACGTGCAAGCCAAATCAACGGAATGGTTTTGTTTTCTATTGTCTTGTGGTAGTTTATAATACAGTTATTGACCATTATGCTGCTGAAACCCTTTGAAGTAATCGATCGAGACTGTGTGGTTATCCAGAGCTGCTGAGGATTTCTTCTGTTTTGTTTTTTTTACTCGCAAAAAAGAATTTTTGCTTGTAAATTAAAGTAGTGGTATTAATCTACAATGCTGTGGTTTTTTATTCTCATAAGCATGCGAGAAAGTTAGAGACTATTAAGACTAACGCCAACTACATACCATAAAAATAAGTGGATCATTGATGGTGTCGAAGTATTGTTTACGTTTTATGACTATCAGAGATCACGAAAGTTCTCTCAAAGTCAAACCAGAGGAAAAAGGAAATGCGTCACCATGTTTTCCAGACAGCTCAAATGCAGGTGAATAGTCTGGATATCGTAATGGTATCAGGTGTCAGCTGTCCACAGTCTCACCGTCTGCTGCTTACCACAATTTGCGCTGAGCTCACTTCTCAAACTTATTACTATTTGAAACGCTTATAGGAGGGCTGCTCGTCGAGTTTTTTTTTCTAAGAATAAGAGGCCGCGTTTATAGTGACTGACACTTGCTGTAAAAGTGTTCGTTGTTTGTTGATCAACAGTTTTTCTACAGAAAATCTCTGGTAGTCGATAGTATAAAGACGACTAAGCCTTGAATTGCTGCCTCTTGCAAATGACGGTCGTTTCGGTCTGCGCGCTACTTCTCCCATTTTTGTCCTAAGTGCTTCATACTCTGCACAAGAATATCTTACAAAGAATCAGGTTTTTACACCAAATATTTTTATTACGTAATATGGCTGTATACAGAGTGTCCCAAAAAATGTGAACACTGTTTGATCGTTAATAACTCCTTGCCTTCACGCCTTTCACCGAGCTTGAGGCAATATTTTGTAGAGCGAGGTTCAACTTAGATTTGTAGTAACGAATCACCGATCGCTGTTCATTACTGTAGGATTACGGTACGAACTTCTACAAGGATTTTAGGCTATTGGAAGCCATATTCTCCTCGGAACAAAACCAAACAAGCCAAAGACTTTTATACTAAGGTAACGGAAGCCGCTGAGTACAAACATGAAATTTTCACTTCACTGTGATGCTTCTTTCCAAGGTTATCCCAGCTAAACCGTAATGATGAATTTCCAGCATTCATCAAAAATGTGACTACACCATCAAGAAGGCTAAAAACAGTCGTAAAAAGTTGTGTAATGGAATCAGCGTGCGCGAAAACCCTAGTACACGATTTCTCAGATTTTTTGAAAAAAATTTCGTCAAATGGCATATTTCACAATAGGTTATCATGCGAGAAGTTCATACCGTAATCTTACAGTAACGAACAGCGATCGGTGATTCGCTCCATACTATAAATCTAAGTTGAACCTCGCTCTACAGAATGGTGCCTCAAGCTCGGTGAAAGACGTGAAAGCAACGGAGTTATTAACGATCAAACAGTGTTCACATTTTTTGGGACACCCTGTATTTTTACCGAAAATAATTTGAGCCATTGAGATCACTCACTGGATGTTGTAGACTAAGATGGCTGCAGAGTTTTTACTGAATTCGAGCCTTTGAGACCACTAGATTGATTTTCAGAATATGATGATAGGTATAAAAGAAACTTGGTGACTGTAAATCAATTTGTAAAGAGTTATAAAGGCTAATCGCAAACGAAGGCGACTGCCCACATAAGCGAGACATGCGCGGACGTACAGCTCTCATAATGAAAGATGCTTAGAAACAGCGTTTGCACTCGAAAACAGACCGACAGTCTTTGTCAGGAATTAGTCTTTCAAATTGCGACGATCTGATCTTGATTTCGTCCAGAAAATCTTCCCAACCCGTCCTATCTGAAAGGACTTTGTATCATATCTTGATTATTGCAGATGTTTGTGGACTTATCACCACCGGAACCAGTAGCCAACATGCCAGGTGAGAATTAGCTACCGCAAAAATCTGATTGTCAGTTAGTATCAATATTTCCAGTTAAATCACCTCGGGACGCTTTATACTGGATCCTAATACTAATCAATGCAATACTGATGATCTCCAGCCTATTATTGAGCTCAATCCTTACAACTGTTCTACTCGTGGATACGCTTAAACGAGTGAAAGTGTGCTCTCAAAAGTATTCTAGGGCCAAGCCATATCTCTTTACACTCACTTTCAGTGCTCATTCTACAGGATCACTTTACCATTCCTGCTTACAATCATTGTCAGCAGCATATGCGATCTGTCGAATTTGATATGCTTGGAAATTCTGCGATACGATGTGCAAATACTCGATTGTACCACATTGGTCATCTCACTGATCACTTCATATTATATGACAACGCTGATTTTTCTGCTCGGGCTCAATCGTTTTGCAGCATTCTGCTCCCAAAGACTTAACGAAGAGATTATGAGAAGGTTGGTTTGCGAAAATGTGCATTTACACAAAAGCGCAGAGACTGAATGCAGGTCACTTACCCTTTGTTTCAACTGGATTGGCGGCTGGAAGGCAGGGCTTCGTGATCTAGCCCTTGCAGCCGCCAATCCAGTTGAGAGGTTACAAGTTATGATTCCGGCATCCGTAAAGTCAACCTTTCCTTTTAAAATTACAACTCCAACTTTTCGCTTCACTTTATTCAACTTGCAGAGTCATTAACCTAAAATCAGCATACCTAATCAATAAATTGATTTTCTGCGCGCATTTTGATTTGATTATGTTCCATTTGGTTTTCAAGTGGAAAGGACAGCTTGTACGTAAGAATTTATGTTGCATACCTTTTATGGATCTCGATCTCGGATCTTGTGATTTTTCTGTTGATTATTTACCAAAAATAGGGCCCCGTCACTCTTCGGGTCATGGATAAACGTCCTGAACTTTTCTGCTCTTTATTCTTCTATGGCTCCAGATTTAGGCCAAATGCCTAGAATAGTAGGAATTATCTTGATGTGTACTATTCTTTTGTTTGGGAATAGAGAAGAATTCTAATGAAGTCAGTGTAGCGTATTTCTTTTGACTCGCTTACGTTGACACTGCACCAAGTTTACTGTAAAACCTAGGCAATCCTAAAACACTTTTTTCAGCAAAAGGCTCTTCATCATAATTTTTGCACTGCTGATTCTCTCAATTATTATTGGTATTGCCGTTTACCTGGCAAGTGGATTTACGAGAAGTTACGACGTTAACGAAAACATGATTGTGACTGAGGCTAGCAACACTGTGCTGCTAATGGTAAGGCTCCCATGCAGCTTTTTAGGAATATAAAAAAATAGGAATTTTTTCAGGTTTCTAACTACATGTTCTACACCATTCCGCTTATATCGACAGTATTCTACTTTTTATGTTTTCTATCGTTGAGATCGAAAAGGTCACTAGTTCGCAGTGGAACGACAAAATCACTGCTAGATCACGCTGAGAGAAGCACTCTCAAGCAAGGCATGGTTATCCTATTCTGCTACATGGTAAGAACTTTCTTTTCGGGACCATAGAGCCCGAAATGCTCAATGTACTTTCTAGATAGCACTGATCATGCACGTTGTGGTTCGCTTCTACCCAGCTAATAACAAAGTTTCGTTTATTCTGATCAGTGCTCAGATCGCAGCATCGACTTCACCTCAACTAGCCATTCCATTAGCAGCTCTGACTTGCTGTAAGGAAATCCGGGAAGGATTCTGCTGCCTGTTGAAGTGTCGATCACCGAAGAAATTGTCTGCATCCACTGCATCAGTTTATCATCGCCCTACAGTAATCCCACCTAGCAAATCACTGATTACAACGACAAGTACGCGGACAACAAGTGCTTGACATTAGGGCGCGAATCTACTTTTCTACGTTATTGTCGTATGTAAGGAAGCATTTAGAGGCACTTTCCACCCAGATCTGAGGTTGGTAAGATTTTAATGCATTACAATAGCGAGGCAGCTAAGTAAGTACTCAAGTAAGTACAAGTAGCGCTGCAAAAGGTGTATCCGAAAGCAAAAAAATTGCCATAAAAGGTGGATTCTGCTAGGGACGCCAGGCCCATTCACTTGAGTGGCTTAGTGGTACGAGCTCGAAACTAGTTCAGAATCTAGCAATGACTAAAATCTGTTTCATAGAAAAAGACGTTCTAGAGTTCACGCCTTATCGCCTTCCCTCCCCCTCCTCCACCCGAATTGGTGGGCCTGGTGCCCTGCATCATCGACCTTCTGGAGCAATTATTTCACCTTCGAAGAAACCTTTCACAGCGGGACTTGATTAGTTAGTTAACAGCCTCACTAAGGTACTGCATCAAAATCTCACCAACCTCAGATATGTATTGACGGTGCCTTTCAAGGTCAAGCCTGGGCAATTTCGATACCAGATCCTACTAGCCCTATTGGGCGTTCTTAACTAAAGCGATGGTACTTAAGTTTCATGTAGCCGAGAATTCCACTTTGAACCAGTGCCTAAACCGTACTCGTTCCGGAAGGACCAATCACAGTCGCCGAATACGGTAGTGAGCGCTGGTTTAAAGTCGAATTTCTTGGCCGCTAAAGAATCTTCAGATCTAACGCGTAGGCAGTTGTAGTTATGTCCTCCCAATCAACCCATATGCGATTATCAAGATTTGCCTGAACCCTTTGATGAGCTTCGTGAAAATGAGTAGTTTTGGTTTTTTTCATTCGGCGAATAAATATTGGAGAAAGTTAACGTTTACTTTTTAAACACCTCCTTGAACAAACAAATAGAAAGAATCCATCTGCAGCTTTCGAGCGATGATCGAAAGATCACGGATTTAAACAAACAGGATAACTGAGGCTTTCGATGAGGCATTCAAAAAACAAGCTAATTGTGTACTTCAGTCACAGTAATTTATGGGCAGCTTGTCGCCGAGAAGATTCGTTGTCTTCATGGAAATTAGAAAATTGCTCACTACGAAGCGATTCTGATCTTGTTTATGCGTAAATATAATTTCTACTCCGGAGTTCTCTAGGCCAACAAAGCTGCTTCGAGCAGAATAAATTATTTCTATGCGGATAAAAATCATTTTGCGTTAGTGCTTACGTTGCACAGATTAATTGACACCAATGAGTTTACCGCGCAAGTGGTATCAGTAACACCTTATTCCAATTATTTGAAATAGGTTTGACGCTGCCGTGTAAATAATCAGACTGCTCAACAAGCGCTATAAATATGCGCCTTTTAGCTATTACTTTATTACAAAGTTATTTTACAATACCACGCCTTATTTACTTGCCACATAACCGAACCACTTACCTGAAGGAGCCGAACTTTGAGCGCCATTTTTCTTTCCGATTAGAAGAGAATTCGTGAAATATTGTGGATTTTTCTATTCGTTGAACAGACTGAAAAGCACCCCCTTGCTTAGGAGCTTTATGAACGCAGGCTGTGATTTATCGTCTTCACTTTGAATAAAATAATAAGCGGTAACTTTTTTCTAACAATGAAAGGTTCCTTTTGAGCAGTGGTAACCGTAGCCGTGTCTATAGTGGTTGAGAATTGATGGATAATTGACATTTTCTCTATTCCTAACCTTCGGACCTTTCGAGTATCCTAAATCTGACGTTGATAGCCAGAAATATTAATATCGACATCCCTCGAACGGTCCCTTCCTAGCCTATCCCCTCCGTCCCGACTTTTCGGAACTTTCCTTCCGAATCATTCACTCAGAAACTTCTCTTCGATTCCAGAACTTACCACGCAGAGAATTTTTTGATCATCTATTTCACCAGCGATTTGATAGTTCGTAAACAACCCAAGTTACATTTATTGCTCTCGGCTTCTATCGTTGGCATGACGATAAAAATCAACTGATCGTCAATGGCGAAGCAGCTGTGAACTTCGACTTCGGGCGAGCAGAACAACTCGCGTTTTCTGCGCGTGACAGCTCGAAGTGACTTCATTACATTTGATTATGATGGGGAAGTGGGACTCGCTATCAATCTCTTGCGGGTTCCGATCATGCTAGGTTCTTACAAAGAGTGCAAATTCCAGTGCAAATTCTTCTACCGAACTTGTCCCATAAATCTTGGAAGCTTGTACAAGTTATAGTATAAGTTTTTACATAACTATTCTCTAGATCTTCAAATAAGTTTTTGACGTAACTTATTTTTCTTCAATTATTTTCGCTCCATCAACTCATAAGCTAACGAGCTGGGAAGATCTTTACAATTTTTAGATGTTTGTCGATCTATCTCCCTCTCTACCATTATCCTCTAGTCGAACCGATATCTACTGGGGCCTTCTTAGTCTCAACCTTCTGCTCATGGTGCTCAGCTTCATACTCAGCTTATTTTTGGCTGTGGTGCTCGTATCCAGAGCACTCAAGAGGCTCTCAGTAAGTTCTCAAGAACTCTAGGAAAATAATAAAAAGTGACGTCATCGTCTCAAACTCCCATATATTTCCAGTGCTCTTTCTACATTATCACACTACCATTTGTTATCACAATAATCGTCAGAAGTGTTTGCGATATACTGAGCATAGTCTACGGAGAACTTATGGAATCCAATTCGAAGGGATTCAACGAATCAATTTTGCTCCTCTCTCTGGTCGCATCTTACTTCATGACCCTCTTGATTTTCTTACTTGGACTGAATCGCTTCGCAGCATTTTGTTCACCAAAGCTCAACGAAGCATCCATGAAGAGGTGAAGTGATAGAATCTTAACCTCCTTAAGCTGCGTCCAAAGTTGCCTGTGTACCGCTGTCGTTCCAGTGCCGTGCCAGCGCCGTGCCAGCGCCGTCACCGCTGTGCCAGAGCCGCGCCATTGCGGCGCTGAAAATTAGGTGGATCCATTGCTTACTACGATTGGCGTTGCTGATCGCACGGCGGTTTGAAAAAGCAGCTCTGGACACAGCCTCGTTAAAAGAGAGCACTGAGATAAAAAGGAATTGACATTTCAGAAATTCATTTTTCAGTTCGAGGCTCTATGTCGTAATCATCATACTTTTACTTATCTCCATCTTCGCTGGTGTAGCCGTTTACGAACTTACCGGACTGACCAAGGGTTACGATGCCACTATAGAGGGGATGACGACAAAATCTGAAAATTCGATACTTCTTACGGTAATTTTTCCAGTCGTTCACTTTTAAACATACGCAGCTCAATTTGCCTTTTTTCTAGGTGTCAAATCACATTTTTTACACGATCCCTCTCGCATCGTCCGTATTTTACTGGTTATGCTATAGAGCTCTAAGATCACAGCGTTCAATGGTCCGCACAGAAGCGACATTGTCACTTTTGAATCGAGCTGAGAGGGCTAGCCTCAAGCAGGGCATCGTCATCCTTTTCTTCTATTCTGTAAGTTTTCCCTTATTCGATTCTCAAAAGCTCAGCAATCTGTCCGTAGTTGCAGATTTCGCTCATTATGCACTTGACGCTTCGTTTCCATCCACCCAGCAACACCTCGTACTTCGTCCTGATGCGCATCGAAACAGCCTTATCTACAGCTCCACAACTGGCAATTCCACTGAGCAGTTTTGCCTATTGTACCGAGATTCGGCAAGCCTCATGGGCTCTCCTGACTTGCCAGCCGGTCAGGTCCTCGGTCGTGTCCGCCTTGGAAAGTCTTCATCTTTCAAGAAACAGCATCTCCAAAAGTTCGAAAATCAAGGTGATAGATGACTAGAAAACGTTTTCTCATCAATTGAGAAATCGGTTGATAACATAATTGCGCTTGACACTTCAACTACCTCACACTTTGTTGGAATTAAAAATTTCCCACTATTCCTGTCTTGTGCTTGAAGGCAATGTCCAAGTCAACTTGGTATCTACTGCATTGTTGTCGATGTGGGATTAGGGCTTGAATTAGATTTATTACTTCATGGGTAAAATGAACTTTGCCCAAACCTCAGCTCATATGATTTGCTTAGTGCTGAGAAACTTGAATTCATTCCTATATACTACTCTTTTCGAATGGACTAGTCAGCGAGCTCGTAAAATTAAAAAGTACGGTCTGGGCGAGGTTCAGTGTTGGATTTCTCAGTCGCTAACGAATCGTGGAAGGGCGATAGCTTAACTAAAACTTCCCAATCAGTTTTCAGTCAGGATACCCAGATAACCGAGTAAGGCTTCAAAGGTTATTCATGTGCATCGAACGATGTGGTCAAACTTCATAAAGCGATACGGTTACGATGTTAAATCACATACCTCAAGTCCTTTGCTTTTTTCCTAGAGCTTTTTTTTATTGATTTGCAAGTTGTAAATTTCGTATTCTCCTACTGCATAGAGAACAAGAATAAAAATCTAGGGAACGTGTAAAACGTCATTGAGTTTACGTGCCGTTAATAGTCAAATGATCAATCATTTCATTAAATGAATTGAGAAGCAGATGCAAATGAATGAGGAAGTTATCCTCGAACAAGTTATCCCTTGAGTGTCAGCTCGTTATCACTCATTGATGTTAAAAAAACAACAAGAAGGATTGCGAACGTTAATGGAAAGTGTTTGTATGTTTTCTATATATGGGAATCTAAGGCTAACTTTTGCACACAACTAAACAGCTTGGATGGAGCACAATTGTGTCATGTTTGAAAAAAAGGAAGTTTTAGCCTATAAAGAAGTTGCAGCATTTCGCGATTATGAAATTTTGGGATAAAATCTCTGTATTGTTGCTTCTACAAAAACTCTAGCACAATTTTACGTGCACAGATTAACAAGGAATTCAACCTAATTGCCAACTGCACAATTCATGCCAGAATTTTGTTTCCATTGAATGTTTAACTTACATATTCACTACAAACATAATTTAAAATTTATTTCTGGAAACACGAAAATGCAGGAGAAGAAGCAACAACCTATAATACAGTTATATCACAGTATTGTATCACTTTTTGAGCGCTGCATGGTCATCAAGATCTGCTGGAGTGAAGGCATGAGGAAGGAGTTCTTTCGTCGTCGTGTTCATAATGTTTTTATTGATTGATGAGCCGAGAATGACCTAAAAGTTCATTTTCCAAGATTTTATTTTTAAATTCTTTGCAAGAAATTCTATACTAACCCTAAAGTTACCGAACTCTATGAGAAACTGACGACACATCCCGCATGGGCTTCCCGGATCTTTGAGTTCGGTGGCTAAATATTGATTTTCATATAAGGTTCGTGTCCCGCCGCAACGCAACCGCAACGCACAGGCGGAGCGACGCAAGAGATGGAGAAAACAATACATTACCTACCTACTGCAATTGCTTTGAACTTTCGATGTCCTTCGGCAAGGGCGGTTGTCATTGCATTTCTTTCGGCACATATCGTTCCTCCATAGGAGGCATTTTCACAGTTTACTCAAAAAAAAATTATTTAGATAATATTTTATTCCAGTTGAGTTTCCGGCAGGAACTAACGTCTATGAGGGGTAAAAAAATGAATTATTTGAAATAGATATGAGCTACACAGTGCTACTCGGAAAGCTAGAAGATGAAAATGTTATGTTTTATTCGGAAGCACGCCCACTCACATCGCCACAGCCACAATGCCTTTGAGTCGCTTTGCGGCGCGTCTTCCTACGACTCAAAGGCATTGACGCCTTGCAAATGTGCTTCACAAGAAAGGACAAGGCAGAATCCTCACCTCCAACAACTATGCTATCGTTTGCCGTTAGAATGGCTGCACCGACGGGAAATTTGCTGTAGGGGCTGAAAATTGAATTTTAAAATAATAAGTATCGTCGAGTCATTCGTAACTTAATATGTGAGACTGCACACAAAGCCTTTCAACGTACGGCACCCTTAACATTAACTTCTCGATCAAATCTTATCCAACGTAACAAACTGTAAAATTGTATACTACTAATCAACCAATATCCTATTAAACTAAAAGAAGCAAAGAAACAGGGTGAAATCGCTGAAACGAGCAGGTTCCAATCTTATAAGTTCGTCAAATAGGGCGTATGATGTGCAATACGCATTTTAAGTTACAAATGACTCGAGCATACTTCCTACGGAGCAAATGCAAAACTCACCAGTATGCATTTTTCATAATATCTCTTGCCTTTTGCATCAATTCCTCATCGGAGACAGGCATTTTTCTTCACCACGAAAGGACAGAAGCGAAATATTGATAAAGTTAGTCGTCGATTTTGCACAGATCCTGATTGTAACATCAGATTTTAAAGGCCAGATCGATGCCATTATAACACGAGGACAGCATGTAACAATGGTGTTCGGCAATGATGGTTTTTATATCGCGAAATAGAAGAGAATGACTCATAAGTACATATGTATGAAAGGCATCGCCTGAGAATTCCAAAAAAAAATCGTTGGAAATTGAGCCCAATAAAATTCCAGCAGAAGAGCAATGAAGGTATTGAAGATCGGCCCACAACCAAGACAAGCCGTTTCGAAAAGAGTAAAATTCTTTCCTGGATTCCATCCTTATATACCTCTGCAAGAGCGTAAGACAGGTAGAAACTCGAAAAATCATGAAATGGCGAAGTGTTAGAAATATGTAGATTTTGTGAAGTGATAAAGCAGTTCAAGGCCAAACCAGTGTGAATTTACGTGAAAATTCTGGAAAAGTGAGATTTATTGTTTCATGAAACCGTACAAGTAGACTCTTGAAAGTTAAAGAAAGCGCTTTACGAGCTAGACGAAAAAACGTTGTTTAGTGATAAGCTGAATTAGCTTGACCGATAACGGCACCTTAGGGGCGTGTGTAATTTTTCCACACCTGCGAAGGTGACGAAAATAGCAACTTTGCGCTGTTTTTGACAATCTAAGCGCTTTTTTAACTTTCAAATTTTCCAAACAAAATTGGCTATTGATTTATCAAATGATATTCAAAATAAGAACCAATCGGAGTTTTCTTAAAATATGTGTTACACAATTCTACTCTCTGTTGTGACTATACGCTTGTCGATTCCGCAGGCTTGAGCTTACAGCATGTCTTAAATGTGGTGACCTTTTTGCATTCGGCTACGCAGCGCAGGAACCTCATGTGGCAAACTTCATTCGATGAAAGCAATCTGCTAGAACCATACGGGTACGAACCACGCGTGAGCTCGCGGAGCAAACGCGCCGATGGAATGGGTCACTGCGATTGGGACAGGCTGTAGCGAGCGCGATCATATCAACGCCTGATCCGGCACTTTGCCAATTGCAAATAAACCAGCGTTCTTTACTCGCACAATGCTCTAGATGCTAAAAGTTTTTTTACTTTATTCATAACCAAAATGGGCCCTTGACGCCAGTGAATGACTGGAGCATTAATCATTTTTGGGCACTAAACAAGAAATTACTCAGAAAAGAGGTAAGTAGCTTGTAGGATATCAAGAATGAGTAGTTAAAGATGCTTAGAACAAGCAAAAGTAAAGCTGGTATAATTCTGCCTATCGGCGTACATGCCGTGGGTTCACTAGGAATAACTAGAGAACAACACACAAATATACCAAGGTGCGGCGGGTACGCCGCAACCACAGAGACCATATCGACCTAGCCTATAGTGAATGAGCAAGTTCCAATATAGGGGACGGCTCTACAACACCTCCCCTGTTGTTGTGAAACGCGTTGAGCCGTTGACGATCTATTAGAAAAACACAAGAGTTCCCCCTCTGCCTATCGGCGTACATGCCGAGGGTTCACTAGGAATAACAAGAGAACAACACACACAAATATATCAAGGTGCGGCGGATACGCCGCAACCACAGAGACCATATCGACCTAGCCTATAGTGAGTGAGCAAGTTCCAATATAAGGGACGGCTCTACAACACCACCTCCCTCCTAAGATGAACAACGGTACATCATACAACAAGGATCTACTTGTGGACGTTCTGGTGGGCGACGATGGCGGCTTGGCCTGGTTGATGTCGGTGACGTAGTCGAGGTGGATTGGTGTTCAGTAGCATCCATACCATTGTTACGCCGGCCTTCATCGGGGGTGGACTGTGTTGAGTCATGATGTCGATCCATACTTGCTGCGCGGCGCATCTGGTTCGCATGTCGTCTCCATAACTGACCGTCTTCCGTAAGCACGCCATATAGCGCTTCTACATATCGTTTCTTCACTCGTGCTGGAATCCATTTTTCACAACCAGAGATAAAATCACGTACCCACACGGTTTCTTGTGGCTGGTACGATTTCTATCGTGCTCCGTGACGGCGGTTGAACTGCTTCTCCATGTTTTCGTTGCCCATTCATTCTTCTTTGGAGTCTTCATTCAGCAGCGACAGCGGTGTCCTTATCTGACGTCCCAGGAGCAGCTCGGCAGGCGAACGTTGTCCCGGAGCAGTTGTACAAGGCGTTCGTCGATAAGACTGTAGAAACTCCGCAATCTTCTCTGCCGTTCCTCCCTCCTTAATTTTCTGGAAGGTCCTTTTGAAGATATCCACGAACCTCCCCGCTTGTCCATTTGATTGCGGATGGAAAGGTGGTGAACGCATATGCTTGATTCCTCGCTCTTTACAGAAATCTTGGAACTCCTTTGCTGTGAACTGCGTCCCATTGTCCGACACGATCACTTGCGGATTTCCAAATCGAGCGAATAGAGATCTGAGTTCTCTCAAAGTAGCTGTAATTGACGATGAAGGCATCTCAAATACTTCGGGCCATTTCGAGTAAGCGTCAACTACGACGAGATACATCTTGCCATTCAGCGGCCCTGCATAGTCAATGTGAAGTCGATTCCATGATTTCTGTTCCATTTTCCATGAATGCAGTACAGTCCTCACTGGTATCTTGGCTGCTTCTTGACATGCCCTACAGCGGCGCACTGAGTCCTTAATGTCTCTGTTGATGCCCTTACTCTTCGTACACTTTCCTAGGTCGCTGTTGAAAACTTCCCCATGCTTCTTCTTCAAGTCGGCGACCACTTCGGCTCGAATTTTCTCTTCGCTAGTCACCTTTCTGCAATGGAAGTTGCCCTTCAGCTTTTTGTATGCCGGCAGCTGGATGCACCATTCCAGTCCTAGTAGATTCGAGCCTTCGGTGACGTAGCATGTGCCATTTCCATGAAGCATCTTCCCTGTAACTCGATCTCTGACGGAGAAGTCGGTTGAGAATTTACCATATATTTTCATCGACGTCCCGCTTGCAGTTTTCACGGGCATCACACAGGGTTCCAGAGCCGGGGATCCCATCCTCTTCCAAGCTCTGCGTGATATCAGCGTTATATCTGCACCTGTGTCCAGTTGAAGTTTGAGATTACATCCTCTAACTACGACGTCGAGGTAAGTCCGCGCGCTCTCGGCGTCGAAAGCGACCACATGTTTACACTGTCTTCTGCGGCCAAACTGCGCTCTTGTCTTCCGCCGCTTCTTCCGATTAGTGCTGGCCGATTGTGGGCAGTCTTTTCTGAAATGTGGTTCTCCGCATATGAAGCAATTTACCTTTTCTTCCATACAGCATGGATGTCTCGCGTGCCTTCCATGTCTGTATTATCCACTTTCAGGGCCGTGAAGTTTTCACATTCCGCGACTAGGTCCTCGATTGTTAACGGTGCTTCGTCCGTGTGAGCATCCAGTCGACGAATCATCCGAAGGCGAACTTCCCTAAGTGAGGGATCTTGAAGACCTGCTACAAATTGCAGCGTCTTCATTGCCGTGTAATCGACCTCCTTAAGCCGGGCATCCTCGTCCATCCGCTTGATGGTATTGGCGTACTCGCGAAATGGTACGTACGCTGGAGTAAGCGGAGGGCAGGTTATCCTCAGGCACTCATACCTTCTCCTGATGAGCGTCTTCTTGGAGGCGAATAGCTTCTGAAGATTCGCGATGGTGGTGTCGAAGTCCAAGTCATGTGGTTTTGCAGGTAAGACCTCATCAGCATACTTTCGGTAGGCTTCTTCGTCCAGCTTCATGAGGATCAAGTCGCACTTCTTGTGATCCGGCAGCTGGGCGTCGCTAATGATAGGTTCATACCTGCCGTACCAGCATGCAAACGTATTACCTGTCTCCTCGTCCGAGACAAATCGTTGCAGTTCTTTGCTCAGCTGATCGTATTGATCTCTGCTGGCATCCTGAACGGCTCCCTGCTTACTGGCTAAGGTGGTGATTAGCTCCTTCATCTGCTCCTGCTGAGCTTGCAATTGCATCTGCTGCTCCTGTTGAAGTTGCCTTTGCAGCTTCATCTCCTCCTGTTGAATTCGCATTTGTTCGACCATGACCGACAGGACCTTCTCCAAAGGGTCATGGCCATGCCGCTCTTCACTGGCTTTCGGCATGGTAGAACTCTTCAGTCTTGTGCTAAATCAGATTCCTAGCAACGCTTACTTGCTGGCTGTCCTCGACCGGTAACAGCTTCCTCCCAGCTTGAACTGAGCTGCAACACTTCTTCTTGTCCTTGATTGGAAGACTGCTGGTCCTTGGTCGGGCTGCTGGTCCTCGGTCGGTGGAGCTTCTTCTGGTCCTTGGTCGGTGGAGGTCTTCTTGTCCTTGATCCTGATCGCCAGTTGTTGTGGAATGCGTTGAGCCGTTGACGATTTATTAGAAAAACACAAGAGTTCCCCCTCTGCCTATCGGCGTACATGCCGAGGGTTCACTAGGAATAACTAGAGAACAACACACACAAAGATATCAAGGTGCGGAGGGTACGCCGCAACCACAGAGACCATATCGACCTAGCCTACAGTGAGTGAGCAAGTTCCAATATAAGGGACGGCTCTACAACATTTACGTGCCGATAATAGTCAAATGATCAATCCTTTCATTAAATGAATTGAGAAGCAAATGCAAATGAATGAGGAAGTTATCTTCGAACAACTTGAGTGCTCCCTTGAGTCAGCTCGTTGTCACTTATTCATGTAAAAAAACAATAAGGAAGAATGCGAACGTTGATGGAGAAGTATTTGTACGTTTTCTACATATGGGAGTTTGAGGCCAACTTCCGCACACAAATAAACATCATGGATGGGGCATAAATGAGTCATGTTTGAGAGAAAGGAAGCTTTGAGCTATAAAAAAGTTGTAGTATTTCGTGATGTCAAGTTTTGGGATATAATCTATATATATCGCTTTCACAAAAATTCTAGCACAATCTCATGTGTACAATTATTGTATTACGAGGACTTCAAGTAATTGCCAACTCCACAGTTCATGCCAGAATTTTTTTTCCATTAAATGTTTAACTTACATATTTATTACAAACACAATTTATTGTCTGGAAACACAAAAATGCAGGAGAAGAAACAACAACCTATAATACAGTCATATCACAGTATTAAATCACTTTTTGAGCGCTGCATGGTCATCAAGATCTGCTGGAGTGAAGGCATGAGGAAGGAGTTCTTTCGTTGTCGTGTTCATAATGTTTTTATTGATTGATGAGCCGAGAATCACCTAGAAAGTTCATTTTCCAAGATTTTATTTTTGAATTCTTTGCAAGAAATTCTATACTAACCCTAAAGTTACCGAACTCTATGAGAAACTGACGACACATTCCGCATGGACTACTCGGATCCTTGAGTTCGGTGGCTAAATATTGATTTCCATATAAGGTTCGTGCCCCGGCGCAACGCAACCGCAACGCACAGGCGGAGCGACGCAAGAGATGGAGAAAACAACACATTACCTACCTACTGCAATTGCTTTGAATTTGCGGTGTCCTTCGGCAAGGGCGGTTGTCATCGCATTTCTTTCGGCACATATCGCTCCTCCATAGGAGGCATTTTCACAGTTTACTCAAAAAAAAATTATTTGGATAATATTTTATTCCAGTTGAGTTTCCAGCAGGAACTAACGTCTACTTTGAGGGGTAAAAAAGTGAATTATTTAAAATAGATATGCGCTACACAATACTACTCGGAAAGCTAGAACATGAAAATCTTATGTTTTATTCGGAAGCACGCGCATTTACATTGCCACGGCCACGATGCCTTTAAGTCGCTTTGCAGCGCGTCTTCCTACGACTCAGAGGCATTGACGCCTTGCAAATATGCTTCACAAGGAAGGACACAGCAGAATCCTCACCTCCAACAACTATGCTATCGTTTGCCGTTAGAATGGCTGCACCGACGGGAAATTTGCTGTAGGGGCTGAAAATTGAATTTTAAAACAATGAGTATCTCCTATCGAGCAAATGCAGAACTCACCAGTATGCATTTTTCATGATATCTCTTGCCTTTTGCATCAATTCCTCATCGGAGACAGGCATTTTTCCTCACCAAGAAAAGACAAAAGCGAAATATTGATAAAGTTAGTCGTCGATTTTGCACAGATCCTGATTGTAACATCAGATTTTGAAGGCCAGATCGATGCCATTATAACACGAGGACAGCATATAACAATGGTGTTGGGCAATGATGGTTTTTATATCGCGAAATAGAAGAGAATGACTCATAAGTACATATGTATGAAAGGCATCGCCTGAGAATTCCAAAAAAAAATCGTTGGAAAATAAGCCCAGCAAATTTCCAGCAGAAGAGCAATGAGGGTATTGAAGATCGGCCCACAACCAAGCCAAATGGTTTCGAAGAGAGTAGAATTCCTTTATAGAATTCACCCTTATATACCTCCGCAAGAGCGTAAGAAAGGTAGAAACTCGAAAAATCATGAAATGGCGAAGTGTTAGAAATATGTAGATTTTGTGAAGTGATAAAGCAGTTCAAGGCCGAACAAGTGTGAAATTTACGTGAAAATTCTGGAATACGCAAAAGTGAGATTTACTGTGTCTCAGAAAACCGTAGAGTAGGCTCTGGAAATCATTAAAAGTTACGGAAAGCTCGGTTTACGAGCTATACGAAAAAACGGTTTTGGTGATAAGCTGAATTAATCTGAGCGATAACGGCACGTTAAGGGCGTGAGTAAACACCGGCGAAGGTGACAAAAATATCAAGATTGTGACTTTTCTCGGTGGCAATCTCACTTTTGATTTCTACATTTTTACGAACAAAATTATTTATTGATTCATCAAATGATGTTTGAAAGAACAACCAATCAGATCCCAAAATGTGTGTTACACAATTCTGCTCTTTGTCTAAATATACGTTTGTCGAATGCGCGGGCTTGAGCATATACTCTGTCTTAATTGTGGTGACCTCTCTGCATGAGACTACGCATACGCAGAGCAACGACCTCTTTGTCAACCTCCATTCGGTGGAGCCGATCTGCTCTCACTAAATGAATACGAACTCCACCTAGGGTTCGCGAAGCGGACGCGTCGATCGAGTGGGACACTACGGTTGAGACAGACTGTAGCGAGCGTGATTATGTCACCGCGTCATTTGGCAAGCCAAAGGCATGAATCCACCCAGCGGTTTTTACGTTCTGCTCTGGGTCTTACAATCTCTATGGAATGCAACCTTGGCGGCTTATAAGCGACTAAAGGATTTGTAGGGGCGTTGAGCAAGAATTGTATCAAAAAAGGGCAAAATAGCTTTCAACATGACTATCACCAAAAATTAATAAAATGCAATCGAGCTTTAGCAAGAATAAATATGGTATATCTATAATTTTGAGGTGTTAAAATAAAAGTAAATTGTGTAACATCCATGCTCAACTCCCAAATTCGCGCTAAGACGAACATGTACGCACGCATCAGCGGTGCGGTCCAATCCACGACACGCTGCTGCGCGAGATTGGCACACACAGTGGGGTTGCATTGCATCTCTTACACTTTCGACGTGTGATGATGGCAACTGTGTAGTCATACAATGCCATGGGAAATGTTCTCATCAAAATCAATGTTATCAGAGATATAGTTCAAACAATAGGTCCCAAAAATCAAATAATCAAGAAATGTATTTTGTGCGAAAACTCATTTCTGCAAATAATAAAGAAGTGAACTGAAATGCACGTTTAAAACTGGATTTGTTAGTCACGTGCTAGCTTGAATTGAATCGCCCATCAGAAAATAAACGGCCAGACGGAAAAACGATATCTGAATAGCGCATCTCTTGCTTTTTCGACAACGACGGCAAAGAACGATCAATCGCGGAAGTTATTGGAAAGGGACAGGAAGAAGGTTTGTTTACACGAAAGTTCAAAGATGATTCAGCTTATGTCGCTTGAAAACCCAAGAAATCCCTGAATTATATAATGAGATATCAGTGATTTAGACAGATTTGCAGGTTGAAAGTTGTGTGACCAATCTTTCGATCGGTCAGCTGTGCAAACATAGCCTAGCATCGATCCATGGTCACATTCATTACAAGGATTTTCTTGTGCTTCATAGCTTCCATTATTCATATTGTTGTTTAATGTTTCTATTATTATCCAGTTTGTTTTCTCAATTTGGCATTTATCATTTAGAAGGTCCTGAATGGATTTGTTTATCTACATGTCTTCACTCTCCTATGATAAAGCTTTCAAATTATTGTCGCTCCTCCCCTTCAATGGGCGTTGTTCAGGTAATTATGAGTACTTGGACTTCTTGTCTGAAAATTAGTTGAGAGGCCTTAACTAAACAGTTGTCTAAGTGACAACTCATAGGATTCATTTGAGACATAGGCTAACATATCTATCCCTGACCTCCGGACCGGACCGTAGTTTCTACCGTATTCGCGGGATGCTGGTTGCGGTCTGGGTGAACCGAGCCGTTGCTCCCCTGAGTGGCCCCGATTTTTGCGAATGGATCATAAAGGTTGCAAGAATCCCATAAGTTATTCAAATAAGAAGCTTATGGATCGCCTGGACTCTGCCTTCGAGTGCCTGCCTCAGGTACCTTTTCTGTCAGCGTGAAAGCATGAAAGAAAAAGATGCAAAAAAAACACAAAAACTAGGACAAGCAATAAAAATTTTTGCACTTAATACATAAATTATCCGAAACAATGTCAGAAGAAAGCAGGAAACAAAAAAGCGATTCAATGTGGAATGAGATTTCGACATCTCACAGATTTTTATCAAAGATCAGATAACAGCAAGCGCTTCCATATAACAGCAATTTTGTTTTTACACTTACTAAACGAAGGCAAACCAGACAATGAAATGCATGAAAATTTTTATTTACTGAAATATTGTAGCGTAATTGTTTCGCTGCGTGAAGGAGGGAGAGAGTGGGTGTACACGTTACAAAAGTTTATAAAATGTTACTTTGCAAAGTTTAAAAATTACTATCAAGAAAAGATTCTCATAAATATAGGATTCTCATCTCAAAGCTCCACGAGAAAATCATCCATAATTTTCTCTTCAGCTCGAGAAATCGCGATGAGTCTTGGAATCCATTCGTTTGTATTATCGTAAAACGAATAAGTAGGGAATTTGATCATGTTGGTAGCTGCTTTTGGCTCAGTTTATTCATAAATGAAATAAAATAATAAACGTTCACTAAAGAATGTGTGGAACTGAAAGGTGAACTTACCCACTCGAATCCTCCCTGTTTGCATAATCTCAGCTCAGCTGCTTATCGCATACTCGATCGATAGGGCCATAGGTTTCTCCAAGTAATTAATGGCTTCTCCTCCAGGTTGATGAGTACTTGGTTAAAATCTTTGGTTTGCACTTATGCAATGGAAAAGGATGGCTTCACTAATTCTGGCAGTAGTCCAAGAATTTTTTGAAAGACCGATTGACAACTTTATGCCGCCTGTATTCTCCGCACCTAAATAACTGACACAAACTGTGATGGTTGAAAGTGCATGGTTTGTGGCAGATGTCCGCGCGGGTCTAACCCTCAAAAAAAGAGCAGTAAAGATAAAAAAGCCAAGAGAATGAGATTGAAGTGTAGGTACGCTATTTAGACCTCTTTCTCTCAATTAACATGCCTTGATCGCAGACTTTGAGTTTCAGTTCCCGCTATATTTACTGTTACACAGTGGCGAAGATCCTTTTATCCACAATAGAAAAGTACACTGCTTTTCACACAAAGAAATGTTAGCTTTATGGAATTAGAATTGCTCTCACATTTATTTTTGGGTCGTAACCTGCACCGGGGCTCTTTGCGCATCTACCAATATGACTAGGGCACATGAAGTGTGCTTTTACAACTGGGCCTTCTTTTTTCGATATTTGCTATTTCGGCCAATGTATTTTTCACTTTGTCAACATAGCAACTAGTGGGTCGCCTTGTGTGGTTGGAGAGGGAAAGCTTTCTTCATTGTATTCTAACAGTGGTAAAATTAAACTGCGGTTTAATTTGTAAGAATTTCACTAACATCTCACACAGCCGCATTAGAATCGAAACTTTTCTGCTTTAACTCGTTTGGCCACAATTCAGGCGCGAATGAAAGGATTTTTTTGAAAACTAGCTACTGTATTGGTTGAAGATTGTTTTCCTGTAGCATGTTTAACACATTGACGACCGCTTGACGCACATGGTGTGTCAAGGCTTGACACACCATGACTCTCATTGAAATGGCTACTAAAATGTGTCAAACCAACTCCGGGAGTTTTCTTTCGTGCTGAATTTAGATACAACCTCTACTGTTATTGCTAGCATTCCAGCACTACTGTAGGTGTACTGTAGATGGAATTGTGCGTGATTTTATTTGAAAAATGTTGGCTGGTCCGAGAAAGGCTTCGGTCGTCAATGTGTTAAGTAGATTTTTCGGGAATATCTGAACCGAGAAATCGACGCGCCGAAATAGATACTCGCTGCTGGCATTACATGGGTCCAAAGTTTCTCATGATTTGGGCAATCGCCTAAGATTTGCTCATTTCTGTATGCTTGAAGTCAGGAGATCTTTCCTACAATTTTTGCAGAAATACTTAGCTATTCAGTGTATGGAGATTTGAAATTTCCATAGTTTTTGACTTTCTGGCCTACCAAAAATAGGCTCGAAAAAGTGAATAACTTTGAGTTTCAATCTTTTCTTTTCGCAGGACTCCTTCGTTGAAGACTTTTCTAAGCAGGCGTATACTACTGCCTTGCGTCTACAAAATAGGTTGATTAGCAGCCATAAAAGCAAAACTTGTAGAAGTTGTAATCTCTCAAAGACGAGGTTTCTAAAAGAAAAACTTTCGGTTTTTTGCCTCACGGTTTTCTTCTCGTTTGCAATATCAGGAAATGCAGATGCGCGTTAGGTTAGAAAGGTTTTGCTGCTTCAGTTGGTTTTGATTGCATTTAGAAATATGAAGATTGATCAAAGTTATAGCCTTCCAAAGTGAAAATTTGCAAAACGGACATTATTTTTGCAACAACCAATACTAACTAAGTGTGTACTTATAGTTAGTCTCGTCCGCGTGGTGTTGTGATATGAGGCGCTGCTATGATCGGATTGCACCAAGGTACGATCTCTCCCATTGGTCAATTAAGCCCTTTACCCTACGGGGCCAACTGATTTGTTCTAACAGAGTGATCTGGAGAAGTCGAAGCATTTACTTGGTCAACGCTAACTTCAGCAGATTACTGAGAAGTACGCATGCCTCTAATAGTCTTCTCTCGACCATGAAGCAGAATGCGCTGGAAAAGCATGCGATACTGAAGTGGATTCGAGAAAATGGTAGTTTACAAAAGAGGCAAGTTGTAGCTTTCTTGACAATAGTCTTAATTGTATCAAAACAGCTTGCTCTGTACTTTACCCACATGAATTTTTAATACCAGCTGGTGATGTTACAAATAATAGATTGAGCATACAAAGTAGAATATTCGAATAGGCTAGGGGCTAGGAAATCATGTCGTCGAATAACTTTTGTATATCTATAGGCTTTGCAAAGGAATAGACAGAGAAAACCTTATTTAATCAAACACTCCATCTGATCAAAATGAACACCTTGAGAAATGTTAGGTTGATGCAGAAGTAATGGCCGATTTTCTAAGCCTTTTTTGGGCAACTTTTTTCCATCAACACTTCTTCTTTACAATAGACGTAGCAAACCATCGCGAAGCTGTTTTCATGCTCTATCTAAAATGCTTGAAACGGGCTCTCACCCTCATCTGTTATAAAGTTACTGAGTTTCAAATAACCGCATGCAAATTCAGAATTTCATTGCATTCATTTTTCCTACCAGAATTCGAGCGCGTATAAATGGGATTTCTTCGAAAATTTAGCTGTTGTATGTAATAGAAATTGTCTACATTATGTCTACTTAATTGTATTCTTTGAAATCATCAAGACTGAGATATCGGCTCCTAAACATGGGTAGCTGTTGCGGTCATTTTATGAACCATAAATTTCTTCTGAGGAAGTCAGTCGCAGAAGCTTTGCTCAATTCTGTATGAGTAGAGCTAGGACATTCATCAGCAGTTATTGCAAAGACATCCAGTTGTTCACTACGTAGAAAATCAAAAAATTCTGTATTCCGGACTTTGAGGCATACTGAAAAAATGTTGAAAAAACTGAGAAATTTTGAATTTCAATTTTTTTCTTTCTCACAGACTTTATTGTCCAAATTCTTTTTAGTGTATTTTGTACCACTGGCTTGCGGCTACAAGGTAGGCCACCCATAATTTATACTAAAAAACTTTGAAGGAAGTTATGAATTGTCAAATACAAGGTTCTAGCAGAAGAACCTTTTTCGTCTTTTAGTCCGTATTTCTCTTCCCGTTTATGATGTGCGTATAAATGAGTATGGGCTGTATTGCGAAAGGCTTGCTGCTTCTGCAGGTCTTTACCGCATTCGGAAATGTGGATGTTTTAGAAAGTTATAGCAGGTCAAAATGAGAATTCGCAAATCGGTCATTACTTTTGCATCAACCTAATATTATATATTGAAGGTATAATAATGACCCGTTGAGATGTAAAATAAATCAAGCCAAATTGTCGGCTAGTGATCCACGATCTGTTCCCTGCACAACTGTCCCATCTGGCAAACTTTTCGTACTAGCTTCTTTTCTCAAAAGTTCAAAGCTTAACTTCAGCTAGTGAAACCATAATCCCTGCTCTTCATTACTGCTGTCTAGTATCAGATTCTTAATTTTTTTTCTTGAAAATTTCTGTCCACAATGTCTGCACATGGTTGTTGCAAATAGTTTTTGTTTTTCTTGTTTAAATATCTTATTGAACCTTGTTCAGTGCTGCCTGCGCCAGCGTCGTGCCAGCACGGCGATCGATCAACGTGGGACCCACCATATGTGCGCCGGCACGGCGCTAGCACGGCGCCGACACGGCCTAGCGTACTATGAACTCTAAAACTCAGCTATTTGATTACACCACATGGCCTGCTATCATCTTTTATTAATTTCGCACCCAGTTGTAAAGTACAGTAAGATTTTGCATTTCTTGTTGCAACGGAATTTTTCAAAGTCCATGTTGAGTGCGAAAACTTTAGCTCAAAGCTCGGGCATTCATGATTATTTTTCATCGAGCCACATCGCAATCCATCCGTACAATGATCACAGCTGATCTGGGCTGACTACTATAGCAACGACCTTTTCGTTAATCCACAGTCCATAGTGGCTGCGCATTGTTCTGCACTCTCAAATCCGCGTTCTGTGCAGTTTTTAGCAAGTCGAGTAAAAACATAGAATCTATAGACCAAACCGGTTCCACTTTGCAGCAGTGGAACTCATCACGGAGGCGCACAAATCATAGACGGCTTCGAAAAACCGTTATGAAGATGAGCATCTGTTCAGATAAGCAAGCGGAGCCCAGCATAGACTTCGAAGAACGAATTGGCTGCAAAGCATCCCTTGCAAAGGATTCAGATCATATCCGTGGAACATTATCTGGCTATTGACACTAATCAAAATAAGTTTTGTCTATCTAGATATATTTAGTCTATCTGTTCATTTCCTTCTGTTTTACTTCTCAGACTACTAATTCTCCGATTATGTGTTCGTGCGCTTTTGTGACCTTTAATTCAACTCGCTTGGCTGCTGGGAGGCGGGGTTTTGTGACCTAATTAAGATCGCTCGCCCCCGCGACGCAGTCTGCGTCTCTGATCGTTATCTAGCCTTAATTAGGTTACGAAGCCCCGCCTTCCAGCTCAAAGTCATTTAAATCAAAGGGTAATTTATTGGATAATCTTCAACTAAATTATTACAGGCTATTCAAATTAATTTTATTCCAGGTTATTTTAGTTATTCTCTGGCTGATTCATCCATTTTTCATTTTTTTGGTCATTTTTTCATCAATTTCGTTCTGCAAAAAGTATATTGTATCGCTAGATCAATGCTCGGTACGAATGTCTCTGCAAATTTCTCGAAGCAAAATTTCCATAACTTCCATAAATCCCCCCATTACAGATAAATGCCTATTCTTGTGCTGCGTTCCCTTCTCGTTCGCTTCAATCTTCTTCACTCAATTTGCTACAAAGCCATCTGAACCATCTCAATAATGGGATAGTTTTCAAAAATCGAAAAGCATAGTGTTTCATGTTATCCATGAAATTCAACTCAAATTTTGAGTAGGAAGCAACAGACGATGCTAAAAATTGGACCGTAAGCAGATCGACGCCTAATTCCATATTAATTCGCGGATCAAATGAAGCTAGTTTTGTGCAGTTTATAGCTCAAATAAAACAGGCATTTTTGTAAATTCTAAAACTTTGAATCCGTTTCTTTTTTATTGTATGTTATGCAGCGCGCAACTTGGTGTTGAAAAATTCAAATTCGCCTTGAATTTTAGAAATTATCAAGGCGCACAAGTTACATCAGCAGACTACGAAATGAAGAACGAGAGTTGCATCACTAGAGTAGGTGGTATCCGTGCCCTGGTCATGAGTCTCTTTGCTGAAATCCTGTTTTCTTTCTCTCCTCCTTTTTTTGAAACTAGAATCAACAAAATCTCCAGATACGAAAGGGCTGGATTACTGAATAGAGCGCAGAAAATTTCAGCAACAGTCTCTGTCTGGTTTGTTGAATTTGCTGACTATGTCTATACAATATCATTACTTCTATAGAATTTTGGAGATGAGGGCAAACGTATGCGTTATGCAATCTATCGACGTTTTCTTAGTAGTCTCAATAATCAGAAGAAAATTGGTATTGCTGCTCTAGCAATCTACGCTGATGTGACAATGAAGTTTGTCAAAGAGTTTGTGCTTTGTTTCCCTTGGCTATCAGACTGTTCCGAAAAATTCGATTCCTACAAAAAACGTCCTACTGAAGCCGAAAAGATTTTCGAATAAAAACATCTGTTATTAGGTTGGTGCAAAAATAATGAGCTAGGACAACTTTTCCCATCAATATCTCTTTGGAAGAGAATTAGCATACCATCGAGAAGCTTTTTTTATGCTCTATTTATGGTGGATAAAACGGGCTTCTATCCTCATTTGTTTAAAATTTATATGGCTTTAAACAACCACTACCAAAATTTCATTCGTTTACTTTTCTCGCCGAAATTCGAACGCAAATGATGGCATTCTTTTGAAAATTCAGCTAATGTATGTAACCTTTGATTCAACTGGCTTGGCTGCTGGAAGGCGGGGCTTTGTGACCCAATTGTGGCCCGCTACGCAGTCTGCGTCTTTCTCGCGCTCGTATCTCTGATATTCTCTGGCCTTGACTAGGCTCACAAACCCCGCCTTCTAGCCGCCAATCCAGTTGAATCAAAGGGTATCTACATATTCAAAGATGTGTCAATTTGAAAGGTTTTTTTTATTAATCTGAATGATTTCTATGTTTTCTCCAAATAATTCGAAAATATAATACATTACATCGCTCAATAATGTGTCGAATTCTATAGGTTCAGCATATAATCTCTTTGAAAACTGATTATAACAATTATTTAGCGATCATAATTCGGAAAAAGCCCGAAAATTGAGGGTGTCTGGTTGGGACGCTTATTGCAGCCTACCTGTACATCCGTAACGGACACGTCCTCTAATTATAAGTGTCTCACCATCGGAGGCATGAAGGTCGCTTTTAGCAACGGATTGTCCCTAATTCTTTCTATAATTTTTGGAAAGAAAAAATGAGCCCAAAAAGTTTTTCTACAAAAGAAGGCCCTTCAAGTTTTTTGGTTCGTTTTCTCACACTTTGACGCGCAGTCTTGCAAAGTAATTTAACACCTTCAAAGTGTTTTTTCTATAATGTAATGGATCGAATTTCAATACCTTCTCATGTTATGCAAATGGTGCTTGACATTAGTTTCTTCACATCTGGTTATTTACATTTCTGATAACTTTATCCAATTTTTCAGGAAGTTTGTGATACTACAAAATTTACTGTAAGGCATGCGAAATGAACCTTTCCACTGTAAATTGAAGAGTCTAAGTCGCGAGCACAAAAGTGTATGCTTTAAAGGTAAGTAGCTTGATTATTCATTCCAAGAAGTTTGTAATTTTTCGGAGCTTTTCAAAGCCTTGAGCTTTGAAACTTTGTGTGTTTGATACGATGGCCCGAAAGCTATACAAATTTGCATTGTACCCTCTGATTCAAAAGGTTTGGCGACTAGAAGGCGGGGGCTTCTTAACTTATTGTTAGTTAAGGCTAGAGAGTGATTAGAGAGCACGCGCGCGACACAGACGCAGATTGTGTTGCTGGTGCGAGCGGCCTTGATAGGTCACAAAGCCCCGCCTTCCAGCCGCCAACATTTGAATCGATAGCTATTCTTGGTAGCGTGATTATATCAATTTATTATCTAATTTACAATTTGAGCGCCGTAAATTTGTTGTTTTATTAGTTCTAAAATTTCTTTTCGGAAGTTTATGTTAACTTCATACCTTCACATCAAAAATTTGCACTTTCTGAACTAGTAGGGTCATGTCTATTAAAAACTTTAGGAGAATATACCGTAAATTACTGAATTGATGCAAAAAAATAATGGGCGTTTGCTATCCCGCCGCTTCAGAGATGATAAAGAAGTATGAAATGATTCGGTTGAGCAAAGCAAATTCCACAAGATGGCATCTGAACTGAAGTTTAGGGAGAATCTTAAAAAATTTCAGAAATCCTAAAATTCAGCGTTCAAAAAGATCTTCCAAACCTTCAACTTGATCACGTTGAATTAACCTTGACTGAACTGGCTTGGAGGTTGGAAGGCGGGGCTTCGTGACCTAGTTGAGGCTAGATAATGATCAGAGAGCATGCGCGCCAGAGAGACGCAGACTGCATCGCGGGCGCAAGCGGCCTCAGTTAGGTCACAAAGCCCCGCCTTCCAGCCGCCAAGCCATCTGAATCAAAGGTTATGTTGGGCTAGTAAACTACAGTGTAATCATACTGTAAGTAAACAATATTCACACCTAATTAACTGTAGTATATCTTACTAACCTGATTCGGGTAGGGGAACGAACTCCGCCAGTTCGAGCCCGCCTTCCCTGGCAACTAGTCCTCTTGTAATATTGTTGCATGTCGTTGCGCGACCAGTAGTCCGCGGAGGCGGTTCAAACTGGTGGAGTTCGTTCCCTTGCTCACCTGGTTCGATCACTGAATGATAACTCTTTCAGAAATACAAATTAATGTTGCAAATGATCTAAAGGCATTCATATTGATAGCCTTTTTTGTGCCGCAAAAAAGCCGATCAAAATTGTAATTGAGACTGGCTCGTTATTCAGTAGTAAAAAGCACTGTAAAAAGTTTATGATGATGAATTACCGTCGCTTCATATCAATCTGTTTTCTTCAATTATTCGCTACATCGCAAATCGAAACTTAGAAAAATGACCGCTACAGATTGACTGTGTTCATAGAACCATTTGCACTTTCACCCCCCCCCCCCCTCCCCGCATTCTTTCATAACGTCAATCTAAAATTCTATTATGAGAACACTATTAGCTCTCAATCACTATTTAGTACTGAATGCATGAGAATGGAGAATTTCCCGCGATGTCTACGTCGTAAACAAGGCGATCTCGTCATTTGCAGTAACTCCTTCGTCATTTTCGAGCTTTTCATGACCAAATGCAATCAGCGAATTCAAGATGACGTTCACCAAATTTGGTATGAAGATGTCACGCAATTTGGTAGATTATAGAATATTATTACATCATTTTCTCTCAGTGGCATCTTTGTCATTGGCAGGATGCTTTTTTTCTGTTTTCAAATAATTGTCATGAGCATTAAATGTAGCAAAAAACGCAAGATTAAGGTTGTCATCAACTTGCCTTGAGGCGTAATTTCAGCCTGCAAAAATGGCTTTCTGTTTGTATAAAAACTGATTGAAGTAATGGTGGTGATAGGTCTTAGCAGGTGTCCAAGCTTTCTACTAAACATTGGTGCAAGTCGGACTGTTTTGCACCAATGAATTTTTTGTTAAAAATCGAAGATAATATGATAGAGTCAAAAAATGTGCTAAAGTGTTGTCCCTCATTTCCCGTTCAGCTAAAATTGTTCCAGAACCCTCAATAGCTCGTTTTGAGCAAAAAAAACGCGAAAGACTTGCTGCTTTATTTTAAGATTAGCATTTCCTCTCAGATTTTTTCTTTCTAAGCAGAAAAAAAATTTTGTTTTCTCCCAAAAAAGACAACGTTTATAGAGGAATGGGGCACGAGTTGAATCTTACATTTCTAAAGCGGCTGAAAATCTATTTAGTTTCAACCGTAAAACTTGGATTCCAGTATTTTCTGCAAGTGATAGAATTTTTGCAGTTAACACAAATTTTACTATGAACAAAAATTTGTTTTGAAAAATTCAAATATACCTTTGAAATCTAAACAAAATTTCTACTTTCACCATCACAAAAAATGTCTATTGGTTGCTATGGCCAAAGCAGTGCTAAACATGATGAAATTCTTCCATTTAACGTCTACACGCAGTCAATTTTCACTAACTTTAATCGCATTATTACTATAAATTTTTTTGTGTGTTGTTTTATGCACATTTCTAGCCTCTCTGGGGAATCCACGCCGGGGACCTTTTTTCCTCGGCATGACGACAATAAGTAGCCTCATAAATAACCAAGGATTACACGGGTGTCTTGCAGCTGTGCATGCATAAATTTCGGGTTCTTAACGGACCTTAATCCTCTGTTGGTTGGCCACCAATCTGAACGCATTACTAAATTTTACCAATCTCTTCTAGCTGAAGGGAGAATTCGTCTGCAAGCTCGGGGGTGACGTAAGAGCAATATTTAACCAAGCAGCAACTAATCCCATAAATCTTCTTGCCGGACAAAGCTCGTAACTCAGCTGACGCCGACGGATGATCAGCTGCCAGCGCCGCGGGGACGAGTTATGACGCGCTGGCGCCAGCGGCCAGCGGTCACAACAGCCCGAGCGGGGGAGCGGTGAACTCAGCCGGGCGTCGAGCCAGACGTTTTTTTCTTCGTCGTTCGTCGCTCGTCGTTCCTTTCATGGTGTGGTTCTCCTCTATCGATTCGCCAAAGCAGAGTGCGGGCCCCCGTTCGGCTAAGGGCTGGAAATAAGGCACGAGCGACGACGACGATGGGGGCAAAACACGCGACGACTCGAACACCCCCAGCCCCATGCACTGCTGCAGCACCTTTGCACTCTATGTCAGGCATGTGCCATTTTGCTGCCTGGGAAAAATTATGGGAAAATTATTTTCTCTGGGTGTTCTTGGTCAGAGATCATAGATCACTACCCACGTTTCCGGCTATTGTTATGGCAAATTCCCCAAATCCCACCTTTTTTTTGCATTCGAAATTATGTGCAAAATTAATTTTGCTTTTTCTATCACGCCATCGTTTTCCTCTTTTTCTTCCTTTTATTTGCTTCTTTATGTTGTCGTGTTGTTTGTAGTTTGGTTTCTCATGTGCACAGAGCTCCCATTTTAGAATCGAGGTTTTATGACCTTCTTTGAACTATTGCCTTTCTAGGGTTTTATTACATTCACTAGCCATTACTTCCTGATGCAATTTTACTAATCTGCTTGCAGTGATTTTGATTGTCCAATATTTCCTAGCACATTTTTTCTTTTACTTCTGAGCACAGTTTTCTAATCTCCAGTAATTTTGGAAGCACGCTGTTGCATTTTTTATACATTCACTTTCCCTTGAATTTTTAAGAAAAAATTCATGATCCGTTCTCAGTCTTGCTCAAAGTTTGCTTTCCTACTTCTTGACATCAGTAGTTTTATCAAAATTTCCCTAGACACTTCTTGCACAGTTTTCCAACTTTCAGTGATTTTGAGATCGACTTTTATGATCAATTCCTCATCTGTCATCATTCTGGAGCCTTTAAAAAAACTTCTTAGCCTTTTTCTGCCTTGTAATCAAATTTGGTCCAGCTACATTTCATAATATGTTTGATTTTCACCAGACTTTCCAAAACACGATTGTTGTGTACCTGGCACAGTTCCAATTTCTCACGTTTTTGTAAAAAAGTCTTCATGATCTATTTTTGATCTGACATCTCCATGGTCTCCGAAAACTTTCTGAATTCTTATTTATTCAACCAGAAATAGTATGAGTAACGAAACGTTGCACAGCCTATCAGCTTTGCTCAGTCTAATTTTTCTACTTTGCCAAAAAATGCCTGACTTTTCCTCGAGATTTTTCAAAAAACAGGTTCTAAGTGCACCTCCCTCCCCCTCTTTCATTTGCAGAAAGACCCCAAATCAAATTTTCTTGGGCTCTAAATTTTTCCACCCTCGTTGAGTAAAGCATTCCCAGAGACTTTCCAAAGAATTGAATTGTCTCGATCTAGAGTGAGTCTGCAAATGAAATTTACAAGGTGGATTGCCTTGTGCTATGTATTTGGGAGGAGCACATGTTTTTTCCCAAATCAAATTTTCTGGGAATCTTCTTCGTGGATGAGAATCTTTGAGAGACACTTTCACATTGCGTTTCTTGTACATTATTCATGACAGTGATTCTCTATTCATTCCATATATGTACATGAACTTGGGGAACAATCAATTCATGTGATTTTTGGACACGTTCTGTTCTGTTATTCTGAATTTTTATTTTCCTCAGGCGCATATATTCATTTGGTGGAAAAAGAAGTTCCATAGAACGCTCCGATTTCTTTTCCTTTTTTTGTGTCTTTCGACCTTATCTTTACACTTTTTGATTGTGATTTACAACTTTTCTTTTCTACCCTTTTTTCACCTTATCTGATGCTCTTTTTCCTCTACTCTGCATCACGCTTGTCTCCTGATCTTATCTCATAACTAATGTGCTCAAATTCCTTGAACCTTTTTCACTCATTTTCACAAAAAGTTCTGCGTACAATTTTTTTCTAGTTCTGCAATGTCTGCTTTTTTATTTGATTTATGTGGTCCTTCAAAGCGCACTCTTATCGCCAATGACTTTTTTGATCTACAAAAACCTGGGACTGAAATGGACACCAGAAGTTTTTGCGATATTCTTCTTGAGGTGTCATTATGACACCTTAAACAAATTTC